CCCCGGAAAACTTTCTTTGTCGTTTTGCTTTTGTTTTTGTTTGGCCAACAGCTGTGCAAATGTTTTGTCACAAATCGAACCGCAGCCAAAGTGGGAAAGTGTGTCCCAGTGTCTCTTTTCTATTTTTATTGTCGGATTGCGGACTATGGGCACAAGTGTCTCTAATGTCGTTAGCTGCTTTTGCTGTTGTTAATTTGCCACTTCTGCCACTGCAATGTCAATGCTAATGCCGAGATTGGCCTTTGCCTCTGTCTTTGCTGTGTTACCCAAGATCTCAACTGTGGCCGCTCAGCTCTGCTGTGCGTGCCCAATCAGGCGGCAAACCATTCGATGTGGGAATGCACTGAGACGGAACTATCGGTGTCTCAGTTTTCAGTTTTCAGTTTACAGCACTGAACGCTTGACTGAGCTGCTTTAGAATTGACCAATGTGGTCTCAACTTTCTAGCCACCAGCTCCAGGGCCAAGTTCTTTTTCTTTTCTTCCCCTCTCTCTCTCTCTCTCTCTCTGTATGTGGCTGTGGATGCCACTGCTGTCAGCTGTAGCAATGGAGCGTGCCTTCTGTGCTTATTGCTATTGCCGGCTTGCAAATTGCATAAAATATTGCCAAGCTATAAGAGCACATTGCTGTTCACTGAATATGTGATTTGCGGTCACAGTGGCTTCAGACAAGAACTCATCGGAGCTGAGGAACCGAAGCAGATAGGAGCAGTTGGTAAAACTGAGAATAGAGCACTCAAGTGCTTCAGACACTTGAATATAATTAAGTTGCATGCGCCAGGGTTCCATCATTCAACACTCAGTTGCACTTCTGTATAATGTATAAGTTGCATATATTACAGAAAGTATAATGTGTGTACAAATAAATGTGTATATATTTATGTGAAGAAGCAACAAATGCAAATGTCAGATGTAAATTATTTATAGTTGTGTGTAAAACGAAAATGATCTTTACAAATATATATATAGATATAAAAACATTTGTATATACTCTTAAAATAAATGTCTTTGCGTCCTTGACTTATGAGTTATTAAAGCCCAAATTCAATTAGCTAGAAATTTAAATTTATTTAGGTAATAAATAATAATTTATTTTATCGCTTACAATTCACAAGTTCTGTAAATTTTCGTGGCAGCAGACTTAAACCCGTCGTACATAAAATGTAATCAATTCTCGAAATATCCAAATCCACAAATACGAATTGGTTGTAAACCAAGCATTTGGTTCGGGCTAATGCCAGCGACACTCTCACGTGAACCTCAACCGTAACAATTTACCTTTTACCTGTGCAATTTCCTTGGTGGTAATTTGGGTGCCTCGCCTGGCCATAAAGCTAGGCCAAAACCGACAAAACTCCGCTGCACGATAATTAAGATTTTGGAATTTCCTATCGTGATTTGCTCAAGTGCTACAATTTCCTGGTAGGGGAAGAGTACAGCAGCAACAGCATCTGTTGCGCATCCTCAACGCTCAAATCAGCACACTTCCTACTTGGCCATATTTGGGCGTGCTCGTACATTTCCAGTCATTAGTCATTCATCAGTCGCAGCGGCTTTGGCCAACTTTTCACCTGCTGCTGCCTGCCAGTCTGGCCAAAGACGGAAAGGTGGTTTTGTGTTTCATGATTTGTTGCTGTTGTTATTGTTGTTTTTTTTCTGCGCAGATTTTCCGCTCGAAAACGTGATCTTTACTGGGAGGTGGTTAAATGGCTTGCAGGTGGTTTGTGCCGCTTAATTAAATCAGCTAAGCACCTTGACCCACTTGCCAGTCACTGGCCACCAGCTCCACCACATTCATCGAGCAAAATGTGCAAATCACCGAAAATCAGCATTAGACATGTTTTGATTTTTGTTATGCGCCACATTTGGTGGGTCGCAACAACAGCTGGTTAAACATGTCTGAAATGGTCGCTCCCGTTTCAAGGTCCGTTGCGATTAATAAGCCGAATCCACCGAATCCGCTCTCTATTACACACAACACGACTCCACTCCAAACGCCGTCTGTCCGCCTAACACGTTGACAACTGTGCGGTCGGTATATATATTAATGTATCTGTCAGATACAATGCAGATATCTCGTTACGCCACCTTCTTAATGGCTTTTACGGTGCATTTGCATGGTTGGTGCGTCTTCGTTTCAGTTAAATACTGGTTGTCCCGTTACTCGCTGCTAGACAGCGTTAAATTGTTCAACTAACGCCTCAGACTATTATTTAAGTAAAGAATTGAAATTCTTAAGAGCAACTATTAAGCTCAGAAAACTTGTTAATCTGCTACGTGCACTAGTCGAATTTCTTAAATGCAGTTTAGCTAGAATTTATGCAAATAATTTTCAACGACTATTATGGTTTATTCATTGAAAAATGATTACTGTGCAAAATAGGATTAGGCATAATGTCTTAATAATGATTACTAAAATGTTCGTTCGACTCGAGATGATTATATAATTAGATTTTAAGCTTGACTGACTATTTAAAGAACCAATTTTATATTATCGTTTCTGGTTTTGAATTATTAGCATTTTGTAGTCAATTTTTAGACACTTGTAGAACGTATTAAATATCATCACAGTATTCATTTGCTAGGCAATTAATCACTATCATTTAAGTAAAAGTTCCTTTCACACTTCAGAATTTAATTTATTTAATTAAACATCAGCTACAGAAAACATCGCAAAAGTAATTTATATCTACACCGTAAGTGACCGCAAAAAAGATATAAAAAATTTCTCTCTTTAAACTGTAGTATAAAAGTTAGTCGCCTTAATTTCGCATTAGTTTTTTCATTTCTTCTATTTTTTTCATTTTTCTTCTTTTTTGTCATTTTTGTTGTTTGTGTTCATTTCAAATGCTGTGCCTGTTTTTAGATTTAATCTCCTGCTCAGTTCATGACTATGTTTGTGAGTGCGTGAATCTCGCGAGTGTCATGAACTCAATTATTTTTGCAATTATTTTTCTGTTTTGCTGAGCTTTTACAGCTCTGCGCTGGGATCAATTGCAAATGCTACCAAACTAGATGACTTGTTTATTAAAGCTTTAGTTTAAAGTAAAGAAAAAAAAAATTGAAGCGCCACATCTTAATTGAAAACGAATCACAATTTGTGTGGCTTTGCTGTATCATTGAGAATTGATCTGTTATTTTTCTATTCTTTTTTTTTCTCAATTAATCAAACTCTGCCCTCAATTGAAATGTCAACACGCTGCTGCTGCGCTCGTCGCGCTCTTCTACCGTTAGAAGCCGCTGCCTGACATAATAATAACAACGTTGAATGGCAGCTGATGCTGCCACTGCCCTGTTGTTGCCGCTTCTGTCTAAAGTGGGTCAATCGACAGCATTTAGCTGTACTCTCGTCGTATCTGTGTATCTGTTTGTATGGCAGCAGCATCTGCTCGAGCTTTTAACCAAACTTGGATACATGTTGAACATTTGAACATGGCCATTTACGAGTGCTTTGGCTAAGCAAAGAGGGACGAGGAAAGTGAAGGCGTTCAACGAGTACTACTCCAAGTTGCTGCTGTTATTGCTGTTGTTGTCGATTGTACCGAGTTGTAAGTTTAATTTTGTTGTACATCTAGTGAAACCGGTTTCACTCAACTTGCAGCAAAAGTATGAAAAGTGGTTTATGTTGTTAGTCTCGCTTCCTGGCGCACTCGTCACTTGGTCGATGCTGCCCTCTCAAACCAGTTTTTGAGCGTCTTTTGATTTGGCCTTACAGCCAGCTACCGCTGCTGCTGCTGTTATAGGGTACACTTAGGTTCGGTTTTGGTTCAGTCGGTTTGTTTGTTTGGGTCACGCTTTGATAGAACTTCCAGGCCAGGCCAACAGGCTAACTTGGCATGCTGTATAATTTTTTCTTATGTAAATTGTCGGCTCGAAAGGCAAGTCTTTTGGACAAGCCCAACGCAATGGCTGACTTCCTGCCCTTATCAGTCAGCTATTAGCCAAGTAACTTGCCAACTTGTCCCAAGTCACTCGCTTTGTTATTTATATATTAGTCTATGTCTTGCATTTTATTTCAACTTCCAATTGCCTCATTAATGCCAGCCATAAATCTCGACTGAAAGAAGAAAACCTGCGCAATGTTTTCCCACAGCAAATCAATCGCTTGCTGGGGCTTCAACTTTGCCTGCTTTACTTTATTATATGTATATTTATATATATATATATACTTCTTTTTTTCCTCTTTGTTTATTTATGGCCCCTTTGGTTTGAGCTTTGGCTGGGGCTTTTCAGCTTCGATTTCATACTGAACGCAGCACCGTTCGCTCTGGAGTGGAAGTCATTTAAGTGCAGATAGCGTCGCATGTTGCGTCCCCTCACGCGGCTGCCACATTTGACTGCCACCACCGTTGCTGTTGCTGCTGCTGCTGCTGCTGTTGCTGGTTTTAATGTATGCGCCCAATTTACATTGCCACCGACTGTCGATTACGCCAACTCAATGCGAGACTCACTGACTCACTGGCTGACTAGCTGACTGACTGAGTGGCCCGTTGCGATTGCAGCGTTTTGGCTCAAGCCGCGCCGCGTCAAGCAAATGTTGCACGACTGTCGCGGCTGTTGTTGTTGTTGTTGCTGCTGCTGTTTTTGCTGTTGCTGTCTCGGCCTGGTCTGCACCTTAATTTGGTGTCTTGTGTTTTCTGTGTGCGCCAGTCGCCGCTGAGCCCCAGTCACAGTCACATTCAGTGTCCGCTCTGCGCTCTGCCAATTCATCAGAGCTGCATAATTGGATTTGCATTTTGTTACTTTTGGTTTTATAATAATTTTGTTGTGCTGCGTGTTCTGTTTGTCATATATTGATTTGAAATAAGTGCCGATATGGAGAGCACTGCTGTGCCTGTGGCCGAGTTCCAAAAGATTAAATTGCGCCCTGTGCCCAGGATCAAGCGACGTGCCCCACAGCCGCCGCTCTGCCTGAAGCTGTTAAAGAACGTGCGGCAAACAATGAAACTTTGAGTGTTCAAGCAATAACTAATTTTTTCGTTTTTATTATGACTTTCACAGACTTCTTCCACCACAAAGACAACAACGCTTACCACGCCTGCCAAGCTGTATGGCAAGGATCTGAGCGAGTACGATGATGTGGATGTGGAGAGCCTTTTGGCGCAATTGTCGCCCGAGGAGATAACCATACTGGCCAAAGAAGTGGATCCTGATGTGAGTAACAAGTCTCCAAACCTTATAAGCTCCCATTATGTACTTATATAAATATATATGAATATATATATATTGATTACATTTACAGGACAACTTCTTGCCGCCAGATCAGCGCTGCAGCTACGAGTGCACCAAGGATGCCACTGGGCCGCTGAATCGCAAACAGCTCATCGAGCATATTAATAAGCAGGCAATTGAGACGCCAGACGAGCCGGAGTTCGAGCCCTATGTGCAGGGCATGGTGCGCGGCAAGAAGTGGGTGCCACCGCCGCGAGATGCTCGTGATATTGAGGTGGAGGAACAGATCGCCATTGATATGGGCGAGGAGTATGAGCATGCTCTCAGTGATGCTACGCAGGAGGAGATCATCGATTTGGCCGCCATTCTTGGCTTCCACTCGATGATGAATCAGGATCAGTACCATGCCTCGCTGCTTAACACGGGCCAGCCCGTTGGCTTGGGCTGGGATGGTATCACAAAGTCCACACAGCAGAAGCTGTACCCCAACGATCCGCCCAACAGCACAGACGTGGAGGAGTCGATTAAGCGCGTCAAGGATGATGATTCCAAGCTGATTGACCTGAACTTGAATAACATTAAGGTAAGCTAAATGAATTGTGAATGTAAATAGATTATGCTAATTCCACATCGTGCTTGCAGAATATATCGGATGAGAAGCTCGAACAACTTATTGCCGCACTGCCTCAGAACGAACATTTGGAAGTTCTATCGCTGACAAACGTCGGCCTGACCGATAAGACAGCTCTCCTGCTCGCCGAAGCGATCGAGAAAAGCAAAACCCTGAGAGTATTAAATGTTGAAACCAACTTTATCAGTCCGCCCGTAATTGTCAGGTTGGTGCAAGCCCTGCTCAAGTGTCACACCATCGAGGAATTCAGGGCCTCCAATCAGGTGCGTATCAAACTGCATTTGACCTTATCGTTGTTAATAATACGAACGCTCCTCAAATTGTCCACAGCGATCTACGGTGCTTGGCAACAAGATTGAAATGGAGATCACCAATTTGGTGGAGAAGAACCCATCGCTTCTGCGACTTGGCTTGCATCTGGAGTTCAACGATGCGCGTCATCGCGTGGCCGCCCATCTGCAGCGCAACATCGACAGAAGTAAGTTGGCCCGTTGCCTTTGGCAATGGATCTTTTTTCCCCACTATTCGCGCAATATTCGCAGGTTGTCAGCGTTGGTTATACGATGATTCGCTAGGCTCTCGTTATTTGCCCTATATAGATATATGTATTTAGGCCTCTTTATCAACTCATGTGCAACTCGTGTGTACCTCGTTCGCGTTTAGGTGAATTGCAACAAGGTACGTTAGCTTCCCGTGCCGACGCTTCGCCATCGTCATCGTCATCCCCATCCACATCTGCAACTGCATCTGCATCTACATCTGCATCAGCATCAGCATCTCGATCATCTGCTGACATCTCACCCTCAAAGGTCAAGAGCCTGGCTGCTTTCGAGCAATATGTCATGGCTCGCACTTGGACTAATGCAACAGATACTGATCATGTTTTGCCATCAGGGCGCATTGTGCGCAATCTACAGTTGACCTCAGCAACCTCATCGTCCGTTGCAGCAACTAGAGGCACAACCGAAGCAACCACATCCTCAGCTGCCTTGAGTCTCTTGCGCGCCGACAATGAGAAGGAAATCTAAGCCTGGATATTCTTTCGTTCCCCCTCACAAAAGCGCGTTGGTAACCAAAATGTAGTTGAATTTACTACATGCAACCCCCTTCTGTGTTCTTTTTTTTATTCTTGTGGTAACCAGGTAAAACGTTTTCGTTTCGTGACCCACCCCGCCTCCGCCGACGTCATTGGCAACTATTTATCGTCCAGTCGTTTAGCCTAACATCTCAGCATTTCGCATTTCTCATCACAAATCGTTCGTTGCGTTCACGTTCTCGTTCTCGTTCTCGTTATCACCTCTCGTTGCGTTGCGTTACGTTGCGTTGCGTTGCGTTACGTTACTTTGTGGCCTACATTTAGATATCTTATTACATACATTTATAAGTGGAGCCACCACCATATCGTGTAAACAATAGCTCATCAAAATTATCAAATTAATATATATAAATTATTTATATTTTAGTTAAACAATTGCTAAGTCAGTTTTATGTTCTAAGTCAGAAATATCATTCTTCACACACATCAAATGCTATCTCGGCCACCTAATATATACCCTATATATATATATATGTGTGTGTGTTACGAAACCCCTTCTCACTTTCTCTCTTAGAGTATCCTGTGTATTATTGTCTGTCTCAATGTCTCTCGTTCCTCGTTAGTTCCACTGAACAACCTCGTGTCTTGTAATTACCATAGAATGTAGGACAATTTGTCTACCAAAAATTGATTCGATAATACGCATTATTAACCAATTATCTGTTGTATATTTAAATTCCAAAATTATGAAATCCGTATCCCAAAATCTTACACCCGACAACTCAACTCAACTTGTCCCATGTGTATATTAAACAACCGCCAATCAAACAACCAACCACCAAACGACAACAACAACAAAAACAACAATTTCCAAACGATCTGCAGTCTTCCGCGTGCAAAAGATAAAACCCAATTTGCCAAAATTGATATTGCCCAGCAACATGGAGATTGAACGGCAGCTGGGCCGCTCGGCCACGCCCACGCCGTCACCATCGCCTTCACCGTCGCCCCAGCCGCCGGCCGACTATGATGTGGAGGTTGATCCCGACAACATGGTCATTCGCGGCGGCAGCGGTGGCGTTGCCTACGATCCAGAGTTCGATCCCGATAATATGGTGGTGCCCGGCAGTCGCGCCGTAACGCCCAACTACGATGACGAGGGCGTCTATCAAGCGCACACGTGAGTGAAGCCACCAGAAAAAAAAACACCACCAGCACCCAACCACACACACCACCAAAAACCACTGGAGCGGAGTGCGCCACATCCACACAACAGCTCCAAAATGTACAGACAGTCAGACAGCAGATCAGTTCTCGTTTTCGTATTCGTTCTCGTTCTCATCTCGCCTCACCCCCCGTTTCTATTCGTAGTAACGTTGTTGTTGTTGCCACTTACGCGCCACCAACTACATTTTTGTATTTTGACCATGGTGTGCAGTAATGTAATTACCAGATCCAGCCAAACGTCTTGCAGACCAAGAACGTGTGTATAAATATAAATAGTAAAAACAGAAACCAAAAACCAAAAAAGAATGCAAATGTTATTCTGTCTACACATGATCGTTGTCGTCATCATCAGCAGTGCTGCTCATGCATTTTCGATTCATATTTGTATATAATTTGGACACGTCCATTCATCAGCATCAGCTGTGCTACTAACCACCCCAACCTCAACAACAAAAAAAAAAACAGTCCCACAAACAAGAGACTTCACTTAAGGGCTGTGGACCACCCCACCAACACAACCAGTGATTGTATCTATTTTCGTATACCCTGCGCAGCAGTATTCTCCTCCCTCTTGTTGACACGACTGGCAGATGCCCTTCTGTCGGACAAAGGTCAAAAGTCTGGTTGTCGACACAACAATGCGCCTTACATTATCTCTTATGTGTTTCGTCTATTGTGATTTGTCTTATGTGTACTATTTCTATCTATCCCTCTCTCTCTCTTTCTCTCTCTGTTTCTCGTTTACAGTAAGAAAAGATCTTGAATTACGCCTGCAGTTCAGATTTTTCAATAATCTGCATAGAAAATCAACAAGAATTCAGTAAATCAAAATGAAATCAATACACAAAACATTAAAAACAAAAACAAACAAACAAACAACCAAAGAAACTAAACTAAACATTTTTGAAGCGTTTTGTAATTCTAAAATTAAAAAAACCGAATAAAAAGAAACAAGTTTAATATATATGTAAATTAAACGTGTAAACAATATAAATGGAAAAAGAAGCAGCAGCTGCAACGCTCTCATCTAAATACGTTAGATAGACCAAGGAAGTCAATAATATAATATATATATATGTATATATACACATACTTATAATGCGCAGATCGAGATTCTGATAAAAAAAAAATAAAAAAAAAGCAAAAACATATAAAATATATTTCGATATATATGTAAATATGTCTACGATACAAGAGCACATATAGAGAGAAGATATATTTGAAACTGATTTACGAGAAAAGGCAAGGCATCCAACCGCAGCAAATATCTTTAGGCGTAATGTGTATAATTTTGTCTAATATCTAACACAGGTATATATGAATTCGAATTCTACATCAAATGTTCTTATATAATCAATGCAAGCGTTTGCAACCGTCGCCTAACCCCAAAAACGCATTTTCCAAATTGGTTGCGCCACAAAAAAAAAAAGATGAAAATACAAAGCAAAAAAATATGTAGCTATACGCGCTTTTGCAGATTAGACACAATGCGAATGCAGTTTGCTGTAGTCGTTATTGTCCTTCAAATTTAATTATATACATACTTTCTATAATTCAAGACTGTTTAGCGTACTGATCTTTTTACACTAGCCAAACGGATTGTTTTATTGATCAGTCATGCAACCCGATTCTAATTGTTGATTGCATCCTATCCTAGTTATTATTTAAAATATACGTTGTGCATGCATTGTTTTAATTTAAGTCCCCCTTTTATGTTGCATGCCATTCAGACAATTGACAAGAACACCATGCATCACACCCTTAATCCCCATCCTCAAAACATTGGCTTTTACTTACCACTTTCATAAATTGCAGCCCAAAATCGTGCAGAGTTTTAATGAACTTCTCTTCGTATAGGAATTAAATGCGATGTACAATTTTTAAGTGAAACTAAAACCAAACCCAATAAACCACAAATAACTGCTATATAAATAAAATATCAAATGAATAATGTAATAAATTAGCAAACAATTGCGAAGCCAAAATGTTTATGCTCCTTTTATAATTCAACAAAAAACAACAACAGCAAAAGCAGACCCACCTGAGCAGGAACAAGAACCACAACAGCAAAGCCAAACAACAATCTCCATGTAAATGTAGCATAACTTTCAGCGCAAACCCATGTCAAACAGTTGGTACCCAAACTCTTTTTCTCAGCCTTTTGTTGTTTTTTGTGCCCTAAACAAAAATAATTACCCAAAAGCGGCTGCAAAGCCTTTAACAAATGCTTAACTAATAACCCTAAGAAGCCACCGTTTTGCTAGCTAAAAAAAATATAAAAAAAAGAATGATAAATCCCAAAATACTGCCCTAAAATAAACATAGACTTTAAGAACCGATGCTCGAACAATCTTGACTTGCGAGCTGTTTTTTTTTTATTGGCCGACTACTAAAAATTATACCCAAAAGGCGAACTTTTTGCCTAGCCTTGAATGTTGTACCTATTGAACTGATTGATTGATTTATTGATTGATTGAACATTTGACAATTTGTTGTGTATTTTGATTAACCCAAATTTAATATTAATCATACCTGTGTTTTGTGCTACAATTTAACTAATCACATTGTATTTGTCTCTTCTCTCTTTCCCAATCTTTCCTCTATCTGTCTTACAGTACGTGTGAAACGCCTCAATCAGCGTAAATAAAAAGACAAAACATGCCACAGCAAACAACAACAGCAACATCAACAACAAGAACAACAACCTTTTATTGTGTGTGATCGTGTGTGTGTCTTTGTGTTTTTGATTGTCCAATTTTGTACTAATTACCAAAAAATCAGCACCAACAACAACAACACCACCACCTGATGCAACTACAACAGCAACAACATCAACAACAACAACTGTGCAACAAGCATTCTCTGTGTTCAGCTCAGCAACATCAACAACCTTCGTTATGTGATTTCCCCCCTTTTACCAGATTTCGATTGTTAAACACCGCCCGCCCTCTGTGTAAACGCAACAACAATAAGAACAGCAACACCACTATCAACAACAACAAGTACAACACCACCCCAACGACCCACACCCAACAACCAGCCGCAAACTAACACCGAAGAATGATGTTAACATGCAGTACGTAAAGTATCTGATTCTGCTAGTTAGTATAGATGATATCTTTAAGTTTATCTTAACCCAAGGCGAATATAGCTAATAAGTAGTATAGCAAATATTGATAGCACAGCTTAGCAGCTCTTATGTCAACCTTAAGAAATATATATACATACAAAATATATATATATATGGACATAAATCAATGTTGACACTTGATATCAGCGAGAATAGCTGTATCGTGCGTCATGCTTCGTCTTGCCACTGTTGGTGTTGTTACGTCTCTTAACTTGGCTATAATTTCACTGATTGATTGCTAATGTATCTTTTGACGCGTATTTTGCAGTTGGTCGCCAGCGTCGCATGGGTCATCTGAGCAGAAACTATACCATTGGTTGGCAATAGACATCGAGACGTGCTTTGGAACTTCTGGGCTGATATACCTATTATATACTCATATATGTATATGTATATGTGCTATACATGCTTATATGAACTATTTAACAAATTTAGTTGCAAAATGTCATACTTGTCGTAGTTGTTGTTGTTGCTGTTTGGAAAAAGTTGTGCACCTCGCTCGGTTGCTCAATCTTTTGTTCAATGTTTGTTGCGTTCTTTAATTTAATGTAATTTTAATTCAATTTTATTTTTCTTGTCCAATTTTGGGCTTTGTGTTCGGTTATCATATACCTAATAATTTTGTTTGTTATATGAGTTATGCAAATGTTTGTTGTCATACACACACACACACAGACACATACACATATACAAATCAAGAAATTTAAATTAATTTTATCTAGATATGAATTGGCATTGTTCAAATTTACAATTACCAAATGAAGCAGCTTAATTGTATCGAGTTGTGTAACCTTAACAAAATTCTTTCCTTAAGCAATTGTCAATTCGGTATATTCAAATTTTACGCTGCAGTTTCACACGCGCACCCTTTTTTTCAAAGTGTAATTTTAAATGTCACTCTTTTTTTTAATATTCGTTTAAATTCAAAATTAAATTTTGTTGTCTTTCGTTTAGTTTAAAATGAGAGTGCACATGGAAAATGTTTGAGCTTATATTTACATGCATACACATACATAATTATTATATATATATATACTTATATACACATAGTTATATATGCTACATATACATATAGCCATGGTCTCTGAAACAATTTACTGCTATTGAATTATAAAATTGCCTAAACATAATAATACACCTATGTTTAAATACGCATTAAATCAAACGGATACAATTGTATATTGTAATGATATGTCTTACTTTATATGATCAAATGCGATGCTTTTAAAATACAATTTTTAAAAATCATGTAAAAAAAAACATTAAAATTAAATAAAACAAAAAAAAATCAATAAAAAAAAACAAGATTAAAAAAATTATGCAAATATTGTTTATTTTAGTAATTCGATCATGAATTTAAGCCAAAACGATTTAAATAAATATTAGTCGCAACAAGTGAGAATGCTAAAGTCGAGTGAGCTCGACTATATACTGATCAAAGTTGATAAATATATATTATTCTACTTTTATTGCCATATTTCCCTTTGCTTTACACCCTCAAATCTAATCAGGAGTGGAATTGCTCTCATTTCTTATGGCATCATAGATACTGAAAAAATGCTATGGCATCGCATTTTTTTAATCGTGCATTTACATACATATTTATGTATGTCTGTATACAGTAAATATATATCTATCAATTATATGCAAATGCACATTATATGTCAATAATAATCAATGCATAAGTACTAAACTCACCCCACACACACACCCATACCAGTAATCCCCAGGGGATCACCGTAAAATGTTACTTCGCCGAGGTGGATTGCCAATTAGGCACTCTCCGTCGAACAATGTATAGTATGCATAAGCACTCAGAGTCTTTTCCAAAGATATAATCAGCTTGCTGAACCTGCAACTTCAAATCATTTAGACTCCTCATGTAAAAATTGAATGGCTTACGAAAACTAGGCTTCTCTACTTTTATATTTAAATACACAGTCGAACAGTCAGTCCCAATGACCCACAAATCGGAACTCAACCAAATAACAATAAAGGCGTTCGCTCCGCTTACACAAACTGACTTATCATGTGAATATAAACTTATGTGTTTTCTTTTGGTCACTGATTTCACCAGTGAAAAACTGAAAACTTTTGAAAAAATAACTATATGTATTTATATAATTCAAATTGGGTGGTGAAATTAAAGACAATAAGACAAATGACAATATTAATGAATTATTTAAAACTTCTAGTAGAACAACTTCAATGCAATATATATTTGGGATCGGAGGTGCTTCCATCTGCCTGTTAGATGCACATGCACACAACTATTTTACCCTTTTTAACCATAATCAATCGGTCTAGTGCATAAAAAATAGGTGAAACTCGATATTTGAACACATAATTTATCTTTGAAATTTGGATTGAAATTGATTAATGGAAAATTTAACCAAAGGTGACATATGTGTCACTTAAATTGGCCGATAATGACAAACCAAACAAACAGCATTATTAGGTAGCCAGACGTGTGGCGGAAACAAACAACATGCATCCCATTCTCACACACACAAGCTTTGGGAGTTCGATAAGATCGTGTGTGAGATGAACAGCATGTGGCACTCTCAGTTGGTCAGTGCACGGCAAACTTGACGGAAGTGATACCGGATTAACTGATTAACTTAAAGGAAGATCATCACAATGTCCACGCTGGAGACTGAGGTGACTTTCCGCAAGCGAGCGGAAGTGAATCAGAATCTGGAGGCACAGTTTCGTAGCTCCTCCACGGATTTCATACTGCTCACAGATCATCGCACCTCCAAGTGCAGGAGCCTCGAGCAATTGGAGCAGGCGAAGCAGGACATTGAACCAAAGCCATGCATGAGCTATGCGAGACGTGCTTTCCGCCTGAAGACGCTCAAGAAACGTCTGCCCATCCTCAGTTGGCTGCCCAAGTACAACAGGAGCGATGCCATCGGTGACATTATAGCCGGATTTACAGTGGGCCTAACAGTTATACCACAAGGCTTGGCCTACTCGGGCGTGGTGGGTTTGCCACCAGAGTCTGGCCTATACGGATCCTTTCTCGGCTGCTTTGTCTATGTGCTGTTGGGCACCTGCAAGGATAATACTATTGGGAGCACTGCTGTCGCCTCATTGATGACATTTCAGTTCGCTCATGGCTCCTGGGCACATTCAGTGCTGCTCACCTTTCTCACTGGCATCATAGAGATTCTGATGGCCATCTTCAAGCTGGGCAGTTTGGTGGAGTTCGTTTCGGGTCCGGTTAGTGCGGGCTTCACCAGTGCTGTCTCACTAATTGTGCTCACCTCGCAGATGAAGTATATTCTGGGCGTGAGAAGTGACGGTGACTCCTTTCTACAAAGCTGGATCAGCATGCTTCGCGACATTGAAAACATACGCATTTGGGACAGCTTCCTCGGATTTGGCTGCTTGGCCCTGTTGCTGGCAATCCGAAGTCTCAGCCGCATACGCATAGGCTCCAAGGATAAAGTGAACCGTTCTCGATTCCAGAATGTGTTCAATGAGATGATCAAGTTTGTGGGCGTCACACGAAATGCAACTGTTGTCATCGGGGCCACAATGGTGGCCATGTATCTGGAGGCGAATCACATGAATCCTTTCCGCCTGACGGGCTATATACCACCCGGATTACCGACGCTATCTTTGCCCAACTTCACAATTGAGGCACAGCCGGGCAATGCCACAGCGGGCATTCCAGCAGTGCCTGGCGAGAGCTTCTTCGATATGGTGCATAGTCTAGGATACGGGCTGATTATAGTGCCGATCATAGCGCTGCTAGAGAACGTTGCCGTCTGCAAGGCATTTGCCAAGAACAGGCAAATCGATGTTAGCCAGGAATTGTTTGCCACTGGCGTGGCCAACATAGCCACCTCACTGGTGAGTGGCTATCGCAGCAACGGCGGATTGGCCCGATCCGCTGTAAATAATGCCAGTGGCTGTCGCACGAACATGTCCAATCTGTACATTGGCATTATTGTGGTGCTATCAATTAGTTACCTCACCGAGTACTTCTACTTTATACCAAAGGCGGTACTTGCTGCTATCATCATCTCGGCCGTAGTTTTTCAACTTCAGTATCAGATCGTGTTGCCCTTGTGGCGCAGCAAGCGTGAGTTGAAGTCATCTATTCCAATACTGCAGTTCTTATTTACAATTCTTCAATTTTCAGGCTCCGATCTTGTGCCTGGCGTGCTGGCCTTTTTCGCCTGTCTGGTACTTCCCCTTGAGATTGGCATTGTTATCGCAATTGGTGCGAATCAGCTTTATATACTCTACCACTCAGCGCGGCCCAAGGTGACGCTGGAACAGCTGGAGACGGAACACGGCATTAAGTTTATAAAGATCACGCCCGATCGCTGTTTAATATTCCCGTCGGTGGAGTTTGTTCGCAACATTTTGCTCAAATCTGGCAGCAAGACAACTCTACCCATTGTCATCGATTGTACGTATATTTTTGCAGCGGACTTCACCGCCGCCAAGGTAATCTCTTCCATGGTCGACGATTTCCATCGACGCCAGCAAAAGATTATATTCTTCAATCTCAAGCCGAGTGTCGTTAGCATTTTTGAGGGACTCAAGACCAAACTGGTGCTATGCTATAACACTCATGCTCTCTGCCAGGAACTGTTGCCAAGTGCTGCTCAAAATCTGTCGCGCTCGGTGGACTCACTGGAAACAGGCACCAGCATGGGCGATTGTGTGAGCATGACAAGCACCAGTACTTTATCGATGCCAAGAATTTAGGCATTACACCCCAGCCCAGTTGTAGAATCAACGAATACGCAATTTAATCAACTAATGAAATTTGATTTGAAATCAATTATCCTTAACACTATTATACCACGCTCAGCATGGTCTGGGCAGGAAATACCAGCGAAGAGGTCAACTTCTGCCAATTGACGCCATACTATGTGAATGGACGTTGGCGACCTGAGAGTATGGATCAAACAGAATGCATATTTCCATAGACATAGTCCTTATGATTACGATTCAATTGTTACATTAATATATTTAAATTGAAAGCATTACCAAATTATTTTCTCTTCCTGTATGGAAATGTTTGAACTTGTTTGATTTCTGCGATAACCAAGAAGATAGACTTCGTCCTTGCAATTCTAACGCAACATGTTTTTGGAAAAACTATAAGAATTTGGCCGAATTGGAGTTAGTTTTACAAAAAGAAAGTTGTGAGCTAATCTACATAATTAACATCCCCGAAAGTATGCAGCATAAATAAGAACGTGGGCAGTTTTTGCAATATGCCAAAAAGTATGCACCGGATTTTACAACAAATGTTAATAACAAACATGCAAAAGCCAAAAAGTATGCAATACGTTTTTACTGGAGTATTTGTGATTGAAATAAATTATAGAATTTTGTGGTTAATGTTGAAAACATAAATAATTAAAATATAAATAACATTGCATATACGAATCAATGATTCTTAATATGCTTGTGCAGCTTTACGCGTATTTCGACCATTCGGCGCTCCCGAGTTGCACGCTGCTTGGCTTCCTGGGCGGCGCCAGCGGCACGTTCCGCAGCTCTTTTGGTGCTTTGATAATCCGTACGCGCCGCATCGAGCTGTTGCAGGAGCAATTCCACACGCTTCTTGGCCGCCTCCACTAGCTGCTGTTTCTCGGCGAACTCCTGCTGAGCACCGCTGGCCGCCTGCTCCGAATTGACCACATTTGCCTGCGCATTCTTGAGGGCTTCTCCGAGAGCCTTTAGCTGAATACCCGACTGCTTCGCGGACTGAGCAGCTGCATTGCAGTTGCCCTGCGATGCTTGCAGCGAACCGGCTTCCTCTTGGACAACAACTTCGCCCTCGCGCACTTCCGATTCCAGCTGCTCAACGATTTGCTGTTTACCGGCCAAAGCAGCCTCGGCGGCCTTTGCCGCTGCCAGCGCCTTGTCGGCCAACTGAATTTTCACCTGCTGTGCTGCATTTTCTGCAGCGGGCAGTTGGGCATCGGAAGCCGCCTTCGCCTCCTGTGCTGCTTTCATCGCAATGCAAGAGGCCTTCTGCTTGGTATTCGAGCTAAAGGGTATCTTGGCATTGGAATTCTCTTTCCTACTGGCACAATCTCCTCCTTCATTGCGTTCGTCATCGTAGGTCAAACTTGATAAAGAAACGGAACGCTTCTTGGAGGCGACGGTGAGGCATGTATCGTAAAAGCTCTGTTCACTTTAGCCACTTACCTTGTCCATCTTGTGGGCAAAAGCAGGAGAGAGAAGCAGCAACATTAAAAGTGCACCATTTGCAATAATTTTTCGCATTTTCAAATGCCTTATCGTAGTTTCGGAGTTGACATTAATACATTGCTTTCTCGAATCAAACAATCATCATTTGACAGCAGAGCTTTGAGATTAATGTAATTTATGCTACAATTCCAATGCGTTGCGGGCATCTGTTGTTGATCTTCATAATGAGCATCGGACTGGCGGCCAGTGCACAGCAATGCATGAAAAAAAATCATACATCGCTTCGTCATCGTAAGAAGGGTAAACAAGGTGCGAATCCTTCGGGCTGCGCTATAAACCTGAACTCCACTCAACTAGCCTCAAATGCAGCGGACGAAGCTAAGGCGGCCAAGGATGCTCAGAAATGCGAAAGTGTTGCGGCAGGTCAGAGGGCCATGAATCAATTGGCCGACAAAGCTGAGCAAGCGGCTCGAACGGCTCAGGCAGCGCTGCACGGTAAGAAACAATTAATCGACCAGTTGGAGCAGAGTCAGAGCGAAGCCGAAGCCGTCATGGATGAAGTTAAGAAAGCGTTGGCCAAAAGCCAAAGCAACCTGGAAACAGTCGCACGCATTTCCGATGTTGTAAAACAGCTCTATGAACTATTGCAATCTCTTTTGGAAGATGCAAAGAAGAATCTGGCAAAAGTTTTGGAAGTATCAGAGAATGCTCAAAATGAGGTGGAGGGGAAGCAAGTGCTTCTTATGGATGCCAAGAAGCGGTTGGAACAACTAAACATTTGCTTTCAGGAAGCCAAGGAAGATCTGGAACGCACCGAATCCATGGCTAGCAAGGCAGAGACTGCAGCTGAGGAGGCCAAACAGCATGTGGATAACGTGCAGAATGTTATTAAAAAACTGAAGAAGCTAAAAAAGAAAGACTTACAGAACGTTCTCAATAGAATAATCAAAAAGTAATACTATAATTATATATTTTTTAGTTTAATTGTTCATAATAAAGGCTTTGATTTATTTTCTGTAAGTTTTGTGATCCCTCAAACGTAACCTGAACAGAGTAATAAAAATATCATACTTTGTAACATAATTCCATGTGATATGTATCGTTTTTTGTACAATTTTAATTTTTTGCAATTGCAATAATGGCGTCATATTTAACGTTGCCCATTAATAAAAACGCGAATTCTTAACTTCTTTTAGGGCAACTCTGTAAGGGCTGATATTCAATGTCATCGATATATCGACGCTACTATCGATTGCTTGGTAATTTTTTCCATCCCCAAGCCGCATGAAAGTTGATGAAAAAATATTTAGAAATTCGCGTTTGCTGTTGAAAAAAAAGATTATTGTATTTATTTAGTCAAGCTGGAGTCAAAAATGGCACGCAAGAATGCTCAGGCAGAGGATCTCTCCAACGTAGAGTTCGAGACGAGCGAAGATGTCGAGGTAATACCCACCTTCAATGCCATGAACCTCAAGGAGGAACTTCTACGCGGCATTTACGCGTACGGTAAGTATTTTTTTATTTTTTGTCTACTTTATGTCTCATTTCGTTGCTAATCGGGTGTTAAATTAGGTTTCGAGAAGCCATCAGCGATACAACAGCGCAGCATTAAACCAATTGTCAAGGGACGCGATGTGATTGCCCAGGCACAATCCGGAACGGGCAAGACGGCGACCTTCTCCATTTCCATCCTGCAGAGCTTGGACACAACGCTGCGAGAGACGCAAGTTCTCTGCCTGTCGCCCACACGCGAGTTGGCTGTCCAAATCCAGAAGGTCATTCTGGCGCTGGGCGACATGATGAATGTGCAATGTCATGTGTGCATTGGCGGCACAAATCTGGGCGAGGATATACGCAAACTGGACTATGGCCAGCATATTGTGAGCGGCACACCTGGCCGAGTTTTCGACATGATCAAGCGACGTGTTCTGCGCACAAGGTACTTTATGGCTTGCCCTATTTATATATTTATACCCTGGTAAAAATGGGTAGTGATGACGACCCATGCGGGTTCATCTCGAAAATGTTATAAGATGTTCTTTGCCCAATGTTATGTCAATTTCAAGCTGGACACAGAGTACCTTCGAGTCGTGCTTAATATATTCTTTATCCCGTAGAGCCATTAAAATGCTGGTGCTTGATGAGGCTGATGAGATGTTGAACAAGGGTTTCAAGGAACAAATCTATGATGTTTACCGATATTTGCCGCCCGCAACGCAAGTTGTGCTGATTTCTGCCACATTGCCGCATGAGATACTGGAAATGACATCGAAATTCATGACGGATCCCATACGAATTTTGGTCAAACGGTAAGCGAGACAATAATATTTGCAATCATAAGCGTTCCTATTATAACTGCCCATTAATTGCAGTGATGAGTTGACACTGGAAGGCATCAAGCAGTTTTTCGTGGCCGTTGAACGCGAGGAGTGGAAGTTTGATACGTTATGCGATCTCTATGACACACTGACCATCACACAGGCGGTTATTTTCTGTAACACCAAGCGCAAGGTTGACTGGCTGACTGAGAAAATGCGAGAGGCCAACTTTACGGTCAGCTCCATGCACGGTGACATGCCGCAAAAGGAGCGTGACGAAATCATGAAGGAGTTCCGCGCTGGCCAGTCCCGTGTCCTCATCACCACGGATGTGTGGGCGCGCGGCATCGATGTGCAGCAGGTATCGTTGGTCATCAACTACGATTTGCCCAACAATCGTGAGCTTTATATTCATCGCATTGGTCGCTCGGGTCGTTTTGGACGCAAGGGTGTCGCCATCAACTTTGTCAAATCCGATGATATTCGCATTTTGCGTGATATTGAACAATACTATTCGACGCAGATCGACGAGATGCCCATGAATGTGGCTGATTTAATCTAATCCTTTTTATTGCAAACTAATCCTAGTTTATTTTTACATATAACATGTACAACCGTAATCCGCTTTTCTTAGCAGTAGCGAACACTACTTGTAAACAAATGAAATTAATTAATAACATGAAAAGTAGTTGACTTTCAACACACGCAAACATAATCTGTATATGTAATTAGAAATAACGATTAAGAGTTTAATACAGAAACCAGTTTGTTTGAAGGTCAAAATTGGCTTTTCGGAGGTATTTTTAATATATTGTTTCACAACAACTCGTTTTGAATACCATTAAAAGCATTAAATTAATAAAAACCATATACAATATTAATGCTATTTTTAGCTAACTACAGACTTTGGTCTAATGCGAAAAGAAGGCGCAAATGGTGGATGAAACTTAAACTGACACTAACACTACCGCAAACCATTCATTCAACTTATAACGTCCGGTTTCGATTGTGGTAATTGTACATATGCAGAAGTAGCTGGCGATGCTTGGGCCTTGGGCTTACTCTTGGTATCATCCGACTTTAGCAATGTGCCCAGCACAATGCCCAGGAATAGAATGAGGCCCACTTGCTGGTTAGAAAGGAATTTCTTGGCGCAATCAGTCGGATTATCAATGTTGAGTGAGTAGATCTGTTGAATGGTAAGCAGTAAATAAGAACTGAATCATTGCATCCCGAAATGTGCTCACCTGTTGCACTAAATGTGCGCCAACGATGCCAACGGCACCATAGTAGGGCAGCGTCTGGTCGCAGGCATAGCCGGCAGCCGAGAGACCCGTGAGCATTGCGCCCGTAAATCCGGATAGCCAGACCTTTGTATTCTCGCCGAAACGTAGCGCCGTTGATTTCACACCAATTTGGAGGTCGTCCAGCTTGTCCTGGTGCGCATAGATGGTGTCATACACAATGGTCCAACACACACCCGACAAATACAGCGGCAAACAGGCCTCCCAATTAACGCTACCCTGCGTTGCACACCAGCCAAGCAGGGCGCCCCAATTGAAGCACATGCCGAGCACCAGTTGGGGCCAGTAGGTGACACGCTTCATCAGTGGATACGTGATGACCAAGCCGAGTGAGCTGGCACCCAACAAAATGGATTGCCAATTGAGCTGCACCAGCACCAGCAGGCCCAAACTGAGCTGAGCCGAGAGGAAGACAATTGCATCCAGTTGCGTGATCTGGCCGGATGCAAGCGGCCGACCGCGCGTCCTCTCCACTTTGGCATCGATGTCCTTGTCCCACATATCATTGATGGTGCAACCGGCGCTGCGCATAATCAGCGCTCCGGTTGCAAACAAGCCCAACATGGTCAGATCCGGCCAGCAGCCGGCATCAGCGCTGAGTGCAATGCTCCAGCCGCAGGGCCAGAAGAGCAGGTACGTTCCAATGGGTCGATCGATGCGCATTAGCTGCGCATATGGCTTGGTGGCCAAGGCCAATTCCTGTAGAAGCGAAGATTTATGCGGCGCCTTGCCCTCCTCGTTCGAGGATGCCGGCAGCGTTGTTGTCGTCATCCGTTGGTGCAGCGTCCAACTGTTTATCTGCTGCTGCATCAGCATTCGCTGCTTGCGGTAAGCATGGGCATGTGTATGCAGTCCAATGAAGACACGCGCCGGCACAGCTGACATCTGTTTTGCACTAGTTAATGTGATTGTTGTTGTTGTTGCTGCTGGCAAATGCAGTTTAACTCTGTGCAGTAGGCGCAAATGTCGTGACATATACATATTAAAGCTCTGTTTAATAGGGTTTCCTATTGGAATACGGTACACATTGAATAACACAGTCGGACTCTTAATCTGCAACAGAACCGATCTGTCGCACTATTATGGCAAGAACTCCACAAGCCTGTTACGGGGGGGGTTAATATGGTATCGATATATCGTTATTTCAAATTAATTTATGCACGATACGAACGATATGAGCGATATCGATATTATGATGATTCAATTTTAACTACATTCGTTAACTTGAGGAAATTTAACAAATATCGAAATTCCATTAAACGATGTTATTAAAAATTTCCCTTCCTTTGCATGAGCACTGCGGAAGAGCTGCCACTTTGTTTGTAGTTGTGTTGGCGTTGCCATATGTGCAAAATGTGTTAATAAACTTAAAAAGGGCGCCAAATTCATTAAGCATATCGATTCAATATTTACGCAGCTCCTAAAATGCGCAGAGTTCATTTAATATCAATTAATAAACTGTTCAAATTAATATGCCTCTCAAATACGCTATTCAAGAATTTGCTGCTCTGAAACCACAACTGTTCATTTTTAATCGTAGCCTAATCTGAGTAAACGTTAGTTTTGCGCAACTGAATCTAAAGGTAGGCATAGCGACCGTTAAACTACAATTACAACATCAATTGGAGTAACAGTTCATAGATCCAGATAGTCCAAGGTATTGTGCCCTTAGAACATATAGATAAGTACACATATGTACAGATGTAAATGTGTAGCTACTGAATTTTTGGTGGGTCATAAAGAGTTTGGTATAATGTTAAGTTATAAGTATAAAACTAACCAAAAGCTTTTACATATGTAGAACTACCAAGCATACACTAAGCTTATTGGTAGAACCCAATAACTAAACCATTTTGACCAAGTCAATATCGTTTTTTCTGCACCCGTCACCAACTTTTCGAAATCTGCACACGCCAACAAGAATGTCCGTAACTTTTGCACACGACCATCGAAGTTTTGCACACGGTCATCATTCACACGAAAGTCTTCAGCAGTTAGAAACAGAATATTAGCAAAGCTAAATGTGTCCAAAGCAGACACACTGCAAATAAGCAAGACGACGGTTGCTATCGCACGAGCTGGATTGAACATTCAATAACATACATACTTACTTGGCTATAATAAATACAAATACTTTGACCAACTACCAATAATCTTAATTACCACAACAAATTAAAAATACATACGACACTTCTGATGTGGAACTTTAGCTTATCCATAAATCATTATTGATCAAATGGAAAAAGTAATCTTTTTTTTTCTAGAAAACAGCCTACATGACTGGGTAGTTAAATATGTACTGATTTTTGGTCCAGATTTATCTCTAAATCTCCCTCACTTGAACAGACACTTGTTGTTTCTCTGCTACCGAATGGTGTCAACATCGCCTGTGCTCCCTTTCTCTCTCACTCTTTTTCGCTCTCTCCCTACCTCGCTCTCTCTCTCTCTCTCTCTCTCTCTCTTTCTAAAGATATCGCCTGCAGTCCGCGAGTACTGATAACACACAAATATTTTTTTCTCAGAGATAAGCGTGGAGGGCTATCGCCTTGGTTGGATTAGTGTCAGGTTTTTCTTTAAAAAACAGCATACGCTCGTTTTTCCCAAGCAGTCAGCGCCCCGCTCTCAGCAGTTAAGCAAGTGTAACAGGCACTTAACAATTGTTTTCACTTTGCGGCTAATTGAATTATTTGAAAATCAGCAACAATGGATCATGGATCAGGTGGTACCACTGCTAAATCTTGTCCAATGATTATGGTGGTAAGTTTTCCAATTCTGCTCATTTCTCTGCTGATGCTTTTTATATCAATAACAATCCGTGATCATTTATTTGCTGACACAGTAGCGTTTTTCTCGTGAGTGCGAGAGCAGAGTTTTAATTTAATTTACAAACACAAATCGTGATCTGATTGATTTCACTCAGAGCGCATTTCACTCTCTCTCCCTCGCTCGCTCTCTCTCTCTCTTTCTCTCTCTCTCTCTGCGCATGTACAACGATGATCACACAATGATGCTAAGTCTTAGCTCGCTCTCACTTTGCCTAGCGCCAAACTACACTCTACTCATTCATGTTGAGCAACAAAAACATACATAAACAAATACCGGGTGTTTAACTGATAAGAATGTATTTAAGCTTTGTGGGCTTTACTACAAATTTTACTTTTATCGTATTTACCTCTGTCAGCCTATATATAATGTGATAACACGCCTGTAAGAAAATTATTGTCACTCACACATTTTGCATCTGGTCTACCCTGCTCTCAACAGTTCCATGGCGGCCACTGTGAGAGAATTTTGTGGCGTGGCTGGGTGGCATCAACCGTTGTCGAATTCACGTTCTCCGCCATCGCGTTCTTTGTGCTCGCCTTCATCTACGAGCTGCTCAAGTTTCTGCGTAATTATCTGTTGCAACGAGAGGCGCGCAAGGTAGCTGAACAAACGGCCGCAGAGATAAGACGAAAGAGGGAAATAAACGATTGCGCCGGCTGCTCGGAGACGCCACTGGCCGAAATCAGAGAGGAGACTTACTGGCAGCGTATCTTCAACTCGGCACATATCATCCAATCGCTGCTGTATCTGGTACAAGTCATAATCTCCTATTTGCTGATGCTTGTCTTTATGAACTTTAACTATTGGCTGTGCTTGGCCGTTGTTTTGGGTCTAGCAGCAGGATACTTTTTCTTTGGTTGCTTTAAGAAAGATGCGCAGGATAGCGATTGCTGTCCTTGAGCTGCCTAAACCATTTCTGTTTCATGACATGACATTGTTTAAAGTGTTCCAATACTTATTATATGGAACATTATATGTATGTTTATACTTTAAAGTATGGATAAGTTTTCTTTTTTGTTTTGTGTTCATTAGATTTTGACATGTAGTTTAATACGACCAATCAATCCCATAAATTCGAGCATGTTTCTTGTCAGCTTTCTTTACCGCATAGTTATTATAAATTCGGATCAAATATTTTGCTAAAATAAAAAAAAAAAAAACAATTTTATTTTGCAAAATGTTGTTTTGAGCTTTATGGCATAAATTAGTCAACTAGAATTTACTTACAGAGCATATTGTACAAATAATTATGAGAACAAGAACCTAGGTATATTTAAGACTTTACATTTATATAACACAACTCAATACTTTATATAATTTGTTTTACAATAAAAAAAAGTTGCCTATAAATGTGACAAACACAAATGAAAATCTCCAAAATTACATACATCAAATTCGTGAAAACAGAGCTCCCGCGAGTTCATCAAAACCTATCAATTACTAAACTTAACTATCATTTAAAAGGCATTCAGGCCAATGCTCAGCCAAAAATAAAAAATATATGTATATATATATGTTTTAATGAGAGTTGTTAGTATGATCAATAAGCTGAACATTGTCGCACAGACCTTAAGAGTATCCCTTAAACTAGTACTTGTATATGTATCATATTTATATGTGTGCATATTTATATATATATATATATATATATATGTATATCGTAGTTAAACCCTTCACACATGCCTGACTAACCAACAATTCGAGCTGCCTGGAGGAGCTGGGATGATGCCCTGTTGCCTCATAAACCGGTTGCTCCAGCCGTCATCATCCCTCCGTGATGGTGATGATGATGCATGCCGCCATTTTGAAAGTACATGTAGTAGTTGTAGGGCGGCTGCTGCCCCGGTCCCCCCTCGCAGTCCAACAGGGGCTGTCCACCGGTCGCAGCGCCCACTGGCGATGGCGTCATTGGCAGCGGCGACACTGTATTCCCTTGGCAGCTGGCCCGCAGGGCAACAGCCTGATGATGCGCCAGTATATCGGTAACTGAATGCGACGATGGCCAATGGCCGGGCGGAACACTGCGCAGCTGATGCGTCTGCCCGCCCTGCGGGGGCGATGGGCTGCCGCAGGAGACGGCCTTCATGCTGTAGGCGGCAGCTGCACTATACGGCTGATAGATGGAATTGTAGAGATGGGCGTGAGCGTGCACATGGTGAGCACTGGCTGCCACCGCTGCTGCCGTATGCTGGTGATGATAATGCTGGTGGTGGTGCGCGGAGTGTGGATGCTGAGTAGCATTGGTGGTATTACTGTTTCCGCCGCCGCCGACGCCACTGCCTACGCCTCCGCCGCCGCTGCTGGCGTTGCTGCCAATGGCACCCATTGATGAGGAGCCAATGCTGCCAGTGCTATGATGATGTCCTATGCTGCCCAGTTTGTTGCGCAGTATTCGCGATATGGAGCTGACGCTGGGCACATTCGTCTTGTCGCAGATGCCCTCGCTGAGCAGACGATCCCGGATCTCCCAGGCAAAGATGCCCGGATCGCGTTGCTTCAACTCCCGTATGTAGTTAACGACCTTGGGCGTGGTGACGCGCGGCTTGGACCCACCAATTGCACCCGGCAATATGGAGCCCGTCTCGTGGTAACGCGCCAGTATCTTCGAGACACAGCCGTGACTCACGCGCAGCTGGCGCGAAATGTCACAGGGCCGGATGCCCAGGCGGGCCAGTTCCACGATCCGCATTCGAGTCGCATTCGGCAGCGGTCGGCCGTTCACAAAGACGCCGCCCAGCTGATTCACTTCGCCATACTGCGGGCATTGCGACTCTGAAAGGAGATGGAGAGAGCACCGATTGAGTATGAGAATGTGTGCATAGAAAACCAGCAGCAGTAACAACAACAACAATAACAACAACAAAACCAAAAGCATCGAGATGGCAAACAAAAGCACATTTGCGTCTAATTAGCTATGGATCTCCGGTTCGCCTGAAAATCGCTACACTTTGCTTCCGAGAACTGCGGATGTGTGTGTGTGTGTGGGGGTGTGTGGGGTTGTGTGGGTGTGTGTGTGTGTGTGTGTGTGTGTGTGTGTGTGTGTGTGTGTGCGTGTGTGTGTGTGTGAGTGAGTCTGAATCTTGCTAGAGATTGTGCCATAGAAAACAACAAACCATGTAAATGCGCCGAACGTGCGGAAATGCATTTTGAATGTTGACGCAGAGCTGTCCCAGCTATGTGGCCCTTACCTAACTGGAAACACAAATTACTTGCTCACAATGGGAATTTAAAACTTATTAAGCTTTAAGTTTAATTTTTAAAAATATTTTGCACATTTATTTCATTGGTAAATAACAGCAAAATAAACAAATGAATTTATTGTAGTTATGTAAATGTTCATTGGGCAATTAAGAAATTGAGCTCACACAAAATAACAATTAAAGCTAAAGTCTTAAACTCTTCAAGAGTTGAATTATCGGATAATCTTAATAATTTGTGTGACTCTTTAAAAACTGTATTAATTTTCAGCGGATATTTAATTCCGAAATTGATCCAACATATGTTGCCTGCATTGGGAACAACCCAGAAACCCCGATTAGACCATATATTCTTGCTTCACATAAAACGAATATACTCATTTCTCCTCGGGAACAGAAAATATAAGATTCTCGATTTGTAACAAAGATTTCCCAAAAATTTTCAACATTCAAAAATATTCATTTGGTGATTAAACATGAATATTTACTATGGTGCTCCAAGCCAACTCAATTATGAATTATGGAATTTTAATTAAAATTAAGCTTGACTTCTTCCACTTCCCCACTCCACCCACAATGGAATGGAGGCATTTTGGTTGGATCACCTGCTCTTCTTCTCCCTGGAGCCATTGTCCGTCCACTTTACAGTCACTTAAGAAAATTTGCACATCTGTGCCTTATGCCGTCGTCTAATTTAGAATCATGTAGTTAGCTTCATGTTTCACAGCAACAACAATAAAAACAACAACAACAACAATAAAAAACGACGGCAAGAACAAGAGCAACTTAAACTAAGAACACGTACAGGGCCAGCAAAGTGCCTCGGACAGCGCCAGAAAAATCACAATAGGGCTGCCGAGTTACACGCGCCACAATTGTAAGTGCAAGAAATGGGGATCCAGGAACCCAACAAAAAGAGAATTATACATTATACCAAATAGTACATAGAGGGGGCCCGCAGAAAGATCCGTCGTCTGAGGAAACAAGTGAAACAAGTGTATCGACCTCGATTTTTTCTTTCATTCATAAGTGAAAATTGTACCTAGTTCTTAACGAGGCGCTCAGTTGGCCGCTTCAGCGACATGGTCATAATGAAAGTACTGTTCTAGCGTTGTACAGGCTGATCTCAGGTTACAGTAAACAAATTGGAAACCCGCCCAGACACTTGTTGCCCCTAACCGAAACGGCATCGAATTTCATGTACTGTTCCTGCACTGGCTATGCATTTGCGCACTTGTCAATTGCACTTCGATCATTTCAGTTAGTAAATACATATGTATTTCGCACTTGGGGCCATTCGCCAGACAAATAGGGCACACGGAACGTGCAGCTGCATAAATAATCTACCCAGTGCCATCCAAAACAAAAAGTTAAAGTTTCATTGAGAATCGCTTATGCTATGACAAACTTTCAGGTACTTAGATGCGTATGAATCTTCAAATGGCAGTTTAACTCATGAAAACAAAAAACCCAGCAATATTCTATTATTTTTCAAAACAAATACAAAAAGTTTGCGCTCTGTTTAGATTGCTATAAAAGCTGATCTCTCAAGCAGCTGGCATGTCAGTCAAAGTCAAGATGCCAATTGGAACTAAAGTTGTCGTTTTGCTGTTTGTGGTTTGCCTGGCGCTGAGCTATCAGGCAACACAGGCAAATCCTATAGAGGAGCAATCAGCAGGATTGGTATAATTATCTAAATCCATTTTAATATGTGTGTTACTAATTTTGTTGACCGTTACAGAAAAGCCAGGAATATGACTGGTTCTCAATGATCTTTGGAGATTACGACGAAGATGATGATAGCGAGTATTGTATGTAGTCAAAGTAGTTAAATTTTGGGGCTCAACTAAACACGGATTATCTTTGCAGTAATTTGTCGCAACTGCACCGTTCTGGTCGGCCAGGCCAATGCCACAGACATGCAACCTAATCCAGCTACAATGGCAAGCACGCCAGATACATCAACGGCCAGTCCAACTGGAGATGCACCAACAGCAGCCACTGCTGCACCTGCACCTGCCGCTGGCGCAGATGCAATGACTCCGGCACCAGCTCCACCTGGGAAATAACTTCATATATCAGAGTACTTTCCCACTAACTCCAATGAATCTTAAACGTATATTTAGTCTTTAGATAATTAATTTGTTTTTAAATGGGATTTGGTATACGAAGCATGGCTGGAAAATGTCGAAACTCTGAAAATGTTATTTAAGATCGGTCCTGGTCCTGGTATCGAAATTCCTGCAGTAATGCAAATTTATATATTATTATTCCAGGTGAAGGTGTAAGCATGAATAAATGTGTGTTTCACTAAATTACCCGATACGTGCAGTTAGGTAATTATTTAAAGATCATATAATAAAGTCTCTGGCATAAGTATCCACTTCAGGAGCAGATCAAGATATACACAATTGTTTTGACATAAGTCACAACAAATCGGCTGGCGCTCAATGCAGACCCACACGCATTGCCGTCTGGTTGTGGTCTGGTTCTGGGGACTGGGAGTGGGTCTGGGACTGGGAGTAGCGGTTCCATTCAGTTTCAGACTCGGTGGTTTTTACTGTATCTGTATCTGTGAATCCGTCGGTTTTATACATTTCGCTTGGCATTCTCGCAGTGACAGTAAATGTGATACGAAGGCAGCCCAAGTTGACATTATGTTTGACATTTGTAATCTTGCGATCGTTAATTATTTTCGAATTGAGTTACAAAGGGGCGCACATACTACAGACAGAGCCACACAGGAGCAAAATCTCCTCAATGCCATCAAAGAGAGAAAAATAGAGAGTGGGAATATGTAAAGCCAAAGATCATACAGCATTCGACAAATGTTCGCTCCCAAAATCCCATATTTAGCAGCCGCTGAAGTTTTGTTGTTTGCCTTCGGTCCGTCGGTATCTGTATCTGTGTTGTGGCAGGCATTTGTGGCATCCGCAGTGTGATAGCTGCAATTTGTTGCTCTACTCAACAACATTATCTTCGAGTGTTTGACTTTTGTGCTAAACGTTCATAAATTTGTCTCCACAAATGTTTTTAGTCGTCTGTTGCCTTAATGAATGATGCCGTTCAGTTTCTCTTTTTTCCCTTCTTTTTTTCCTCGGTTCGGTTTTTTGTTTTAGATCAATGTTTACTGTGTCATTTTAATGGGTTTTCAAATACGCTTGACATCAATTTTCGGCAATTATTTAAGATTAATGGGCAGCCAAAGTTGACCATTTCAAAATGAAGTTAATTATGATATTGAATTATGTCCGCTGATAAGAACAATACACTTACTAACTAGCCCGAGAAATTGGACATTAAACCAAATTGCACTTGAGCTGAGTGGCAGTTAACCGTCACGATAAAGATGCAATTGCTGATTTTTATGCTTATCACTTTTCAACTTTGTTTCGATTTGAAACTAACGTTTTAATTTAAATGTTAACATCTAATTTATGATCAATAGCCATTTGCACATCCGGCCTGCTTTGGGAGTCAGCGTCTCCATTCAAATTAGTCACGTATTTTTCCGATTAGCGCAACAATAATATCCCCCAATGGTTTGGCTTAGCTAGCGGATCAAGATGAGTCAGGGGCATATTTTGATAAATTATTGCTTATGGGCAAACTACATTCTTTCAATAGAGAGCATATTCACTAGTTACATTTTGACGTTCAACTGTTAAATATGTGATGATCTTGTTAAAAAACAGGAAAACAATATCTGAAAACAAAGTAAATTCTTCTATGTATTTAAAGATTCTATTGCAATGGGCGTGCGGAATGTAAACACTACTTAGTCCAGAGTCCACAAGATTTCAGTATGAGCTACCGACATGAGTGACCATGCAACGATCGTGCCACATCGACCCGTCGGCATTGGATATATGTTGTTGCTGTTGCTGTTGTTGTTGTCTGGTGTTGGTCTTATTAAAGGTGCAAACATGCCACCGCCGTTGAGGATTCAAATTCGAGAGTCGCCGCGTCGGTTACGATCAGAGAGCACTATTCCCGATGCGAGTAGGGCTAGTTGCACAGCTCCCGCTCAGGTGCCGCATCAAGTGTTTGCCCGATGCCCGTTGCCCGTTGGGTTTATTTTGCGTGTTTGTTTGCCTTTGGAAACCTTCGAATGTAGAGAGTCCACATTTTACGTAGACATACACATATGTATGCATGTAGTATTATTGTTTATTTAATTTTAAGTTACGCACAACAACAATAATAAGGGGCTCGGGCTACTTGAATCTACGCTCTAGACCATGTTTGCACTGATGTCTATGCTGTCTATATAACAAATATACAAAAATACGCTCAGTTGAGAGCGAAAGATAAAAGATACTTTGACTCTAATGAGGATCCGTATCCTGGCGAGTGGATAACCACTAGTCACTGTACTCACTGAACTAATCAAAGCAAACAAGTCTGAGCCGGTTATGGCTGCTGCTGATCCAAGTTGTGGTAGCTGTGCAGCGGCTTCTGTTAATGAAAAGCAAACACCTACAAAATGTGAAGATCACAGGCAAACAGCTTAAAAAATCATAAACTCAATTTTTTTTTATTTATTTTCGTATTATTTATTTTTTATTTTTTGTCAGGGTTAAGAAACAAGATGCGCGCCCTGCCCTGCCAATATTTGCTGACGGATTTTCGTATTGTGAATCGATGCGGGCTGTCATTAGACTCCTACTGCGGGTCCTTTGGCTTCTGTGTCGGCGAACGGAAGTCGCTATCGGTCGAATCGGGAACAAATGGCTTACAAATGGCTCTGTTTGCACTGAAATCCTATACACTATTTTTTCAATGAGTGTGGTAACCCGAGGAGCGGGCGAACCGCAGCTCCATGGAGCCGAGCATGGCCCTGCGCAGACCATAAAAAGCTCAATTAAAATTGTCTATAAAGCGAAATTATAATTCATAAATTCTGGGAAATTGCCGAATACAATGGCAGCCACTGTTCGCTAGCAGCCACTGTTCTGCGACGGCCGATAAACAAATTACAAAATGCTGCAGCAAATGAAGTAGCAGTTGCAGCTAAATGCTTATATATATATGTATGTATTGGCAGATATCTTGGCTTTCTAATTCTTAGAATTTGTGCAAAAACTTTCGCTTTGACAGAAAACCGCTCCAGGGCTTGTTTGGCAATTAAATGCAGCAAAGGCATGCCGCATTTGTGTATACATTTAAATTATATAAAAATGTTAAAGGTTCACCAAAAATGCACTGATGCATGCAAATCCAATTACGGGAGCAATTAACAAACTTTAACTAACTAGAAATAATTAAAAATAATATTTTGCTAAATATATATATATATATAATATAAATATATATAGCGGCGCTGAAAAGTTAAGTGGCGGATTAAAATATAAGTGTATATATATTTTACGAGAGAGACACTAATTTATTTCCTACTCATCTGCTGATAAGCAGCAATATATATATTTACCCCTGATTTGTCTGGGCAATGAATTGAAATCTCTGTCTTGTGTCTTTGGCTATTATTTTTTATAGTTTTTAACAGAAAAAAAAATGTTCAAACTTATCGCATGTATTTGTGTGTATTTTCATTTGAAATTTTTAGCTGACAGATTTCAAATGTCAAAAGGCAATAAACTAATTTCATGCATAATTGAATATTAACAAATTCAAAAGACATCTGAACATTTGGCAAGCTGATAAGCAATTTTTTATATACATATATGCATATAAACATGTGCTGTATATATGGTATTTAATCAACGATTTGTAATTCAGCGACCCCATCAATGACAACAATAGAAATGCAATATTCAAAAGAAAATATCATTTCGAATTTAAAAATGTGCCAGACGACAATTAACGCATTTCAACTTCAAACGAAGCTTTCAATATTAATTAGCAATGCAATTTGTTTAATATGTAGAAAAATACCGGCACATTAGTTAAACATTTAGATGAACAAAGGCAAGATTTCAATCAAATCAAATCCAATAAAATGGCCGCCAATTTGAATCGCAACGAATTATAGTTTACGCCCTCAGAATGCACATATAAATATTTGACATGAAATGGCGTAATTTCTTGATTTTTATTTCAAATATTGAGGACAATATTTGAGTTAATATTTGATGTCTTAGTGGAACAAAAAACCGCAGAGCTGCAAAGAAAGCATGGCAAATTAAATTTCCTTTTTCACTACAAGTTGCAATATGGCTTTGGCTGTGACTGTGGCCATAAATCTTTGGCTCTTGGCAAGTGGTAGCCGCACCCTTTGGCCACTGCCCCTCTTCTGACATACGATTTGATTGACAGCGCGATGCCTTCGCCAAAACTCAAGAGGGAGAATTGTGAATGCTCATACCCTGTACTATTTGATATGCACGGTATATTGTGAACATAAATAAAAATAATAAAACAAAAATAACAAAAAATAAAATCACTTTCGTTGATCCGCAAGAACATCTATCAAAGCTTTATATTCAACTAATAATTGTCCAAATAAAAATAGTTTCCATAGCAAAAATTGCCTAATTTGACTAATAGTAATTACACAGTTGAAGCACCTAATCATCTAAATAGATTCAAAGTGAGTGAATATTAAACATAATTATTCTTATTAACATCTCGTTAAAGCTTGCAGAAATCCCACACAGTCACAATCTAACTCAGTGAAGTGTTAAAAAAAATATATATAGAGAGGGTATCTAACAGTCGTGTAGACCATTTAGTTAATTCGTTTTGCATTTAAATAAAAAGAAAAAACTGATTTGCATTGCCAATGCAGCACAAATTAATTTAACAACTCAGTTGAATTCTGTTGAGGCTCGGCGGTTTTATTTTCATATCGCTTGCATTGCGTATACGCAGTGCTAGCCCCCAACTATACATATGCTTACAGCCATAATAAAAAGAATAAGCAAGCAGCCCAAACTTATTATTCTTGATTTTAAAAATAAGCATTTCACTTGTTCGTTGACGATTAAAATACACGTTTTATATGATTTCATGACAATATGCGACATACTAAGTGCTATATAAGAGCTTGTCGACAACTTTGTATGCGGAGCGTTGCACAATTTGCCGCACAATCGCATTTATTTATCAGTAAATTTCACAAGCAGCTAGCCACAAAGAAGGAAGCGTCTGCCTCACAGACTGTCCGTCCAAGGGTCCCTTTGAACTGTGGCAATGTTATTCCCATTTAATCAGCAAGAGTTCAATTTCTATCGTTATCTGGCAAAAGAGTGCGAATTGTCATCTGTTTACTTTATTATTGACCGATCTTTCTTTTTCTGTATTTTTGTGACACTCTACAGAGCGTTCTTAAGGGAGTTTCGATGCACTTTGAAGGTTAATATATTTTAGATTGTACATAATAATAAAATACGCTAATTTACATATTTTTAAATACTATCAATACTTATTTTAATTAAAATATGTATGGATTTTTATATATTTTTTACAAAAACAAATTAGAAAGGAAATATTATATTATATAATACAGCGGATTATATTCCCTAATTATGAAATAGGAGTAATATTTACTTTCTACAAAGAAATTAGAAATAATAAATATTAATTGACTCATCAATGGTTGAACATTGACACTGATCATTGATTAATATTCTACTTCGACTTAAAAATATTTTTTATCATTTTTAAATTACTTTTAATTTTTAAAATTACTTTATCACATTTTATATATGTATAATATAAAATGACACATATTTATTGTCTACCCTAACTAATATTTGAAACGTATCGAAATATTCCATGAAATTATCAGAACTTCGATAATGTTTAATGGATGACATATAAATAAATTGCATTATATAGACATATATGTATTGAAATTGTATTGAGAATGTGCAAGTGCTGTCTCAAATTATAAATTAAGCTCATTACTTTGTGTGGCCCCGCCTTGGAAGACATGCGCCCTCGCATATTCCCTCGTCCTCAGCCTCATCCTCGTCCTCACCCTGTGCATGTGGATATCAAAAGTACATAAAACTAAATAGATTCCTTTAGCGTCAACAACTTTGTCTGTCAACAGAAATGAATGGCTCCATAAATCACGGCAGCCACCGCAAAGTGGCGTCGACCAAGTCTCAGAGTTTCACTAGTAGGAAATATGACAGCATCTGCAGCATCTCAGTTGAGCTAGCAGCGTACCCCGAATCATCATCGTCATCATCATCAGCTCGAGAGAGAGAACAAGATTCCTGGGCCCGTTCCCGTTGCCGGCGCATGTAAAAGGGGGCGCGCCCAGAAGACATGCTGCAGTGACTTCAATTACGCGTACCAAGAATGTGGACAATGCGAACGCGCATTGCCCAAATACATAATATGTATGTAGTATGCCCATAAGTATGTACATAGGACAAAAGAAGCAGAGCAACTACAACTAAAACACATCCAAAAACACAAATCCAACCAATCGTTGGCAATGTACTAGAACCAAATCCGCTGCAACGCCACACTAAAAAAAATAAGCGCCATAATATAATTGAGCAATTTCAAACTAATAATATCATAAAAAATCAGATTTGTGCATTTATCAAATAAATATAATTAAAAGTGAAAATGAAAAGATATATCTTGATTCTTTCTACTTTAAAAAGATTGATGGCATTTTATAAATGCATCTTTCTTAAAAGTATAAATGCTTTTAACTTGAAATTTTTCGAAAATTTCTATATCTCTATGTAGAAATATTGAATTCACTTATTATTTATTATTATTTAAAACTTTTTTATTTACATATGAAATACGTTAATTACGACTCGATAAATTTCGAAATTGAGTCCTAAAATAATCTAGTTTGGTATTTTTACGTTCGTGAACATATATTTTTGCAGTGTAGCTATGGCTGAACTTCGCTAGCATCCGAGCTATGTGCGAGAAGGAAACGCCCGCCGCTGACAGGCATAAATTTTGTTGGTCGGCGCACTTTGAGCTCTGGAACTGCAGTTCCGGTCGTAGGTCTTAGGTCGCAGATCATAGAAGCCTTGGGGAATAGCTCAGTCATCAATGGGTTATGGGCAAGGGACTCAAGTTGAGTTCAAACATCTCTCTGCAGATGGTTGGTTTGCCAACATATTGATGGACTCGCATTAATTACGACCCAAGGGGCGCAAACACGTGCCCCCCTTTTGTTTAGTGGCAGATGCAGCGATTAGAAAATCATTAAACTTATGTTAATGAGCAGAGTTGGTGCTCGTTGGTTTGGCTACACTTGTCAAGTGTCTGCAGATCCTTTTTGGCAGCTGATGGCTCCATGTGGGCGGCCCTCATAATGAAATATACGCACCAGCTACCAACTGGCGGGTTGATTTAATTAAAGTCGTCTGTGCGGTCCACCGACGCCATATAATCAAGTCAGTCAGGCGTTATCCAAAACTTGAACGCAATCAGGAATATCAGACGGCGAAAGGAGTTTGTGCAACGCTGTGTAGGCAGTACATATGTATAAAGATATATATATATATATGAGCATGTGTATGTATGTATGTATGCATGCATGGGCACATATGTATACAGTTCCATTAAGACGTGTACACATTGACGCGACTTCTTCCTCTCTCAAGTGTTTGCCTGCATTTCTGACCGTCTTCGTCTTTGGCTTCGTCTGCGCCTTTATCGTTGTTGTTTTTCTTGTTACTGTTGTTGTTGTTGTTGTTGTTATTGTTCTTGCCTTTTGTTTTACTGCCCATTTCTGTGATTTTAGCATCTTGGCTTCGGCTGTGAGCTTTTATGTTTAGCTACCGAAGTAGATGGCTACCGGTAGCCGTTAGTCACGCATTTCTGCATCTTCATAGCCACTGGCACTGGCACCACTAACCCCCTCCCCTGCCCCATCCCCCTTTCACCCCCTCCTTGACCGACTACACTTCTCTGTTTGCATGTGCGTCTGGTCCATCTAAGTAAACAATGCTACTGCAGCGTACAAGCCAAATGTCAAAGCATCGAAAGCAAGTCATTAATGAACCGAAGTGGAAGATCTTCAACTCGGAATGCAAAAGGACAGCCAAAGAACAATTGGTAACAATTTTTGCCTGGCTAACTACAAATTCGAGGAGCGTAAATTTTACATAGTTCAACAATTCTTTATTTGACTTGTGCATATAACGGTTTCAATAACTTAATTTGTACAGAATCAAACCAATAAGAAAATCAACTTAAGTTGGATTTGATTGATCAACAATATTATAGTTCTATTAACATTCGAATTTTTTCAGCTCAATACTGCTTCTTGAGATTGTCGTTTTGTTTCTAAGAATATTACAAGGATTTTCTTCAAGTATAAATACATATATATTTATCCGTCATCTGTCTCTTAGTACCACTTATGTTGCACCAAAAACTAGTGATATTTATACAGATATCTCATATTAAAATTATTGTTTCCAAATATATATTTTGATTTCATAACAAATTACTCCAATTAAGAATAAGACCTTCAATTATAAAAAATGTACATATACACGGAGAATTCATTTCATTTTGGTAGATGATGGACGGCATCATGATGGCATCAGTCTATTACATAATCTGGGATGCAAACGCATGCCAAATAAATAACAACGGCGTTTATTTTAAAGATTGCGCAAATGGTTAATTGTAGATCGATATGTCAACAAATCCGACAAGCAAAAACAATACTCAACATGACTTTCGGCAAATAAAGATATATATATATATATAGATAAATATATGTGTTTTTATTTTGGGGCCAAAGCAAATGGACAAACAGAGACACGGACACTTGGTGGCAAAAGTGAAGACCGCACGACAACAAACACTGTGGCACAGACCACAAACATTACAACGATCATTAGTTAAATTAGAGGCAATGGCAACGTCGACATTTTTAACTTGTGCTTCAGCTTTGGCTTCGCCCATCCTCAGTCAAAGCAAACAATTGTCAACAATTGGCTACCGGGAGGCTGTCGATCATGCGCAAAAGGCGGCAAGCGGCGTTGCCGCTCAACCTTTGAAACGAAAATCAAAAACAAATACAGCTACACCTCTACACATACACACACACACACACATACATACATAGGTGGTACTTCTGCACCGAAAAGTGTCTTGAGCTGGGGACACTGTTTGCATTGGGGCATTGCGACAACAAGTCAGGTGTTCAGCTGGGTTACCAGGATGTGAATGCGCCGAAACACTTGGCTTATGTCTGACTTTTGTTTAAGCACGAATTTCCCCACTTCAGCTCAGTTGAAGATTTCTACCCAAATGCCGACGGTGTTTAACAATTAAATTCCAATAGACTAACAATATGCTCAAGAAGAAAATGTAAACTGAAAATATTAGCAATTCAACAAGGGGAACATCGTTTAACAACCCATTCATTCTTATTGCGAACATACCTGGGTCCATTTCCAGATTAAAGAAATCCAGAATTGTATCTGCTTATAGCAATATCCGCTCCAATTTGACGACTTTCACCGTTCGCTTGTCCGTCGCTTGCGAATGTATATATTTATATATATTATTATTATTTATGTATTTAATTGTAATCGCACAGAAAGGGAGTTTGCGTTAACCGTTAAATACTCGCACTTGGCTATATTGTTAGTTTCAATTAAGGCATGAAATTTGCACAAATTGACGGCGCCTCTTGACCGGCGCCACGCCAGTTGGATTTAACTGATTGGATTTCGATTGGATAACCGTTTCGTTTTATTTCGTTTCGTCTCGTCTGGTCTCGTTTTGTAAGTACTTGGCTTGGTCGCGTAAGTTGCTCCTCAGGTGAGTTGTTGAACCACAACTGAAATCTGATTAGCACATTTTGGCAAGCGATCGATGGCTTTTGTTCAGAAATTATCACGCACTTTTCACACCTGATTTGTATTTATTTGTATGTGGCACTTTGGCAGTAGTTGAATTTTCATATTATATTTAATTTAATTAATATTATACTCATAATCGAAATCCAAGAAATCCGCCGTTACTTTAGACTTTATGCCCTTATTAATCGGCATTGATTATTGATCGCACAACAAACACCAACAAAGATTGCACTAATTCTTGCTTGTCACAGTTGCAGTTGCAGCATTAAAATCCAATTGCCCGTTGCCACTTTTGCCTGTTCAGCTACTGATCCGTGATCCGTGATCCATGTGTGGGAGCAGCGCACGTTTCACTTGCACTGTCACAGCTCCAACTTGTTGTTGTTCGTCGTCACCCGTGTCTGCTGCGACTAACGGTCGCTCGCGTTCATCAATCCACAGCGAGCCACATGCGAAAAGAACCAACAGCCAACAACAGTCAAAGCGAACGAACAACAGCAACGAAATCGACGACTGCGACGCAGCATCCCAAGATCTCATTCTCTCTCCTTCTTGCACTCTCTCCCTCTCTCGTGTGTGTGTGTGTGTATGTATGCATATCGATGTGTTGTTTCCTCTTTACACTCACATTCATATCGCACACACTCGCACTGAGGGCGGCGATCGCTTTGTATTTGTTGGTTTTAATGGCGCTGCTGTTGTGTGTTGGTGTGCGTGTTTCAGTTGGCTGGCAAAAAAACAAAAATGAAGAATGTCTTTCAGCGAACAGGAGCGCACTCGGTTAAACAAGCGCCCAACTAGAGAGAGTGACAATATGCAAATTTAAACCTGTTTAAATACAATCTGTTTATTTTTAACTTGTTGTCAGCCTAAATTAGCGTATTTTTATCAAAAAGTGATTAGTTATGTAAAAATGGAATACGGCTAGTACATTTCTGTAATTTTTGTAAACCTCCTCAAATGTGTTGCCTGAATATAAATTCGATAGCAAAACATTATTTGAAACAAACAAGAGACTCAACCACTTAGCGCCCCACACCTGAGAAGAACCCTCGATGCGCTCTTGTGCTCTCACACATACAATTGTGCATTATACATTTGTGTGTGTGTGTATGTGCTTGGTGTATAGTTGTAGGTTCACATCTCAGCTGCGCACGAGTAGTCTGCGCTTGTGACTCTGACTAACCATACGCAACCGGGCGGAGTTAATTTTTGAATGCTTGAATGGCCAATCTGAAGCAAGTAAGCGTATCCGTAGCGTTCCGCCGTGTGCCCGAGCGATGTCATGACTTTTTAGTATCACACACACACACAGAGGCGGGGCCGAGGCAGACCGCCTAGCTTGACTTCCTCTTTAGCTCTCCTGCTGATGATCGCGTGCATCTATTTTTGCTTCATTAACAAAATCGTATCATTAGAGCGATCGTTGTATGCTAATAAAACGGCACAGGGCCATATCCCTTTTAGCTTTTACCCAGACAAGGGGTGGTTGAAGGTTGGCGGGGAGTACGGGTTTGGTCATAGTGCCCTGATGGGATCTGCACCTTGTCTGCGGCATGGCTGCCTCTGCTGAGATGCTGCATTTCGATTCTCGCCGAGCCGTTGCGATTCGCATGGTTAGACTTAATTATAAGAATTGCTGTTGTCTTCATATTTTTATCATTAATATTTTATTTAGTCATTTAATTGTAGCTGCCAATTTTGGTTGTCATTTACTCATTATAATGACACTCGCCTCACGCCGCTCTATTACACTTACATTTACACATCAATATCTGTGTGTGTTTGCCAGTATATACATGTATGTATGCATTTGTGAGTGCGAGCGTTACGATTGTGAGTGCCTCACATACACACACACATAAATACATACATACACACATACGCGCACTCAGAGTCTCAGCAACCAGTTGGACACGCCTCCTTACATTCGCGTTGGCCTACCTGCGCATACCTTTTGTTGCGAATTTAACTCTCTGCTCTCACATTCTATCTCGCTCTCTTTGTATCTCTCTCTCTCTCGAGCTCTCTCTTCTGAAGACTTGCCTTGATGATCGCCATAGTGAATGTTTGTTTTGTGAATGGTTTCGTTGAGCTTTTAAGTACAATTTTAAGTTTCAATTTGTATCCTGTATTTTGGGAGCCTTTTATAGCATACTGAACTCAATTTTATCAATCCAATGTACGACTTTTATACCATGAGATGCCTCAGAATAAAGGCAAGTGGAAAAAGATTATTTCATATTTTGCCATTGCGCACATAAATATGTATTAAAACTCTTGATACAGATCAGTTTTTATTTCAGATGCTTTTGTTTTTGTAGCCAGATGAATTTCACATGAATTTCACTTAAGTAACTATTCAGATACAAATATATTTACAAAATGGTATAGCTAAAACTACATTTATAAATTAAATTACATTAATTTTTTTATTACATTTATAAAATAAAGTTGTTTCAATTAAATTTGTGAAAAGTGCCTGAATTGTAGAATGATATTTGAAACTTTTCGCAAATGATGATGATATCCAGAATAGCTATCTTTATTTTCAATTTTAAAACTATTTGTATATTTAGTTAGAAACGAGTTACTGTGGAAAAAGTTACTAAATAAAATTTAAGAATCCATAGACGCCGCAGTTACATTTATCATGATCGTATTGTGGCTTACTTGTTGTCCTTTTAAAAACTTAATGTACAAATATTTGTATACATATCAAATTAGACTTAAAATAGGATCATGATAAATTGTGGCTTCTAAGCATTTTTAATATACTTTATATATATTCGTAATATATACCAATTTACATATAAAATATTAATTGCCAAGAAATCAGTAATATTAAACCCACTTCATTATTCCGTCATTTCCAAACTAATGTTACGTACATATACATATCAAAGTCGAAAAAAATAATGACAATAATTAGCCATATGCGCAAATTAAAAGCCGCAGGCCGTAAATGCGGACCCAGATGAAGCTAAAAGCGAAATTATCTGTGTTTAACAAATTGGGTGACATTCTTTGAAGTTGCCGCGAGCAGCCGCGACAAATGACAAGCATAACAAATGAATATTATGTGTTTTTTTCTTTTCTCTTTCTTATTTTAGTGTTATAACACCCAACAGAAATAACATTGCGAAGCCCGAAACAAATATGCGCGACACTTGAGAAAACAAAAGACGCATCCGTGACAGTGGCGGCGGGAGCAGAAACGCTGGAGAGGCTTCGAGTGTCGTAAAGTGGGCAAAATCTACAATAAAATTGACACATTCGGTGCAGACGATCCCTCACTTACGTAACACACAACTAGGACAAAGGGTGGAAACACTGGACGGAAGCGTCAAATTGTCTACGCCGACACTCTTAAGGTTGGGTGGACCTCGTTAGACAGTATCAGGATCAGGACTGATTGTGTTGCACTGGCAAAGCACTTGAAAGTGGACATAAAATGGCTTAACGCGACTGTAGTTAACACGATGAGTTATTGGAATAAATTCGAAGCGGCTCACTTGAGAGGCAACGCACCGCAACTGTCACCTGATCCGAGAGGTTCGCACCCGGGACACGTTTACATGCCCAATTGTAGATGAAGTTGTCTGTAATATTGCGCGGTAGGTTGCTGTTGAACAAGTCATCCATCGGCTGGGTGAAAAATTTGGACATATGTTTCTGCTTCTCATCGGTTTCAATTTCACAGGCCAAATATCCTCCTTGCCCTTTTATATATAATATATATATATAGATATATATATATGGCGTGAAAGATGCGCTTCCCATTTCCCGCCGATTCAATTTTTGTTGTTGCCGCCGCCTTCATCGCTGCTCCCGTTGTCTGGGGGGCGTTCTGGTTAATAAATTTTAAAAATGCATTTCAATATTTTTAAGCATTTACTTTTTCCAGCAACCATAGCGTCTGTTTTTGTTTGTATATCAAAACACAATCCCCAATGGCAATCATGTATGAGTTTTCCATAAACAGACATAATGAATGCACCACAATAATATTTTGATAATATATATGCATATATGTTTTACATTAAGAAATTATAATTAAATATGGGAATCATTTTGGGGCGAAACCATCATGTTTTTCCAGCTTTTTATGCACACATTTGATCAATATTTATACTTTAGCTTAATGTGCTTGAAATCACTTAAACATGCATTAATAAGCAATGCGCACGTATTTGATGTTTATCGTAAATTATATTGTTGGTGTTAATTAAAAACCTTCTTCGACGGTTTACTCAGCCAGCCAGTTAAACACAAGTCGGAAGCAACGATCAAACCACAAAGTTGCCGACCAAGCTGCCAAATGTTAGGGTGTTTTTTATTTTCATTTCAATTTGTTATTTTTGGGCATGAATCGCCCTCTAACCTGTGCCAGTGGGCACGGCATTGTGGTTTCAAACAATAATTAAAAGCAAATAAATAAACAGATTTGTTCAACGACTAATTGAAACTCAAATAAATCACAAAAAATTTAACTAAAAGCGTCGCTCAAGACCACCCAGGAAAAAAACCTCTGTGCTCAATCGATGTTGGCGGCAAAAAAAAAAGTTGAGTTGTAATCAAAGTGTTAATAGGCCAAACTGGTTTCGGTTTTGGACATGGTGGGTAGCTCGATCGCCCTGAAGATTTCGCTGCATCCCAGTGCTGACCGAAACCGACGACAATCTGACAAAACACGAAGATGTTGACGACGTTGCTCATTCAGCGGCCGTTCATCTGAGAGTTGTTGAGATTTGCCGCAACAAATACGGAGATGGAGGCGGAGATGGAAATACAGACGAAGCCGGAGACAGAGGCGGCATCAGCCGCAGCAACAGCAGCATCAGCGAGTTTGCTTCACGCCGGTTGCACTTGAATGCTTCAACGACATTCTGATTTGTGGTTGCGGCTGCTGAGACTACGGCATTGGCAACGGGCAGCAACGACAAGGGCCTGGATATATGTAAGAGCGCGCGCCGTTTGCCCGGCAATATTTCACGTGAAAAAGAAAACTACAAAAATTGTATCTATGTGCGTATAATAACAAACAAATGCCAAATGCCGCTTCTGGAACAAAAAAAGGTGAAAGTTTCCACTACGTGGTCTGCAACACACATTAGGCTCTATTGGGATCTTCTATTGGGGTGGCAATGGGGCTCTCCTCGTCTCTCTTGTCGCCATCTCACTCGTGCACCCTTCGGCAGAGCGCGCTTAATTTCAATATGGCGTCGCTGTCGTTTCCGCATGCTGATGATGATGATGCCGCTGTTGATAGACGCGCTTTAAATGCATAAAATTGCTGACTATAAATAACATTTAATGAAACACATTTTTCGATTCTTGATTCTACACGCTGCTTCCCGCCCTTTTCATATTGTTGTGCGGTTAGTTTTTTGTATTATTTTTGTACTTTGCATTTGGCAAAGGATTGTGGCAAAACATTTAGTTTCGCATCTTCTATGCCTTTTGAGTTATTATTGTAATTTGACTGTGGGCAGTCGTGTGGAACGCCAGCCAGTCGGAGTTCGTCGGCGTCATTAGGCTACGATAGTGTTGGCTGCCTGTTGCAGAGTCGTCCATCTTTTGGAATTTTTGTCATTTCCAATTGTACATCAGCATTTTTCACAGTCTATGAAATATAATAAGTTTGCGACAAGTGCACATAATTTCTATACCATGGACCTATGCGTTTAATTAATTCTGCAAAAATAGCAGATAAAAACTTCGAAATAAATCAAGCAATTCACAGAACTTTGCACATCTTACATCTTACAATGTACTCCGCAAGGGATCGTCGGAGATCTACATATATACTGGTTCTACTAAGTACTAAAAAACCACCTACACACATCCGCCCAAATATGTTAACGGTAAACTCGCGTTCGTTTTATGCGTTTCGCGCGCGCATCTCAAAACTTAAATGTGCCGTAACGGTAAATGAAATAGCAAAATAGTTGTTCTTCTTCCCCACACACACACACACACATGCACACAAAGAAAAATTGCACAGAAAACTCTTAAAATTTCTATATGAGTGTTTCTCACTCAATATTTTCTTTTAGTTTTAATGCTTTTATTTTTATTTAAGTGTTTATGGAGAAATAACTAATGAAAACGCCTTAAATTGCACATTTCGCTTTTGTGGGATGCTCTTTTTTTAGTTATTAATAAACACACAACGTCTGCTGTGTGTGTGTGTGTGTGTGTGCGTAAGTGTGTGTTCGGCAATGTGTGTTAAAGCGCAACATGATTCGCTCGATTTAATATTCATTTTCATGCCAAAGGCAACACGCCGAGTTGCCGCCCTTTGATTTATAAATCGTGGCTCCTCGGCGGATCCAAAACCGACACCATATCTACCCAGCGGCAACGATTTTCGTTTTGTCGCGCTGTTTGTTTATTTAATGTCAATGCAATTTAATTCTTGACTTCTTTGTGTGGGTGTGTGTAAGCCAAGAGAAGGACAAGTAAGAATATTCGGCAAATTTAAAATGAATAATAACACCACATATGTTAGTTAAGGGACTCAGTACTTTGATTTATCAAACAAAACACAAATTAAAACATTTGTTGTAGTTTTCCAACAGTTTACAGCTAAGTTCTTATATTTCCACGCTTCAAATGCATTTGCGAATGTTCAGTTACAATTTAAACTTAGTTAGTTAGTATTAACACACAGAACAAGCCAGGAAGTTGGACATCAGGTTTGCGGATTCACCTCTGTAAGAGATTATAAATTCAATATAAATATATATATTTAAATATAAGCCACTACTTACACTATGAAAACACAGAAATATAAGTTAACTACGCTGCAACAAATGTGCCGGGGGGGTTGATTATTTAGCGGATTTGCTGGTTATGGCTTAAGCTTAAAAGGTTGACTATATAGCGAGCGCATTATTCCTGCTTCTGGGGCACACTGAGCTCATAGAAGAGCTTGCCAATGCCACCAAGTCCGACGAGGGCCAGCGCCATGGTGATGCGATAGAGCACACTATCGACAGTGGATCCCTTGAGGAAAACAGGCTTGCCATCCTTCTTCTGGAAATGCTCCTGCACTTTGCGGATTTCAAAGTAACCCTTTGCGATCTGATCCTTGCTGGTTGCAGTTGCACGACGAGAACTAGTGGTGGCAAAGCTGCGCACAACGGCCTGCGTAACAAAATTTGCGGTTAGTTTGGGTGCTCCAGTAAACTTACGTAATTGAGTCATAAATAGCATAACTCCATGGACGTTTGACAATGTACATTTCTCGCAGTCGTACCACACCAGAATAAATGTCTCTAAATCTATACTCACTCTGGATAGGTTCATCATTTTGTTGGAAGTGTTATATTTTTAGCAACTGAAATGCAAACGGTTCTAAGTGAAAAATTCACGGCACTCAGTTATGACAGCTGTTTGACGTCTATGGAGAACGTAGTTGCCACATCGTTTCGAACATGACATTCACACAAATTTACCATTCACACGCATTCATTGGCGGCATTCTCAGGGAAATATATTGTAATTTTAATGCTGACTTAGCTGCAGCTGCTTAGTATAGACTTATTTATTTATTTAAAAAAACAAAAGAATCGCCCAAAGCCGCCATGGGCTTTCTAACAGTATTGAAAAAGATGCGTCAAAAAGAAAAGGAGATGCGTATTCTGCTGCTGTAAGTTTCGCCTGCCAGCAAAATGATTGCGAAGAATTGTGATTCATTCCTTATGAACCTTTTTTAGTGGTTTGGACAATGCAGGCAAAACGACTATACTGAAGCGATTTAATGGGGAGCCCATTGACACAATCTCGCCTACGCTGGGCTTTAATATTAAGACACTTGAGCACAACGGCTACACACTAAACATGTGGGATGTGGGCGGACAGAAGTCGCTGCGCTCATATTGGCGCAACTATTTCGAGTGCACAGATGGTCTCGTCTGGGTGGTGGACAGTGCGGATCGTATGCGTCTGGATACCTGCAAGCAGGAGCTGCAAATACTGCTGCAGGAAGAACGCTTGGCCGGCGCCACATTACTGGTGCTGTGCAACAAACAGGACTTGCCCGGTGCTCTCAATTCAAACGAGATTAAGGAGGTATTTATTTGCATACAGTTTACAGCTCCTAAAGTTATATTAATATATTGTTGCTTACAGATCCTTTGTCTGGATGAAATAACCACACATCACTGGTTGGTTGTGGGGGTTAGCGCTGTTACTGGAGAGAAGCTGCTAAGTTCCATGGATTGGCTCATAGCTGATATAGCAAAGCGAATATTTACATTAGATTAAAGCATCATTATTTATCGAGCAAATACATTTTGTATAGTTTCTCATCCTTTTCGTTGGAAAACTGTGGCTTGAAATTCACTTTGTGAATCGTGACAAAGCCTTCTTCCAGCGTGGGTGCCTGGTACTTTTTCTTCATCATATTGAAGACCATATCATTAATTTTGGAGTGATCCGTGTCCAATAGTTCGCGATAGGCAATATTGTGCTTCGCCTGCGACACCGTCACATTCATCACGAGGCAACGACAGGGCACTTTCATTTCCACGGCCAGAGCCACGAACTTTTTACGCGACGCCGCATCCACATTGGTGTTGTCCACAACACAAGACTGGTTAGCGATCAGAGCCTGCTTGCACGCATTGAGGCATGCTTGCGTGCTGCCCAAAGTGTCTGCATTGGCGATCTTGTAGCTCTTGCTATCGAGCACCTCGGCACAGAAGTGACTCTTGCCCGAGCCGGGCAGACCGACAACGATTATCATTTCGCATTTGTTCGTGTCGAATTGCAGGTCATTTGGTTCATATCGTGGTATTTCAGTGTGCACGCTGGTGGGATCGAAGTCCGGCTTGTTCCATTGCTCCACACGCTTGCCAAGGAAATGAACCTCGGGCGTATAGAAGGAGACTCCAATATTGGTGGCAAAATGTCGGTCTGCCAGCGAATGATCCTTGCGCCGCTTGGTGATTCCCTTGCCCGCCTCTGGCCTGCCAGCAGCATCGCCAACGTAGAAGCAACGCTCTTTATTAATTGGCACAGCATCATTCATTTCATTCTGCAGATGCTCCCACATGCCGGGCAATGGCTTACGATAGTAGCCATCGCCCACAGCTATGAAAACCTGGACGGGCACACCTAATTGCTTGACGATGTTCTTCACCTTCACCTTGAAATCGTCCAGGTTGACTTTACCACGCGCAATGCCGGCCTGATTTGTGAAGAAACAGATTTTGAAGCCGTCCTTGTGCAAACGCTGGAGTTTCTCGGGCACCTCAGGATATATGATCTGCCAGTCGGTTGTGTTCTTTGGGAAGACATTACCCGATTTTGTCGTTATAATGGTGCCATCCATGTCGTAGCCGGCAATTTTGCTAGAGGCTGCCAAATTGGCGCTACTGTAGATTACCAATTTACCATTCCCAACCGAGTCCCATCTCTCCGCCTCACTCGCAGCACCTAGCGAAGACGTTGCTTCATCCTTAGAGCTGCTTTCGTCGTTCTCTGGTGCCGGATTGAAGAGCACTTTATACGGATGCCGACCGTAGACAATTTCCAAAAGATCGCCGTGCTGCAGTTCGCATTTCGTGTGCTGCGGCGCCATTACGCCATTGATGCCGCATGGATTAAGACCCACAACTTTAAGCTTTATGCTAGCCGATGGTAAATTGACTTGCAGTTGAAGCTGACTCTTGGAACACCGGGAATCTCTTATGCCAGTTTCCTTGCTCCGTCCAATCACATTATCCCCGTTAACCAAGTGTATGGCACTGTGCTCGGCCTCCATGGGTTTGAGGATGCAAACTCTTGAAACAGCCTCTTTACTGGCTTTAGCCACGGAACGGTTTAAATATTTGGTTAACGACATTATTATAATACATCAAATAAACAAATTCAAGTGCATAGCGAAAGTGTTTATAATTTACCGATATCATATTCCGATATTTTCAAATGAGTTTTCGATAACACGTAATTGAGATTAAGATATCGATTTTATCGGCGCAATCAGTTAAATTTAAAATAGATTTTAATCAAAGATACGCCTAGTAAATATAAATAAAATTGAATACCGGATGTTGCAAAAATAAATATGTAATAATAATAAAGGCATATACGATCTCGTAAATATAGAATAAATAGTTATTAATTGGAAACGTTTTCAAATTATGTTTAAAATTTTGAATTCATAACAATAAAATAAATTGCGTGTATGCTAAAAAGCATTCAATCTAGTTGCCTCTTCAAAAAACACATATTTCAACTGGCTATGTGTACAGACAAGCTCATTCCCAAAAATTTTTGATTTGATTCATAACATATGTATTAGCTTTTTTGAATTTCCGAACGATATGCAGAGAATCAGTTTCACAAAATTACGCGTAAGTATTTCAATGATATTTTCTATATATTAGCTAATAAATTTTCTCCAGCCACTATTGCGCGAAGCCAATGGGTGTGGCCATATATCCCCCATGCTTGCGCTAACACGTTCGATTCAACCATCTCCGATTGAGATGAACAAGTCTGGAAGCACTCCTGGCAAGATCACACTCAAGATGGCCAAGCTGCAGAAACAATTTCAGGAGAACAATGATAAACCTGTCTTTCTCAAAGGCGGAGCCATGGATTCTATTCTCTACAGACTCACTCTGGTGCTGTGTGTCATCGGCATTGTTGGAGATGCATGGCTATGGCTTGGCTACATAGTAGCCTAATCATAATCATAATCGTATTACATAGATAGTCACGCAGAAAAACATGAAATTTAGTTCAAGTCTATGAAGCTCAACATGTGGTAATGTTACTGTACACAACATAACACAACAAATTACACTTAATATTGTTAATAAAGAAGCATTCCATTTCAATATCAATATACATAACATTCGACTTATTAGTTCGACTTTGGAAACAATTTTATTAACAATTTGTAAATTATAATTTATATGAGACACGACTTTTAAACATTTGTCATTTCGTTTTTGTGCTCTCATCGTCTATTTTGTCTATGACTTGCTTCAAGCAGTCTTTCGTCGATGTCTTCTCTAGGTCGCAGATGCGTGTCAGATCCATTGTAGCGATCTGCTCTATCATCTCCTTAATCTTCTCTTGCTTGATAATCGATTTTACCGACTGACGAAGCCCAGTGCGCGTCTCTGACGTCCTATGCTGCTCAGTGGAATCGTTTTCAATGTGTCGTCCCTTGGCTCTGTAGTGTTGTTCAATAATTTTCCGTATTTTCAGTTTAGTAGCGACACGGGATGTACGCGTTGTATGTTCCAGGGCAAGATTGCGTAGTTCCTGAAAGTTGATTTCCTTAGCTGCTTCAACTCCATCAGCATTGAGTTCCCCTGACATTTCCTCTACAGTGTTTACTACTCCATCGTCGTCGTCGCCACCTTGCTCCACCTCCGTTTCATTCTTCAAAATGGGATCCTGTTCAGAGATATCATTTAGCTTTACATCACTGTGGCCATCTTTGACAGATTCGTCAGGCTCTAAGGTCTCCAGAGGGATATCCACCACTGGCTTTATTTTATCTGTTTCGGGTTTTTGTTTCTTGCGTTTCATTTTTGCATTTTCTTTTGAGGTATTTTCCTTAGATACCTTTTCTTCTTCATGGAGAGGTGCCTTTCCAGCACGCAATCGTTTTTTAAGTATACCAATGCACGGCTTAGTCTTGATGCGCACCGGCAATATGGAGTTGTATTGTATGCCGATGCTGTTGAAGCAGTCTACATATTCCATCGTCTCAAAATCTTCCTGCAGCGTTGCCCACAGTTCCGTGTTGTGTTTGCTCTTCGCTTCCACCAACAAGTGACTGTAGCTGGCGATCTGTGCTTGAGTATAGTTCATAGTCTCATCCTTGCTGTAAATCCAATTGCTTTTTATTTCCATGAAACGCGATACACCGCTCTGAGCAGCCAAATTGGCAATGTGCACAGAAACATTGGCAGTTCCCGGCTCCAGTCGATGCAAACGTGAAAGCGCTACGCCACCCGGATAGTTTGTGCCGGAAACAACAAGCAAGAAAATGGTTATGATCACATTGACCAGCAAATGTGAAGCAGCAATGAGCGCCAGAAAACTATGCCAAGCAGATTTGGCACTGTTCATCCACCTGACAAAGACAAAAGAGAATCAAATATATATTCAAAAACATATAAAACTATTTAACTTACATGCGTTGACAGGCGCAGGCCGCTGCAATGTTGAGAACCGGAAATACATAGATTATGAAGCGCATCTCTTTATGTGGCAGCACTGAATACAAGAGTACGAATAACAATGCCGATAGGGCCAACGACCGAACACGCCGCTCAAGGTAAATGCCAATAGGCACAAATACCAATGAGAGGCCCATGGCACGCGGCAGCGCCGAGTAAAAGTACCACAGGAATGGTGATGTGCCCCAGTTGGAGCTCTTGTTGAGTATGGTGTTGTACCACAACACTTCACCCTCGGGCCACAGAAGGCGACGCCAAAAGAACGAGTCCACCAAAACAGTGCCCAGCAATATGCACACACCAGCGGGCAAAGCAATTTTCAGCAGACTGTAAAAAAAAAAATGCATTGACATTAATGGAAATCTCTAGTTAAAAGCATATGTCAACTGTACCCATCAATTGATAGCTTTTGTTGGAACAGGTCCAGTGCAAGAAACAAGCCCAAGAAAAGTGCCAACTCGGACCGAAACACAATTATGGATATCGCTGAGCAGATGATGAAGGGCTTCGCTTGGCCACGCATCCAATATGTAATGGCATAAAGTACTGCAAACGAGTCAAAATAGAAAATTATTGATAATTGCGTTACAGATAATAAACCAAAAAACATACCCAGTGGCAATGCAAAGATGTTGGGCAAGGGGCGCGTCATATAGAAAATGAAATGAAATTGTGTTATGGTTATGGCCGTAAACCAAAGACGCACTTCAGCATCAAAGATCTTTGTTACCGCCTGGCGCAAATTAGTCCAGGCAACCGAAATGGCACCAGCCAAAACAAGCCGAACTGTAGGAGAAATTGATGTTAGTGAATAAATGAGCCAGACTTTAGTTTTATCAGTGTATTTTACCTACATATTGTGCCCAGAATTTATTCATGCTCATCGCCTCGAAGAGCAGCACAAACGGAGCTGACAATATCGATATAATTAACGGGCCAATAAATGTGCGAGGCACAACGCCTGGATACTCATGATGATCATAAGCCGTGAAATTGTTGCGCAAATATAAAATATCATGCATAGCCTGCAAATTGAAGCTCTCCTCGACCTTTGTGAAGGGTGTATAGAAGAGATGGGCAGCTGCCGTCAGGAAGACGATGGCATCCATATTGCCCACTTGCTTGCCTTGCAGTTGGTGTTGGCGGCAAGCTAATCAGAATCAATGTTGTCGTTTAGCTGGATATTAAATTGGCATGTTACATAATGGTCATAATTGTGCTGGTGTCACACACAAAATGCTATGTATTTTCGGTAAATGCACATATATTTCACTCGTGACGTTTTTTTTTTCTATCATCAAATAGACCGGTCGACGTCAACAATGTCGTCCTATTTGTGCAAACCAATTTAAATATTTAACATTGCCAAGTATTGATATTATAATAACTCGGGCGTTAAATGTATATTTTTGTTTTTCTTTGGAGCACAAATTACATTTCCAAAAAAAAAATAGAAAATTGATTTAAAAATAGATCCGTTCCACGTTAGAAGCAACAAGAATAAAAAATCAAAAACGACAACACACCCCTCTAACAGCTGCTCGTGACTCACGTACGTTTACTATTTTCGCATCGTGAGTAAGTGTGAAAAGGTGGCAATACTGGCAACGGTGGCAGCCTCACAACACTTTTCTACACAATTTCAAATCTCAAGTCATTCTCATTGCCTTCGTGACATATAATAGGAAAAGCACATAAGAACAACAGAAATATGAATAATATTGATCCAGAAATGCTTGATGAGAGTGATTTTTATGTGATTTACAAGAAATTGCAACTGGAATTAGAGCTACTACGCGTTCAGGAATACTACATAAAGGAGGAGCAGAGCAATCTAAAAAAGGAGTATTTGCATGCTCAGGAGGAGGTTAAGCGTGTTAAAGCAGTGCCCCTGGTTATTGGTCAATTTCTCGAAGCCGTTGATGAGCACACCGGTATTATAGCCTCAACAACGGGTTCCAGTTACTATGTGCGCGTCTTATCCACTATAGATCGGGAACATCTAAAGCCATCGACTTCGGTGGCCTTGCACAAGCATAGCAATTGTTTGGTGGACTTGGTGCCGCCAGAAGCAGATAGCACTATCTCATTGATGACACCGGATGAGAAACCAGATGTGACATACGCCGACATCGGTGGACTCGATATGCAAAAACAAGAAATTCGGGAGGCCGTCGAATTGCCATTGACTCACGCCCATTTGTATAAGCAAATTGGTGGGTAGTCCAGCATTTTTGACGCTTAAGCTGATTGGTGATTACCTATAACCCATTAACTTCTGCAGGCATTGATCCACCTCGCGGAGTGCTACTCTATGGTCCGCCGGGTTGCGGCAAAACGATGCTGGCCAAGGCAGTCGCCAATCAGACAACTGCTGCATTTATCCATGTCGTGGGCTCAGAGTTTGTGCAGAAGTACTTGGGAGAGGGACCACGAATGGTGCGTGATATATTCCGGCTGGCCAAGCAGAATGCACCTTCGGTCATATTCATTGATGAGATCGATGCGATTGCCACTAAACGCTTTGATGCCCAGACTGGCGCCGACCGGGAAGTGCAGCGCATTTTGCTGGAGCTCTTGAATCAGATGGACGGATTCGATGAGACTACCAACATAAAGGTAATCATGGCAACCAATCGTGCAGACACCCTAGATCCGGCTCTGCTGCGTCCGGGTCGCTTGGATCGTAAGATTGAGTTCCCTTTGCCGGATCGCCGGCAGAAGCGTTTGGTTTTCACTACCATTACGGCTAAAATTAATCTCGCCGAAGATGTCGATCTGGAGGAGCTAATTGCTCGCGCCGACCGAATCTCGAACGCCGACATTAACGCTATCTGCCAAGAGGCTGGGATGCACGCAGTCCGTGAAAATCGTTATATCGTGCACGCAAAGGACTTTGAGAAGGGCTACAAGACTAGCGTTAAAAAGGACGACTCTGTGCACGAGTTTTACAGTTAAATATCATATATAATTAAATCATGTAAAATTATATAGTATCATCAAATGCAGTTTCTATGTAAAATAGTATTTGATGCGTGTTTTAAATTCAGCGGGTTCTTTAGGGAAGCTTATGAGTGACCAGTCCCGGGTTATTGTAAGTATACTCTAATAAATATGTAAAGCAATTTGGCATTTTTGTATAGTAAGGCCACACTGGTTGTCTTAGAGTCCACATATTGTCCATCATATTGTACCCACACTTGCAGTTTGTTTAGAATATTTGAATATTCTTGTGGCCAACATGTCATCGGTGGAGGCGTACGTGCTGCGCATAAAGCCAGCCATTGACGTCTTCCTAAAGGATCCGACTAAAACGAATCTGGCGCAAGTGGAGCAAGAAGTGAAAGAATTTGACTTTGGACAAATGAGCATATTTGTTGTTCAAATTGTTGTGCCGCTTGTGACTAAACTAAATGAAATTTCCGGGTGAGTAAATGGGAAAGAAAAAAATCACAAAATATGCTCATAATTGCATATGCAAATCTCTTGCAGCGAGAGTCAGGAGCTGCGCACCAGCTTGCTGGACTGCCTGCGGCACATTATTGCCAAGCTGTTTCTGACGAATGAAAAGGGATTGCGCACCATTCTGGCGGTGGTGTTGCAGCAGATACGTGATCCCATGGCCGCTGTGATGCGATCCGATCTCTCCGAGGAGATCAAGTTGGCGGTGGTACTTTGCATTACAACAGCACTGAAACGCTCCACGAGCGATGTGCTCGAATCATTTTATACTCAGGAAAACGATGTAATCATTGGTCAAATACTGCTTACACTGATGGAGCTCATCTCAAGAGAAGTGTACCGCACATTGGTCAGTGCATCGTTGGAGTGCCTAATGGTTGTTTTCTACGTGCAGGACGAAGCAGATGCAGCCGATGTTGTGCTACGTAATCAGGTGGCAAATACGTTATTCATATATTTGCCCAAAATCGTCACTGTGCTGTTCAAAACATCATTGGCGGACGATAAGATTGGTGAAACCATCAAATCGGTAAGTTTGCCACTCTGAAACCATAATTTAGGCAGAGTTATTAAATCCTATAAATTGCGATTGTTAGATGAGCATCAAAGCACTGGGTCGCATCATTTGCATTATGTTCGAGGAAACGACAGATGAGTTTCATAAAATACGCTACGACTCAAATGCATTCCGTTCGCTCCTGACCACTGTTGACAAGGAAAACGAGGGCATGGGCCTGCTGAACGACACAAACATGTTTGCCAGCAAGCGCTTCAGTCTTCAGCAAAACGAGGAGCGCCTCAGGCAGCTAAAATCTGGACTACGGTCCGACCAGTGGGTGACAGCCACATCGCGACATATGCGTCCCATATACGTGGAGACGAGCATTCTGCGCGCCCACAATTCAGTCACAGTGCGCAAAAGATACGCGGAAATGTGTTGTCTTCTGCTCAAAAGTTGCGCGCATAGTCTAAAGGGCAACTTCATACATTTGCTGGAGAGCGTGTTGGCCTTGTCCGAGGATGAGGAGCCGGATATTGCGAAATTGTGCCACATGACGTTAGCCGATCTGCAACAGAGGCCCAGTATGGTCAGCATCTTTAACGAGAATGCGGAATTACTGCTCGATGCGCATCTCAACAGATGGCCGGGTGTTCTGCATCGCTGTGATGAGAGCGAACAGTTCAGTGCGCTGCTCTTCTTCAAGGGATTTTTGCGAAATCTTAGCGCTGATAAGTTGAAACAGCTGCTGGTGGTACCCATAGACCTGGAGCTGTTCGTCACGTGTATGCTGATGGCGCTCAATACTCGCACATCGCGGCACCTACTCAATGAAGATTATTCATTGCGGCGTCTACAGGAGGGCAGTGCCAAGGAATTGGCTGCGCAATGCTCCAACTTGTCGTGGCGCCAGTTTGAGTATCTCAGTTCTAAGCGCTGTGTGAAAGCTCTTTACGATGTTGCCGCAATCTTGGGCGCTAAGCCATCTTTAAATCGTATACTATTCCACTATTGCCAGGAGCTGATCGAACAACGCACCTCTCACATGAATGAAGCGATTTTGTTTCTTACGCTTATGATTACGCCGCAGCAGAAAGATGGACGGGAAAGCCGTTTAATGTTGGCCGAATTCTTTTTACATGAACTGCTCAATGATGAACACTGGCACTTGGCACTACAGCCGGATGCAGCTTGGCGTCTCAAGGTTGAAAAGGTATGCATATTATGATATACTAGTATATTGGTCACCTATTAATGCTGTAAGTTTTATAGCCCACGTCTTGGTTTGCGGATCACACACCAGGTATCTATTCATCTGCCATAGAAGTTCGCACGCAGGATTGCGACTCGGATGATGAAGTCGATGCGGACGAATCGGTTAATAGTCGCGTGAGGATTATTGATGCACAGCTCAATGTGCTGCACACGTGCCTAGTTTTGGACGCTGTTGGACATTGTGCCAAATTCATTGGCGACACTTTCGATCGGTACATATTTCGCAGCCTACACAAAGTATTACTCAAGTTAGGTATGTAATTGTATTATACGAATGTTTAAATATGTAATGTGAATAGAGAATCGCTCTTAAATCCAGCTAGCAGTAATACGATGGTACATCAGGCAGCTACATTTGCGTTCGTCTCCATGCAGCTGGCCTTGAAATATGCAGCACCTGCACACTTCATCGAATGCTCCACCGACTACCTCAGCTTTCATCTTACCTCATTGCTTAAGAAGGTGAGTCCAAAGTGGTTTCATTGTCATTGTAGCTACGACAACATAAAAGTTTTCCATTGCAGTCACCTGGGAGCAGTGCTGCCGTTGACATTCTCACAGTTGTGCTGCAGTACAGAACGCGTGGCAGTGTGCCCCAACTAAGCAGTATTTACGAATCCATATGCGAGGAGAGTGCCAAGATGCATCAGTCGGACAATATACATTCATATCTGCGGGTATTCAATGTATTTCTGAGCCATTTGGCAACTTGGCAAAGTGACACAGCGTCGCAGATCGCCGACATTCAAATGCATGCGGATGAGGAGTCGAACATTTTAAGCAATTGGCTTAATGTGCTCAACAAGCAGATAACTGACGATTCGGTTGAGTTAAATAGTGCACCTACCGATGATCCAGACATAACTATGTCCCCAGCAGAAGCTGAGGATCCTTCAACGGAGCAGCCTGCAAGCACCATTCTGCCGCGACACATTGAAATGACCAAGAAAATTTTAGAGCAGACCATCAAGTTTGTTTCAAGTTCCGAACAAAGTCAGCAAATCCCTGCACTGGAATGCCTGGCCACTGGTATACCACTGTTGTCAGACTATGAGAACGAGCTGCTGCCGTTGGTGCATCTGGTGTGGCAGCCGCTTGTCGAAAAGTTTCGCCAGAAGGACTCGCTTGTGCTAAGCCGTTGTTTCAGTTTACTGCATATTCTCGCACTGCATGCAAAGGAATTCATCCTAAAACGTAGCCTCAGCGATGTGATACCCCAGGTGCAACAGTTTCTTATGGCAGCCAGTAAGCACAGCTGCGTGGAAGTCTCACAGGCCCAGGAGTACAAACTGCAGCTGAAGCTACTGCAGCAACTGGCGTCTCTCATACGCAGCCTGCAGTTAGAGGGGAAACATCTGCACGATTTACTTAACATTGCAGCATTGTATTTATCTCAGAAGCAGCCGAAAGAGATGCAGGTGCTGGCCGTCCACCTCTTTGAGAATCTAGCTTCGTATAACGGACCATTCGTGTATGTGACGCTGCTGCAACGTGCCCATCTCAAGGATTATAAATCCAATGTGGATGAGCTTTTTCGCAGCGTAGGTTTTACGATATCATCTAAAATCAATGTTGATTAATAAAATTGAATTTTGATTATTTAACGATTGCATTGCTCAGTTTTTTGTTTCTAACTTGCATAGATTTATTAAAATGACTTGTGTAAGTTTATATAAACAAGGATTGAACAATAAAAATTTAATTTATACAGAATTGGAGCCTTTGGAAATAAAAGGTAAGGTAAAGGGTTTGTTGTTGAGTGTGGGCGCTCACATTATTGCCAATTTCTAAATGCTATGCATAAACATAATACATTTGCTCACTTTTTGGGTTTTTCGCCTTTTCAGATTTTTTTTGTATTTTTTATTTTACTTTTTGTCTTTTGGCTTATAACAGCACAAACACTGTACAGTGAATACTCAGATGCTTAGCACCAATAAAACTTAGCATCCGACTTCTAAAGCCATTTTAATATAATCATTCTTGTAGGCAACGTTTTTGTATCAAATATAGCTGAATTTCTTGTAAAGTGATTGCTATTCTGCAGCCCTCAACCCTATATACCACAACTATTTAATTTACTCTAACTTAAATTGTAGAATAACTGGCAAGCTGTGTGCACAAAGGTATATTGAGCATTTAAGAATCCGTGTGTTTTGTTCGTTATAATGCGATTGTGGGTTCTAAAGCGTGGGCCGGGGTTGTGGGAAGTTTATAGTGTGCTTAGCTATTGTTATATGCATAGGAAGCAGATTGCTATGACTACGCCAGCCAGTTCATTAGACTATTGGCATATGCCATTGGCTTGACATCAGGATGTGGCTGTGAATAGAATAAACGTTATTTTTTACAACTCTAAAACTAGATAGCAAATGAAACTTACCACAGCCTCAAAGGATCTGAAATTTGGTTTTAAATTGTTACCAGTTATTGTTATAAATGCGCCCATGTTGCCCATAGTATCACTGTCAATAAAACGCCGATCCTTAGCCATTGTTTGAATATTTCTAAGTTTTTGGTACTTACCAATAGTTTGGCGCTGAGAAGACAGTTATACATTGACCATCGTGGGCTACCTCGTAGCCCATATCTTTAACCTCATGACTGCGAATGATGTAGTCCAAATTGTTGAGGTCACAGAATGATTCAGTTACGTCCGGGCCGAACTGTATGCCTACGCCGCGCTTCGATGGCCCACGGCCCATCCATTGCTGCGGATCGGACCACAACAGCTCGCACATCAGTCCCTCCTCTGGTGGTTGACAGTTGCGCTCAATGCGTCGTATTTTATCCAATGTAACATTGTTTGACGAGAAGAGACCACCATGCATTACCAGGATCTTCTGATTGATGCAATGGCATAACGGCAACCAGTTAAATACTTGCGTAAATATATCCGCCATTGTGCTAGTATACTTGGCGGTCACCTCACCCGTAAATCCATACATTTGATTCATGTTGATGCTCTCGTGATTGCCTGCAAGCATTTCACAATTAGTTGTGTGCACAACAATTGTGGCTACATGTTTAACTCACCGCGCGACAAGAAGAAATGGTTGGGATACAGCAACTTGAAGCCGAGCAGCGTGAATATACATTCTACAGAGAATGAACCTCTATCGACAAAATCACCGTTAAACAAATACGGATTCTTTTCAGATGGCAGTCCGTTTATATCAAAGATGTTCATCAAATCATAGAACTGGCCATGAATATCGCCACAAATTGTAAACTTCTCCTCATCTGGGACCTTAATATCCACCAGGGACGGTTGTGCACGCATGTATACATCAATGTCACAGAGTATCTGCAAAACATACAGCACAGTACTAAGTTATATGTCTAAAGACTAAAGATCAGCTTCCACTACCTTATAGGCGAATTTGCGATGCAGTCTCTTTTGTGCCTTATAGTGTTCCATAAGGTCTTTCATGAACTGTAAAGTAACCTTACCATCCTCCAGTTGTGGTCCCTTGTAGTCGTCCTCAATGGCTAAATTTAAAACATATAGATAAATACATAACTTAGAATACGTATGCGTGGTTAAGTGCATAATATTGGAGTACTCACTGATGTTCTCTAAATCTCTGAACATTTCAGAGAGAGTCTTCTCGGGCTTGTCAACTGCAATAGCACGCTCAAAGGCGCGCATTTTCACAATTTTACTGCACTCGGTAAATTTTAGCTTAGCGTCTTTATCATTGGGCCTGCATTTGGCCACCTGAAAATAGATAGGTTATCAGTTATCGTGGATAACACGCATTCACTTTGAGCATTTCGTGCAATGCACTCACGTATTCAAAATCCGATAGCGCCAGCTTGAACTTGCCAAGGGACATGTGAGCTGCTGCACGCCGATAATAGCCCTTCAAGTAGCTTGGATCCGTTTTGACTGCAGAAACGCCGTCCTGCAGAGCCAGACCGAAGTTTTCCTGACGCAAATGCGCCAGCGCCCGATTAGCATAGTAGATTGCACTGCTGGGGTATAGTTCGATGGCTTTGGAATACATGTCAATGGCTTTCGAAAATTCCTTGGCTGTGAAACGGTTTAATTGTGGCATGTTATTTGTTGCATATCAATAATTGTTGTATTTTAGTCGATAATATTCAGTATGATTGCAGGCCCACAGAATTTCACAAATTATCTCACATAGCGCCAATGCCAGTCAATTTGTTTTAAGGTTAGGTCGAAGTAACTTCAAGCACGGGACGCTGTGGGTCTGTTGCGCATAGCTTCTCATTGAGTTTCGCGTGATTTGCAGACTACAGAGAATATCTAGTGAATTGTGTAAGTGATGAATGACAACTTACTTTTGAGCAAATCATTTCCCTTATTTTTGCACTGCTCAGCAGCGGCAAAATCTTGTTGTCCTGCTTCCGGCACTGAATCGTTTTTGGTGGCGGTAATCTCTGCATTGGGCACTTCTTCCTGCTGATTATCCGTAGATTTCTGTTGGATTTCCAGTTCGGTCGACGACATGTTTTGTTTTAATTAATAATTTTTTCTGCCTAGTTGTTCTCTAATATTATTTACTGTCTGCAAATTCTTAAGAGTTGATAAACGCTAAAATGAATAGTGCTGTGCAACAAGCGGATAGGCGCTACTTATCGATTTGTTGAAATTTTAAAACATTTATGACTTCTAGCATATCGAGCTGATAACAATGTTATTGTATAAATACATATTCGTGTGACTAAACGTACTAATAATTTTATATGGTTTGATAACGAAATTAATGACAGAAAACTTCATAAAATGTTATTGTGTTGGAATCACCTGTGCTGCACAACGTTTCATATGCTACTATCGATATGCCTGAGAAGTCGCAACAGCTGTTATGAGCTGGGCTTTGTAATCAAGCGGTGGAAAAAACTTAGAAACGGGTTGTTGTTAGTATAGAAACTTTGAAGTCAATAGATGCACTGATACGCGCAAGTAGAGTCTGGCTTAAGAGAAATACGCCTTGAATTCCAATTAATCTCAGTCACGCTTACAAACTCAATTGCAATTTGTCAACTTTAAAGTGCATGTGCGGGGGTGTGTCGTCTGTGTTCGTCTGAGAAAATAAAAATAAATCTACAAAAATAAAAGCAAATATGTCTATGAGTAATTTATCAGTAGACGGCGAGTTCCGTTACATTATTCAATGGTTTAACGAATGGAGTGAACTGCAACGCGACGATTTCGTGTATGTATTTGTGGAGTATCTCACGAGAGACACGTCCGAAGCTGGAAATGGAGTCAGCACCTATGTAAATGGCGTCGTCAACTCTCTGGCCACGTCGGGTGTGCAGGATAAGCCCATGAGTCTCTTCCAATGCCGAGTAAATACTAAAATAATTTAAAATATGCCTATTATTTGCATTCACTAAATTCCGGTTTGCTATTTATTATTTTCAACAGATTAAACTATTCCGTGAATGGAGCCCCAAATGGCCGATTGAGTTCAAATGCCAACTGCAAGAGAAAATCAACGAGCTCGACCCAAAAGTTGGAGAAAAGATCATCAATGAGCTGAAGACACCACATGCCATGCACAATGGTGATGTCTCTGTGCAGTTAAATGTAAATGGAACTAGCGGCAACGAGCACGCCGAATTGGACCAATCGACGCCAGAAACAGTAACATTGACAAGCACAATAGAAATAGAGGCAGCAGCAGCTGCAGTTAATGATGCTATTGGTCAGACTTTGGAGGCAGACAATGATAGCCATTTGGCAGCAGTGTTACGTCAAGAGACGCCAGTTGATGACGATGATGATGAACAACATCTAACGGGCAATGAGTGCAATGCCGATACTAATGGCACGCATACGTCGTCGACAGCAGTGACAACAATTGCGGTGAACACAACGTCGTTGTCCACAGCAGACGACGAGCAGAAGCAACACTCGCAGCCAGAGTTACAGCCGATCATCGAACCTGTAGAACAGGTCGAGAATAACGTTTCGGGCAGTGTCATTGTCTCGGTTACCGCAGCTGCGACTGAGGTAGTCCCGGTTGCATAGAGACACGACGACAAGCACACGCTATAAAAAATATAAAAAAGGCATTTTGGAGCATTAGGTCCCCTTCCCCTCATACGCATAATTGTACGCCATCAGAATCAATACATTCCATACATACTTACCATATTTCTACAACTTACAACATTTTAGCGTAAGCCAAGTTTCATTTCATGTCAAGTGCATTTGTATGTGTTTAAGTTAGCCGATTTACTAAACGTGTTAGTAAGTTTTTAAGAAGAACATACGATCAAAATATATACATATTTATAGACTGCAACAAAGTCGCAGGCTTTCTTTGAGGACTTCAAATGTTCAAGTCTTTACTCTCCGAATGACATCGTGCATAATCCCAAAACATGTTTTCTTCTCTCTTTTACTGCCGAAGGTAAATACATATTTATATTTTTTAAATTTCGTGTTTGTGTTGTGTTGCCGGCACTTCGAGTTACGCACGAGGTAGTTACCAGTGCCACTCGGATGTTGGATCTGCTGTGATCTCGATCACGCTGCCTTTTTTCTCTTTTTTTTTTTTTTGTTGTATTTTGTCTTTGCCAGCCAAAAGTTCATGTGTCTGTCTGCTCGCTATTTCGTAAGCTCAGCTTGGCGGGGCACATATAATTTGTTTTTGTGTTTCCTCTTTGTTTTGATTCGCTGTTGATAAAGAAAAACAGTAAAAAAAAAACCAACAGACAAAAATAAAACAACGAAGCAGCGTTGCTGCTCCGTCGTCGAAATGGAAATAAGATATACTCATATACTGAACCAATTTATTTCAATTTTATTTCACACTTCGGCGGCAAAAGTTGTGCTCGCGCCAGACACTAAATGATCAGTTAAGAATTGTATTCATATTTGGAATAGTGTGAGTGTCAGTGTCCATTTGCGTGTGTATGAGTGTGTGAGTCTTTGCAAATCAATTGAAGCAGTTGACAAGACGCTCTACGCAAAAAGCTCAAAAATGCATTTGCTGCCTTCGTTAATATGTATTACAGTTATTTGTGTATTGTGCTTTCAATGTGAGTAAAAAAAAAGTAAAACAAACGACTTAAACAACAAACTTCAAATACGCACAATATGAAATGGGCGTGTCTTTTTTTCCGAGTGTAGTACAAATCAAAATCACAGCAAAAGAATATTAGTCAGTGGCCGATTGGCACTGGGTCAAGGTCATTGTCTAGAAATTCCCCAACATCATGCTTGGAGCCGAACTGAACGAAGGGCAATAAACCACTACAATATAATTACGACAAAGACGATGGCAAAAAAAAAAAAAAAACAAGAAAAAGAAAAGTGACTCAGTAATTGTTGAACCGGACTTTTGCTGTGGCTACTTCTGGTTTTGCAGATTTTGACCTTGGCCACTTGCTGGGTTTTTGTCTTTATGATTTTCGGTCATTGATTATTTATTTGCACGTGCGTTCGCCTGTTACCAATCCCGAATTTTTTGTAGACGTTCGTCCCGCCAGCGTCTGTCACTGCATACGGATTAAGGATTGTGGGCCTTTTGTGCAGCGTCTGCTCAATCATACGCCGGCGGAGCGTGCCTCGGTTTTTGCCATGGTCCATTCAGCTGGCTGCGGTTTCCAGGGACTCGATCCGCTCGCCTGCTGTCCGCCACAACAGCAGGGAAGCAGCCGCAACTCCCGCTGGGTTTGGGACACGCCGAGTAGCTCAAAGCGCAGCACTCGATTCAATAATGATTATAATCGTTTTGAGGCGTACGAGACGGAAATGCATTTGCACGAGTATCGCGATTTCAACTCCCAGCTCAATTGTCCCCAGCCCCTTGATGAGGAATACGATGATGATCACCATCTTCATCATCAGCAATTTGGGTTTCCCGGCCATCATTATCATTATCATGTTGATCATGAGGTTAAGCCACGACCAAAGCCAGCGAATAGACCAATTGTGTTTCCCGGAGACTTACGTTTTCATCACTCAATAGAGACCAAAGGTAATGGCAAGCTGATGGCGGATGATAGCCAGGAGCAGGCTATGCCGGAGGACAGCACAACAACAACAGCTGCCAGTACAACATCAACAGCAGCGCCGCCAGCAGTTCGCATGAATGATCCCGATTGTGGGATCAGTCTAACCACACGGATTTCAGGTGGTCAACAGGTTGTGCCCGGACAATATCCGTGGCTCGCCCGCATTGCCTATCGCAATCGAAGTGAGTCTTATAATTGTAAACATAATAATTTTAATATCATCTAAATGTAAAACGGTAGGTTTCCATTTTCGATGGTCGTCATTTTTTTCTTTTGGGATTAAAACACGTCAAAAAACAAAATGCAAAACAAATTGCTTAAAACTATTGCACTTAACCCAGCTCATTGGCTACATTGGTCAACTGCATGGTTAAAAAACAACCGGCAGAGAAAACCGCAATAGCTTTAAGAAGTGATTTAGTTGAATCTGAGAGTGGAGAATTTGCATTCTCATCATCGCCATTGGGCCCATATTGATCTTGACCATACTGATTTCCATAGTAATTGTCATTGTCTGTCGGATTTGGACCTTGATAGTTTCTATAGTTTTGATAGTTTTCATAATACTGATCATTTTCATAGTAATCATCGTTTCCATAATTTGGATATTGTCTACCACATTGATAATCATTTTGATAGTCATCGTTGATGTAGCCTTCGTTGTGGCTTTGATAGGTAGCATTTTCTCCACAAGGAGCACAAGAACTGTTCATTTCCTTTGCATTTTTACAGGGACATCCTTGACTCATTCTGAAAATATCTGTTCGAGTATGCAATTAATTAATATCATTTATAAATTCTCTTCACAACAGCAAGCAATCGCATCAGCTATCGTTGTTCGGGATCCCTAATCTCAAATAATTATATTGTGACTGCCGCTCACTGTGTCATCAATTTAGTCAGCGATCTGGAACTGTAAGCGTTAATGCAACCAAAAACTTTTAGATTTTTAAATGATGCATTTAAAATGCAAATGACTTCAAAGAAGCTGAAAGCTTAAATTAAATTACAAATTTAAAGATTTGTAATTAAGAAGAAAACAAGTTAATTATTTAGAATTTGAAACTTAAATTATGAAATATTCTTAAAAAATGCCATTTACAATTGTTGAACTTTCAAATTTAAATTAGATTGTGCAACTTCTGTCGATAAGCAAAAGTCATTGAACCATAAACGTTAACCCAGCCAAGCCCATCTATTAATCATTAACCCATTCATAGGTTTCGTGTGCGTATTGGTGACGATAGTTCCAGTGAGCAGGACTGCTCGCCAACTGCTTCCAACTGCAGTCGACCGAATTTATTCGATATTGGCCGTGTGCTGGTGCATCCCAACTACGATCAGCCCAAATATGCGAATGATATCGCCCTGCTAAGCCTCAACAATAGTCGCGGTAAATCAAGGAAAATGACTCGTGGCCCACAAGTTGAACTGAGATGTTTTCATTTTTGCAGGTCAAATTATGCCAATATGCTTACCTTTGAACAATACAGCAACACTTGCGGATAGACTAATTGGCCAAATTGGTGTCGTTGCCGGCTGGAGTACAACTGCAGAGAGTACGTTTTGAACAGATTAAAATAATTTGTAGGACTGAAACACGACAACATCTGACAACAAATTTATCGAACTATGTTTGCCTACTTTGTCGTTTTCAGATAACAGTTTAGCCAGCTCGGGAAGCACGACCAGCTCAACCTCCGTTCGTTTTATAAGATTACCGATAGTTAATACGACAAGTTGCGCGATTACCTATGCCACTCTGAGCGAGAACTTCCAGCAGCCGATTGTCATCACGCCGAGACACTTGTGCGCCCAGGGTCAGCACATGAACGATGTGTGTCGTGGCGATAGCGGTGGACCCTTTATGGACGACGGCACCTCTGGCCTCCTAAATGCAAATGGACGTTATACGCTCCTGGGCATTGTCGCATTCGGACCAACACTCTGCGGCGTTACGACTATTCCGGGCGTCTACACAGCAGTCAGTTCGTACATGAAGTGGATTTTCGATAGCATCAGCAGTGTAACTCAAATGTCAACGCTCAATGTCTTATGAACAGTGCGAAACTTGCGAGTTTCCCGACTGTTTTCCAAAGCTTTTCTAGACGCCAAAGCCAAAAACGTACAAGTGTAGAACCAACACTGTTTGTGTATTATTCCTATTAATAATACTTTTAAAAAAAAGAAAGAAAAAACAATATATACAATAAAAATGAAAAACACAAAATAATTGCATATTTAATCTGGTTGTTATCATCACTATATCAGTAATCAAAGCAGAAACGAAAAGAAATACAAAAAAAGCTCTTGAGGAAAGCTCATCGATGTTCTCTGTTAAGCTGCGCACACTGCCTGAAGCGCCTTAGTCGTGCGCCAAGCCTTGCTCTGTGAACTTGATATATGTGCGCTACAGGCGGTTGAGGAAGAGTTGTACGGAAATCCCGTTTTAGTTGTCATATCTCTCTTATTGCGGCGTTAAATAAATATTCATTATTTAATATTAAAACATTGCAAAACAACTGACGACGCATTTAATAAAAATTGTGTATTACATAAAGCGTATTGGAAATATGCTCAAGATAATTGGTTTCTGTGTGATCTTTGGCTTAAGTGTAAATTTGGCAAGTTCGCGTAAGTAGATAAAAACAGGCAAGGGAAGAGAAGAAAAGTTGGTAGAATCGTATATTCAATAGAAGCGAAAAGAGTAATGATTCAATACATACATATGTATTTGTTTACGTATATATATGTTTGTATGCATGTGTGTGAGGAGGGGGCCTTAACATATCTCACGCGATTAATTATTCCAAAACCAGTTTCTATAAGTAGCAGTAACTAAAATTAACAATTTAAATGCCTTTCGATAAATATTATTTATGCAATGATAATTCAGTTTTGTGATTCTCGTTAACTTTGTATGTAGAATTATACTTTCCCAATGAGGCAACCCAAGTATCAAATTATGGACGCTGCATTACACCAAACCGGGAGCGAGCTCTCTGCATTCATCTGGAGGATTGCAAATATTTATATGGCATATTGACAACATCTCCCCTGCGCAACGAGGACAAACTATATCTAAGTCGTAGCCAGTGTGGCTATTATAATCGTAAGGTTCTGGTAAGTAATCTATAACAATTACTCCCAACTGACTGCTAAATTGATTGATTACTAATGTTGATTGGCGGGAAGTTCGAACAGCAATTGTGGAACATATTTGAAATCTTTTCGATAAATGGATGAATATCGGTTGAATGACTTTATTTAATCATCGCACAGTTCTCAAAGTCATTTTCTAGTGAACATTTAATTGGTGTTCTCAAAGCGAAATGGGCAAAAAATGAATGCGAATCAGTTTAAACAAAAAATATATATATTTATACTGGGCAAAACCAGGTACAGATATTTTGCTTATTAATTTCATTACTTAAAATGTTGCTGATTGCATACATTTCAGATTTGCTGTCCGGATCGCTATCGGGACAGTTCGCCGGTGACAACTGCGCGACCTCCTGTAAATAGCACGAATACAAATTTATTACCCCAACCGGGTCAATGCGGCAATTTACTTTCGAATCGCATTTATGGGGGTGTCAAGACCAAAATCGACGAATATCCCTGGATGGCACTGATCGAGTACACCAAAGGTACTTGATTTATGATCACTGAGATCTCTGCTAAATGAATGCTATCGATTTTAAGGTGGCGGCAACAAGGGTCATCATTGTGGTGGTTCACTCATCAACAATCGCTATGTGGTGACCGCGTCGCATTGTGTCAACGGTAAATCCCTGCCAGCCGACTGGCGTCTGACAGGTGTGCGTCTGGGCGAATGGGATACCACAACAGATCCCGACTGCGAGACCGATATACGTGGCATGAAGGATTGTGCGCCGCCGCATTTGGATGTGCCGGTTGAACGCACCATACCACATCCTTCGTACGATCCGGGCTCCAAGAACCAGATCAACGATATCGCCCTCTTGCGCTTGTCACGCCAAATCGAGTACACCGACTTTGTGCGTCCCATTTGCTTGCCGCTGGACACGAATCTACGCTCAGCCGCATTCGATGGCATTTCAATGGATGTCTCTGGCTGGGGCAAGACCGAGGAGCTCTCGGCGAGCAATTTAAAGCTAAAGGCCGCCGTGGATGGCGTCACGCTGGAGGAATGTCAGTCCGTCTATGGTCGCCAGGACATTTTTCTGGAAGACACACAAATGTGCGCCGGCGGCATGGAGGGTGTGGATTCCTGTCGTGGCGACTCTGGTGGCCCCCTCATCGGCCAGAACACAAACAAAGTGAATACATACTATTTCCTCGCGGGCGTCGTTTCATTTGGACCCACGCCCTGTGGCCTTAACGGCTGGCCGGGTGTCTATAGTCGTGTCGGGGCTTATGTGGACTGGATACAAACTTCGCTGAAGCCTTGATAACATTCATTTATTTTATTCATATATATTTAATTGCGATTGAAGATCATGCGGCAAATAAGAAATATAAATATTCGAATTCGAAGCACAAGTCTGTCAACTATACTTATCAAAAAACAATAATCATATCCTTGCAAATTGGTTCGAGTTTCTAGTGTTTGGAAAAGGGGCAAAAATTATATTTGTTGGGCTTCAGGCAAGGGAAACAAATCATTTTCGTATTCAGCCTACAAATATGCTTCAAAATAGTATACAAAGCTGCTCAACATTCCATTTTTCGAGGGAATTTTTGAAGTGCTCCCTTACAATAATTATGATTAAAATCCAACAATTAACTTAAGTGTCTTTTTTTACATTTAATACAGGTTAAATTACGCAATAAATAATATGTAAAATTGTTATATTAAAAGTTAAAATAGTTTCAGGTTCAACACAATATGAACCAAAAAGAAATATTTTATAAAAAACTGTTTATCGATTTTGACCCTTATCTCGTTTTTGTTTTTAATCAACTGTCGGGGTAAATATTATGCAATATTTTGAGTTTTGGGTGGCGTGCAAGGTGCTATGAGAAACAATCACAAGCTTAATTTTCAAATTCGAATCGAAACATTGCTATGCTTATGTATTTATGTACTTCTACGCCCCTTTACTGAAATTAATCTATGAGCGCAACGAAGCCAGGCGACTTTGCATCTCCTGCAGCTCTTCGCCCTCGTCGTCATCGTCCTCGACCTGGACTTCGACGCGGGATGCAGCTGCTGGCGTTTTGTCAGCTGGCGTTGCTTCTGGTGGCAATGGCGCCTCTCCCAATTTACCGTCCGTAATTTCCCAAAGCACTTTGTCCACCTCCTTGGCTGCCTCCTCCTCCAACTCTTCGGACTCATCCAGCGAGTCCATGGTCTCGTCCAGCATCTCTTCAATTATGCCAGCCTTCATCATTTCCTTGGACATGTCACGCATAATGCCTGCGAGTTCCGGATATCGAACGAGACTCTGCATGGCCTGCATAACCTCCGTGGATTTTTGTAAAGAACCAGCAACCCGCAATGTGGCTAAAAACAAAAGGCACAAGTTGAATCACAGAATAGACTGCTCTAAACGTGCGTACACAATTGATTTTTCATCTGCATCTGTACGGAGTTCAGATGCGCTTTCGATGTGTAAATCCGATTAATGGCCTTGCGGGCATTCACGATTTCCTTGGCAAGAATGATGCATGTGTCCCTATCACTCTTTTGCGCGGCCTGCTTGAGAGAGCGTTTCACCTTATCCTCCTCTCGCTGTATGCTGCGTATTTGCCTATCCAACTGATTGCCCTCTTTTCGTATCTTGTGCGTCCATTCTTGCACCTGCAAACGCGAACGCGGAGAGAGAGAGTTGTTGCAAATTAGAATCAAAACAACTGGAACATGACATCATTTTGTGACCATCAAATGGCCTTGCTAATGCGCAAAAGATAAATCAAGCATTAGCGGATTGACATTTAACCTGTTCTTTGGGGTCTTTGCTAGGGGTTTTGCCAAATAATCCCATTTCGCACTTCGTATAGCGGTACGCTTATATTTAACAAATTGTACAAACTATTTAGTTTAACACTGGTCGTGAGTCATTTTTGTTGTGAATCTGGCAGCATTCTCTCATTGTTTATATTCAATTTGCAGCAGTCTGGCAGCCCTTGCTTTAGCTTAGTATGAAGCTCAAGCTAAATTTTTAGCTTATACAAATTGCACCAAATTAATTCGAGAAATTATTATTTCGTTACTCAATAATAACTAAGTGCTTTTACAATTTAGTATGTATTTATTTGTAAGCCATGATGTAACCTTAATTAATCCAACAAACCCCACTCCAAAACATTTGCCTTACATAGGTCAGCATACTAATCACACTTTACAGCACTAGTGCATCCACCGCGCAATTGCTATCAGGTGTTCGGTTCGTTAGTTCAGTTTGGTCTAATATTTTGCCATATATCGTAATAAATTGTATAGATAGTTACCATGCGGCAAAACGCGATAATTAGTTGTCTATTGCTGTTATTCCACAATGTGTGCTGCAACCATGATGACTGGGTTGAGTCAAACGCTTGGGCGACAGACCAATTCAATCACCGTTGGACGGAGTCCTGCCAATGCCCGCCTCAAATGTCTACAGAAATAGCAGTCATAGAGGATAAACTGGCTTTAATGTATTTCAAAAAGTTTGTTAATACCTTATTCAATCCTAATGAAATGAAGGTAAGTTGGCCTGTGTTTGGTTGTCAAATTTGGACGCGAGTCGTCATACAGTCAAAGTTTGTCATTTGTTTGTTTTTTGTTCTGCATCGTTTTAGTATAGCAGAAAGTCGAGGCTATTTATGCGATCGCTGTTATTTACATTGCGGCAATCGCAGATTGATGAGCTTAAAGCGGTGCAAGATGTGCGTGATCTGGATATTCTGCTCACCACAATACTGGACGAAGCTACAGAAGTGCCTTTATTCTTGGATTATAATGACTATATTGCGCTTATTATCGACAAATTCAAGGATTTTGTTCAGTTTCTCAAAATACGAGAGGTTAGAGTGACTATTTATGGCTATGCTCAACGTATTTGCTTTACGAAAACTTGTTTTGCTAGGTGAGATTCGTGGCGATAGTGCTTCTGGTAATTGTTTTCGGATGGTCTGTGAAAAAACAATATGGATATTCCACTCTAGGCATTATTGCAAGCGGTGTTTTTCTGTTTGGCTACTTCCGTACTTATTTAGAGTGCAATAGGGTATGTGTATATTACAAATACAAAACATATATTACAATCTCATCTTCATTTTCATTTCAGGAGGCCAAGAATAATTATGAAAAACAATGGTTTTCAAAAATATTTATAATCTTGTAAGTAGTTTATTTTAGAGCACAAAACAAAATCAGTAATTCATACGCATTTCAGAAAAGTAAACGAATTGCCTCACTGTCAACCCGATCACGTATTTATTATGTATATAAACGATTTATTCCTCAAACAAGTCGATATGATAATAGAAAAGACATCACAAAGCATTATAACTTTGCATGGTTAGTATAAATGTCATTCAACAAACTATAAGATCCCTATTTATATGAATTGTATTTGCTTCAGGTAAATTATTAGTAATCGCCACTGTTGGCTTATTGCTATATCTAGCCTGCAAGTACCTATTAAGTCTTCGAGCATGGATGTCACTGAAAAATAGAAGATCGTCTGCACCTGCCGCAAAAACGCAACCATCAGTAGACGATCGTTTGTCACAGTCTGAAAATAATCGAAATTCCGATCCAGTTTCAAACGGAAATCCCAATCACAGTAATTCATCAGTAGATATTGCTAAGGAAGCTGGATTTACGGTTGTGAATGATACTGACAATGATGTAAAAATGTTATGTATTTTAATTTTGATGTTTATGATAATTTATTATATTTTATTATCAATCGGCTAAAAGTCTGTTAGTAATATTTAATCAAGTTTTTCTTGATATTTGCACGAATTTATTTTTTAAATTTTTTTTCAAGTACAATTTTGTAAATTGTAAGCACCACCGGTAAAGATTTGTGGAGCTTGTTGATATAATACCTATAAAAATGCAATATCCAACTCCGACGTCCTGCAGACCTCCACTATTTGCACAGTTCCTATTTTCCCTGAAATATATCAGTTTCGTTGGATAACAAGCCAGGACACAGACGACAACCAGAAGGATACTTGCTTGACTCTTCGTGTCTTATTAATTAGTGATGAGTTGTTAACAAAGAGACAGGGTATCTATGAGATGCTTTGGGCAGCAACATGGCGTTATTAAATCCGTATATAGGCAACTTGAAGATGACGACTAATCAATGTATTTTCATATCCGATTTTCCATGATCGATTTGATCGATTTGCTAGCCCTATTTAAAAGGCAATGCTCCAGCGAATGTAGACTTAATCAATTCACCTGTGGGTGACTATAAAATACTCAAAATATACCCACGGATAGTTCTAAGAAACATTGCAGATGCTCTTTGGTATATCAGCAACATATAAATCTACAAAGACTTAAATGTAACACATGCTAGAGACGCAATTGGCAAAACAATGAAGATCGTCCCAAGCTAGACTGTCTAAAAATGAAAACCTACTGGTAATAAATTTATTCGTTAACAGTGTGGATGATCGACGTCTGAAAATATGTTACATTTTGAACATTGCACATAGAGTTGAGTGAGATGAAACAAATTAGTTTAGTAATACATGAAATTTTTGTATTTTGTTTGCATTACCCGAGTAGAATCAATTCTGTAATTTTTACTGTATGTATTTATAAAATGTATCATTTTTTCTCTGGTAGATTGCAAATGAAAAAGTAAAAAATGTTTAATTTCCCTTAAAACTGTTTAATTGATGCCGCTTTAAAATTGTATATTTGTATTTACCAAGAATGCCAATAGAATTTTTGGTTTATATTTACATCTTGTTAGCATTGAGTGTTATATTTGCATATTTGAAATGTAAGCAATAATCAAATATTTGTCATGAATAAACTAGTTCAATATACAACTAATGTGTTGTGTGTATAATAAATATATGTATATTCATAAAAAAAAATTAAAAATAATTCGGTGTAAATATATTCATTCGTTGTATTTTAAATTATACTTTTGAATTACATATTACATATTACTCATTGATGCTGTATTACAATTTAATTACATGTCTCCTTAATATTATTATGCAACTAATGATCCATTTTATGTATTGTATTGTATTGTATTTTATTTTATTATATTGTACTCCAATACACGGCACGTACACTTAAGCCATAACCAGTTTCGCTGTTAAAGAGCCCAACAAACCTAACTAAACCTAGGGAAACTAAGCGAAAACCTAAAGCACGCAGGATCCTGATAATCGTACTAAATTTTCAACTAAGGCTGGCATTAGATTTACATATAACATATATATATATATATATATATATATATATATACATATATGTATACACATATGTACCGCATGCTTTGTTTTCTATGGCAAACTGAGAGAGTTTATCTAAATTGATTTCTGAAATCTTATACGCAAATTGGTCCGCTATCAAAATGTTGGTTAAGAGCTTATCCATTTTGACTAAAGCTAATTTCCATTTGCATTATACTTTAAATGTTAATAAAGTTCAGCAAATAATTGTAAATCTTCTCCTTTAAATCTTTCCTAATGAAAACAATCGTTAAGAAATGAACACGCAATATTTTCAGCGCCCCTTCTGCAGATCATTATCGATCATCAACATGCTGGGTATGAGAGTGAGTATTATTATTTTATACATACAATATAAGTGATGCAATTACTTAGGCATTTTCTTTCAATTTTGTTTAAATTGGTTTGGTGGTAAATAGTTATACAGCAATTTATTGATAGTCAGAAAAGAGACATTTTGCAGTCAACGAAACGGACCCATATCCCGAAGGACACTCGATATCATATCGCCACAAATGCTCCAGAATAGTACTGTTCTCGACTCTTCTGTGTTCTTTTTTTTTTTTTTTTTTTTTGTGAAATGGGATTTGATGTAATTATTTTAGTAATCGGTTTATCGTTAGTTAGTAGTTAGTAGTAGTTAGTACATAAGTAGATAAAATTGTATGTCTTTTAAGTAGGTACTTTGGCTTTTCATTTTGGGATACACGAATGTGTGTGTATGTATGTGTCTCTGTGTATGTGTTTGTGTGTGAGAGTGTGTGTGGTATATATATATATATAGGTGCGCGTCTTCTCCATGTTGAGCAGCTCCTGAAACAGCTCGGTCACATTGTGATTGGTTTTGGCTGATGTCTCCATAAATTATATACTCCAGCTGGTCGCCTGAGCCTGACCCTCGATTTGTGACACCTCACGCAGCTCGGTGCTCTCATCGCATTTATTGCCCACAAGCATCACCGGTATGGAGTTCACATCGCCCTGCAATTAAAAAGTATTGATTAACTCAACTCAATGTGCGAGAGTATTCCAAGTGCACCTTTAGCTCCTTGATGAGCGCCCAGATGGGTCGCAGTTCCTCGAGGCTCAGTTTCGTGCACACCGAGTAGACCGATATGAATGCATGACCCTTTGATATGTACAATCGTTGCATAGCCGGAAACTGATTTGATCCTGTCGTGACCATCAAATGGCGTTGTTAACGCGCAAAAGATAAATCAAACAATAGCGGATTGACATTTAACCTGTTCTTTGGGGTCTTTGCTAGGGGTTTTGCCAAATAATCCCATTTCGCACTTCGTATAGCGGTACACTTATATTTAACAAATTGTACAGACTATTTAGTTTAACACTGGTTGTGAGTCTGGCAGCATTCTCTCATTGCTTATATTCAATTTGCAGCAATCTGGCAGCTCTTGCTTTAGCTTAGTATGAAGCTCAAGCTACATTTTTATCTTATACAAATTGCACCAAATTGATTCGAAAAATTATTATTTCGTTACTCAATAATAACTAAGTGCTTTTACAATTTAGTATGTATTTATTTGTAAACCATGATCTAACCTTAATTAATCCAACAAACCCCACTCCAAAACATTTGCCTTACATAGGTCAGCATACTAATCACACTTTACAGCACTAGTGCATCCACCGCGCAATTACTATCAGGTGTTCGGTTCGTTAGTTCAGTTTGGTCTAATATTTTGCCATATATCGTAATAAATTGTATAGATAGTTACCATGCGGCAAAACGCGATAATTAGTTGTCTATTGCTGTTATTCCACAATGTGTGCTGCAACTATGATGACTGGGTTGAGCCAAACGCTTGGGCGACAGACCAACTCAATCACCATTGGACGGAGTCCTGCCAATGCCCGCCTCAATTGCCTGCAGAAAAAGCAGTCATAGAGGATCAACTGACTTTAATGTATTTCAAAAAGTTTGTTAATATCTTATTCAATCCTAATCAAATGAAGGTAAGTTGGCCTGTGTTTGGTTGTCAAATTTGGACGCATGGCGTCATACAGTCAAATGTTGTCATTTGTTTGTTTTACATCTTTTTAGTATAGCGAAAAATCGACGCTATTTAAGCGATCGCTATTGTTTACATTGCGGCAATCGCAGATTGATGAGCTTAAAGCGGTGCAAGATGTGCGTGATCTGGATATTCTGCTCACCACAATACTGGAAGAAGCTACAGATGTGCCTTTATGCTCGGATTATGATGACTATTACCATACACATAAACTAATGGGATCGATTGCGCTTATTACGGACATATTCAAGGATTTTGTTCAGTTGCTCAGAATACGAGAGGTTAGAGTAACTATTTATGGCTATGCTCGATGTATTTGCTTTACGAAAACTTGTTTTGCCAGGTGAGATTCGTGGCGATAGTGCTTCTGGCAATTGTTGCCGGATGTTTTGTGAAAAAACGATATGGATATTCCACTCTAGGCATTATTGCAAGCGGTGTTTTTCTGTTTGGCTACTTCTATACTTATTTAGAGTGCAATAGGGTATGTATATATTACAAATACAAAACATACGGTTTAATACAATTTATCTTCATTTTAGAAACTAGAAGTTGAGCAAATGATCGACGAAATTGATAGCAATCAGAAGTCCATGAATAATTCTGAAAAAAACTGGTTTTCAAGAATATTTAGCTATTTTCAGTCTCCAGAATGGAATCAGAAGCAGAAGCTCATGTAAGTAGTTTATTTTAGAGCACAAAACAAAATCAGTAATTCATACGCATTTCAGAAAAGCAAACGAATTGAATATGCCTTACTGTCGACCCGATCACGTATTTATTATGTATATAAACGATTTATTCCTCAAACAAGTCGATATGATAATAGAAAAGACATCACAAAGCATTATAACTTTGCATGGTTAGTATAAATGTCATTCAACAAACTATAAGATCCCTATTTATATGAATTGGTTTTGCTTCAGGTAAATTACCGTTTCCCTTGAACTTCATGGCTCCATTCTTCGTAATCGCCACTCTTGGCTTATTGCTATATCTAGCTTGCAAGTATCTGTTGAGTCCTCGGGCATGGATGTCACTGAAAAATAGAAGATCCTCTGCACCTGCCGCAAACACGCAACCATCAGTAGAAGATCGTTTGTCTGGTGAAAACCTTAAGTTGTTCTTAAACGTTATGACCCGAACGCAAATAGAATCACAACTACCAGAGTCGGGTGTACAAGAGCTAGTGGAACCACAATCACTATCATGGCCATCAAACAAATTACAGTCTGAAAGCAATCGAAATTCCGATCCAGTTTCAAACGGAAATCCCAATCACAGTAATTCATCAGTAGATATTGCTAAGGAAGCTGGATTTACGGTTGTGGATGATAATGAGAATGATGAACATATTGAAAGTAGTTAGCGTTTGTCTAAAAATGTTATGTCTTTTAATGTGATGTATATGATTATTTATATTAATTTGTTACCAATTCTCTATTTTTTAATTTTTTTTTAGGTATAATTTTGTAAATTGTAAGCAGCTTTCTGTATGTAAATAAGTATTATACCTCCTTTTTGTAATAAAACATGTATTATAACTTTTTAGCTGCCACCGGTAAAGATTTGTGGAGCTTGTTGATATAATAAATGTGGATTTTAAGATTTTCAAAAGTATCAAAGATATCTATTATTATTATAATACCTACAAAAATGATATATCCAACTCCGACGTCCTGCAGCCCTCCACGACAATACCCGCAGTATTTGCACAGTTCCTATTTTCCCTGAAAGATATCAGTTTCGTTGGATAACAAGCCAGGACACAGACGACAACCAGAAGGATACTTGCTTGACTCTTCGTGTCTTATTAATTAGTGATGAGTTGTTAACAAAGAGACAGGGTATCTATGAGATGCTTTGGGCAGCAACATGGCGTTATTAAGTCCGTATATAGGCAACTTGAAGATGACGACTAATCAATGTATTTTCATATCCGATTTTCCATGATCGATTTGATCGATTTGCTAGCCCTATTTAAAAGGCAATGCTCCAGCCAATGTAGACTTAATCAATTCACCTGTGGGTGACTATAAAATACTCAAAATATACCAAGAGAACATTCTAAGAAACATTGCAGATGCTCTTTGGTATGTCAGCAACCTAGAAATCTACAAAGACTTAAATGTAACACATGCTAGAGACGCAATTGGCAAAACAATGAAGATCGTCCCAAGCTAGACTGTCTAAAAATGAAAACCTACTGGTAATAAATTTATTCGTTAACAGTGTGGATGATCGACGTCTGAAAATATGTTACATTTTGAACATTGCACATAGAGTTGAGTGAGATGAAACAAATTAGTTTAGTAATACATGAAATTTTTGTATTTTGTTTGCATTACCCGAGTAGAATCAATTCTGTAATTTTTACTGTATGTATTTATAAAATGTATCATTTTTTCTCTGGTAGATTGCAAATGAAAAAGTAAAAAATGTTTAATTTCCCTTAAAACTGTTTAATTGATGCCGCTTTAAAATTGTATATTTGTATTTACCAAGAATGCCAATAGAATTTTTGGTTTATATTTACATCTTGTTAGCATTGAGTGTTATATTTGCATATTTGAAATGTAAGCAATAATCAAATATTTGTCATGAATAAACTAGTTCAATATACAACTAATGTGTTGTGTGTATAATAAATATATGTATATTCATAAAAAAAAATTAAAAATAATTCGGTGTAAATATATTCATTCGTTGTATTTTAAATTATACTTTTGAATTACATATTACATATTACTCATTGATGCTGTATTACAATTTAATTACATGTCTCCTTAATATTATTATGCAACTAATGATCCATTTTATGTATTGTATTGTATTGTATTTTATTTTATTATATTGTACTCCAATACACGGCACGTACACTTAAGCCATAACCAGTTTCGCTGTTAAAGAGCCCAACAAACCTAACTAAACCTAGGGAAACTAAGCGAAAACCTAAAGCACGCAGGATCCTGCTAATCGTACTAAATTTTCAACTAAGGCTGGCATTAGATTTACATATAACATATATGTATGTACACACACACACACATATATATATATATATATATATATATATAGATATATGTATATACATATGTACCGCATGCATTGTTTTCTATGGCAAACTGAGAGAGTTTATCTAAATTGATTTCTGAAATCTTATACGCAAATTGGTCCGCTATCAAAATCTTGGTTAATAATTTCACTACACAAATTCAACAATATAGGCAAGTGTATGTACTATGTTATATATATTATGTTTTTGTTCATATATATGTATTTATGTATGATTTCTTTTATATTGTGTGTGTGTTACTGTGTGCATAAGAAATGAGCAAAGTCATAATTAATATAATTACTTGTCTTGTCCTTAATGTTCGCCACGAATTTGGCAAAAATTACCATAGTTTAACAGCAGTTAAATTGATATAACTTCTTAGCTGGATAGGGTATACATAATTTAAGACTTCAATGCCTTTTTTTGTAATATCAAACAACAGCAAAACGACGGGAAACTATTTTCGTCTAATAGACTTAAACTCCTACTCCTACGCATAAGCCAACAAACAATTAAATTTAGCAAATACCACAATTTGTGAATTGTTTTTTGTTTACTTCAAGTTAATCATACATACATTGTAGTTGTTTTTAAAAAACAGGCAACTTATATATTCCATTTCGCACATATCCTTCGATGTACATGCGATTAATTTTGTGTATATATATATATATATATTTTTTTTTTTTGTTTTTTCATCGGCACTAACTCTACATTATATGAATGAACGACAAAAATTGTGCTTATTGCCGAGCATAAAGATCCGCATTCGGTTTAATGTGACTATCCTAAAACAAGGGATCCTCATGCTCAGCTTATCCATTTTGACTAAAGCTAGTTTCCATTTGCATTATACTTTAAATGTTAATAAAGTTCAGCAAATAATTGTAAATCTTCTCCTTTAAATCTTTCCTAATGAAAACAATTGTTAAGAAATGAACACGCAATATTTTCAGCGCCCCTTCTGCGGATCATTATCGATCAACAACATGCTGGGTATGAGAGTGAGTATTATTATTTTATACATACAATATAAGTGATGCAATTACTTAGGCATTTTCTTTCAATTTTGTTTAAATTGGTTTGGTGGTAAATAGTTATACAGCAATTGATTGATAGTCAGAAAAGAGACATTTTGCAGTCAACGAAACGGACCCATATCCCGAAGGACACTCGATATCATATCGCCACAAATGCTCCAGAATAGTACTGTTCTCGACTCTTCTGTGTTCTTTATCTTTTTTTTTTTTTGTGAAATGGGATTTGATGTAATTATTTTAGTAATCGGTTTATCGTTAGTTAGTAGTTAGTAGTAGTTAGTACATAAGTAGATAAAATTGTATGTCTTTTAAGTAGGTACTTTGGCTTTTCATTTTGGGATACACGAATGTGTGTGTATGTATGTGCCTCTGTGTGTGTGTGAGTGTGTGAGAGTGTGTGTGGTATATTCGTATTGTACGAATAGAATACTATATAGCATTATGATATCTATACAATGTACACATATATTATGCATGTGCGAGTATGTCATGTATTTATGTGATGTATTTGATATGTATGCCGTTACATTTCCGATTTCGCTTTTTTTCATATTCTTTATTTCAGAATCCAAAGAAATCATTCGATCGTGTCTATGCATGGATGTATTTATGTATTTATGCATGGGTGGGGCGTGAGAATGGCGGTTGCCTTCTATATACTGTGACTAGAAAGTGTTGCGGATAAAATCTATGTATGCAAAATATACTCGTAATGCTGACTTATTGTTTTCCCTTTTTTTTTGTTTGTTGTTTTGTTTATCTATAATTAATAATATATGTTTTGTTTACTATGCAGGCTGTTCTCTGATAACATCAGTCCCAAAGTGGTATATATATATATATAGTATATATAGTATATATATAGTATATGTATATGCATATGTGTTTCTTTTGTCTGGGTGTGGGATGAGTTGTTTTGTTTTTTTTTTTTAAATTTTTTATTTGAGTCCTGCCCTTGTCCCAAGTATGCGAGTATTTGTCTCTCACCAAGTTAAGCTTGCCAACAACACGTTACATAACGCCGCACTTTTCCTTAACACCGGCGCCACTGGCGCTCGCCTCTCCATTTTCCGGAATGGCGCCGTTTGTCTCCTTGCATTTCTTTTCCTTTTTCTGTTTCTTTTGCTTTTTCGTGTCCAGCTGCAGGGAGACGGTGCGCGTCTTCTCCATGTTGAGCAGCTCCTGAAACAGCTCGGTCACATTGTGATTGGTTTTGGCCGATGTCTCCATAAATGATATACTCCAGCTGGTCGCCTGAGCCTGACCCTCGATTTGCGACACCTCACGCAGCTCGGTGCTCTCATCGCATTTATTGCCCACAAGCATCACCGGTATGGAGTTCACATCGCCCTGCAATTAAAAAGTATTGATTAACTCAACTCAATGTGCGAGAGTATTCCAAGTGCACCTTTAGCTCCTTGATGAGCGCCCAGATGGGTCGCAGTTCCTCGAGGCTCTGTTTCGAGCACACCGAGTAGACCAATATGAATGCATGACCCTTTGATATGGACAATCGTTGCATAGCCGGAAACTGATGTGATCCTGTCGTGTCCGTTATTTGTAATGTGCAAATGTTCTTATTGCAGCTAATCACCTGCGAGAGCAACAATAAATAGGATGAGTTAATATTGAATTCGTATTGATATAGCGAGATTTGATTGGATCCAACGCACCTGCCGGTAGGTGTCCTCAATGGTGGGTATATAGCTCTCTCGGAATGTGCCCTTTATGAAACGCAGCACCAGGGAACTTTTGCCAACGCCCCCAGCGCCAAAGACGACGACACGATAATCGTTGCTCTGCTCCGGCGCTGCGCGCGTCACTTGATTCTTTTGCTCCGTCATCTTGAAAGGAATTGATTTGCTTTGGCTTGTTGTTATCCTAAAATTTGATAGCGCTGTCGACAGCCACTGGAATGTGTGTGTGTCTTGCTCGGTGTGTCTCCCTGTGTCTGTCTGTCTGTCAGTGTTTTTGTGTGTGTTTGCCTTCACTTGAGAGCCATGCTACGGTTTATCTGCAACGATTAACAAGCATATCAATTGGCGACACACGGACAACCTTTTTGCCAGACGCTCAACTTGCGTCTGCATAGGAAAATCAAGGAACATGCGAAACTGCCTGTATGAGCGAGTGAGTGAGCGCTAATTTTAGATATGTTTGCCATTTTTTGGGTTTAACTTAAGTAAGGGTATTGATTTTCTATTTGTTGTTGATGTTGCTGTTGTTGTTGTTGTTGTTGCTGCTGTTGTTCTTGTTGTCAAATTTAACCAATGCACAGATCTGGCCATTTGGCAGCCAGTGCCAACGTCATTGGCAAATTTCATCATCATCATCATTATTATTATGATTACATACTATTATTACTGCGTGGGCACGCAGTGTGGGGCTGTTCGAGGGGGCGTTGGTTGCGGGGGTTGCGCGGGTCACTGGTGATTTTGTGATTGTGATTGGGCTCTCAGGTATCAGGTCGGTCGGCCACATTATGGGCAGCTTGGCAGCCATACACGCCCCCGCTCAATGCCCACACACACACACGCATATATATACATATGTCTGTATTGCGTATAAATAGAAGCTTTGAAGTGCAAGCGATTACAACAACAGGAACAACATCAGTTGAATGCGTGGGTGAGCAAAATAATCGCTGGCTGTCTTTTCCTGTGCATACACACAAACACAATCACACACACAAACACACACACACGCACACACATATGCTTAGATGTATTTGTGTTATTTGAGCAGAAACTTTAAATTGTTCACTTCCGCACACTGTGTGTGTGTCCTGTGTCATGTGTTGCCACCTTTTACTGTTTTGCTCTTTTGTTTTCTTTCCCACGCCCACACACACACATACAATCATACTTTTGCACACACACACACGGGAAGGCAAGCACACGCACAACATTTTGTATCCGCGCCTGCCGTTGATTTTTTCCTTATATTATTTTGGCTTGGATTTATTGATTTTATGTGTGTTGCATTTTCACCTACATACATTGTATATTGTATTACACACACAAACACTTACAAACACGCAAAACACGCACACACACGCTTAACTTAATTGCCTATCGAATACAAAATACAAAATTCACGCACAAAATGTTTTTCGCTTGCCAATTGCGTGTCAATAAGGATAACATTGAGCACCAATCATAACCATAATAAAATTGCATATTATTTACATTCAGTTCTTGCATTTCGTTGCACTTGAATTCGTTGGTTAAAAAAGTGTGTGGCACGACTTTGCCTGCTGCAGCCGCAGCACTCAGAAATCGGAAAAACACTGACTCTCCGACGTACTCGCATTCGCACTTGCACACTGGACGCGCACACAGCCGAAGCCGATGATGAATGGACAGGCAGACAGATAGACAGACTAACAACAAGGGAAAGCCATCCACATTGAGAACGTTGTACGATAAGAGGCACAGTACCAGTACCGCCCATTAACTCACCACACTTTTCACACGTTTCATTCAAACGCTTGCGCAGAGCAGCCCACTCTGAGCGTAACGGTCCAAAAAAGATACAAATACAAAAAAGAAAGCTTAGTTAAGACACGAACCACGCAAGCTCCAAAAGCGTTCAGCGCCGCTGTATATTTTGCGCACGGCTCGAAATTATTTAGCCGGCCGGTCGGCGTGTGCAAAACTGGAATTAAAGCCCACCCGCCGTGTGGAAAGCCTCGATTCGAAAGTGTATAAAATCGGCCAACATCTGTCAATTGGCATCAGTTGTTTTCTGCAGCAAAAGTAAAGTGACTCATCACTAAGTGAAAAACTAAATTATCTTCTTGTGTCAAGTGTAAACTTAAAAAAAAAACATCATACAAAATGCCTTGCCCATGCGGAAGCGGTAAGTTTTCAAAGGATCTGGGTTATATAAATATATTCCAAATTTCCTATTGCTTATCATTATTAATAATTGTACTATTTTTTTTTCGTAGGTTGCAAATGCTCCTCCCAGACCAACAAGGGTTCCTGCAATTGTGGCAGCGATTGCAAGTGTGGCAGTGACAAGAAATAGGAAGTGCGGCTGCTCCTCCAAGTGAAGTCGACTGAATAACCTATAAACTGTACTATATCTAGAACCTAAAGATTTTTCTACAAAATTAACGCACACACACACACATGTGTACATGTAAACAAGTATTTCACTTATTCAACTATCCGCTTTGTCGCAATGAATTGAATAAACTGAATTTAAATTAAAGTTTTACTGCGTCATTTCCTCTAAATGTCAAATTGTGTAATCATTCAATTGTTTTTTTTTTTCTGGGTGAGGCCACTTTTTCTATTTCGCAGCGTGTGAGAAATTTGAAACCGTTAAATGAGTTCGTTGGAAGAGTGCAGGGAGGGGTGGACAAGAGCTTGTCACTGCTGTCTTCAAGTTTTTTATTGCATGAAGTTAATTGATATTATATTAAAGTAAACGCTTCGTCGCTTCAGACTGTTATTATACTGGGCTCAATTGTTCTTACGTGATTGGAAATATGTTTTTACACTCATTTACCTTCCCATAAGAACATGTAAGCCAAGGAGCGCCAACAGAGAGGTATTACTGAAAGCAAGTGTTTAAATAAAGACACCTGCACTTAATAACGCATAACCCGAGTGAACTTTTTACTACAGTTCAGTTTGTGGCTTTTGCTTTTTTGCCAACTGGTTTTCATGTTCACCACGCATTCAAAGCGTCAATTTGCATTGAATACAAACTTTTGGCATGATGGAGAGTAAACCAGGCGGCGCTTGACACACATTTAAGCACATGCATGATTATAAATTATATGTGCAAATGCTTTTATGTACCTATTTTGTTCATAAAATATGCATTTATGTGAATTTGCACATGTGCTGGGGCAAAGGGGAACTTAATGCTCCGAGCCAAGGTAAGAACAAGGCCTTGGCTGATTCTATTTTTATAATAAAATGGTATGCATGTATCTGGCATGGGCCAAGAGGCAACAAGACACCATTTAACCTTTCGACAAACAAAAAATAAAAAATAAAAAAATATAAAAAACGCCAACTTTGGGATTTAGCCACACAAAAAGTGTGGCGCAGTTTGGCCATAAAAAAAAGGAGGCAAGTGGAAGCGTTGATAAAGCAGTTTATTATCTAAGACTAAAAGTACAGTTTAAGTAGGTCTCACTGCTGGCACAGCTATATCAAGGTACACATAACGGTTATCAGTTAAAAACGGCGGTCATTTTGAAATTGTGTAAACAGAAGTGCGCAGCAAGAATTAATTACCTCGTTTATACGTAAAATTCTTAACACACAATTGAAGAAAAGCAATAATTAAAATTAAGTCAGTCAGCATAAATATTTAGATGTGTATTTACTTTTCTTTCTGCTACAAATCAAACATCGATTGGAAATGTGAACATTAAAAAACAAATAACAAATAGCAAATATTCAATTGTTTAATTGACAAATTACAATAAGTGATCGTATAAACGAGGTATGTACGTATGTATAAATAGGTGTGCGCATATATATATATGTATATATATGTATGTATGTATGTGTCTTTGTGTATCCGTTTGTATGTATTATGTACATATGCATGTAATTGTTTGCTCAATTGTGTTTATTTGATAACAATGTTTTGTGTCAGCCGCTTCACAAAGTCGACGTTGAGAAAATTGGCCATCAGTGTGAGTACCGATTTCTTGGGTGGACGACAGTGTCGCAAACCCGCCTCCTGGCAACAAACATTCGGAAAGCAGTCCAGCGTCGAGGTGCACGCCTTCGGATGCAGATCAAAGATGGGCGGCGGCGGAGCGGTGCACTCCAAGTACTCCGTCACTGTATATGTATATATTATAATAATCAATTATGTAAATCAAATTGTACAAATAATATGGGTATATCATACGATAGTCAAAGGAGCGCTTCACCGGCACCGGCACCGTCTCCAGCTCCGGATGCGAGGTGCGACAATAGCGACGACGTCCGTCCGGGCAGCAGACCCGGGGCCAGCAGTCCATATCCGAGCGGCATTCCTGCACATCCCACCAGAGTTCAGCCAACGGACGTGTCGGACACTTGCGTGGTATCCAGCCAAGTATTGCTGCATGGAGAATAAAGATTTAGAAACTCAAGGCGCATCTCATGGACAATCGACATACGTGTGTGTGCCGTCTCCTCCAGTGGCTTGGCAATGCCAGCTACGCAGCTATTGGAGCCGAAGATGTCGCAGCAGATCTCGTCACGCTGCCACACTAAGCAATCCTTGTCCGTTTTGCAGATCTTGGGAAAGAGCTGGAAGCGCACCTCGTTCTCCCGGGGACAATTGAAACGTTGACGCAGATCGCCAGCAGCTCGTTTATCCTTCTCCTTGTCGCTGCCCGAAGCGCTGGGAAACGTTAAAGTTGGCAGCGCAATGCGGAATGGTCCCTCCGTTGTTGCTGGACGAGATGTTGTTGTTCTCCTTGTCGTTTTTGGTGTAGTGTTTGCCGTTGTTGGCGGTGTGGCAACCAATTTGCGTCTTGGCTTCTGCGTGGTCTTTTGTTGCCTGTTGCGATAGTTGAGTTTCTCCTCTTTGGAGCCGCTGCTGTCCGTGGAATGGGTGAACTTCTTGGGCGGATGCGGATGCGGATGCTTTGTGGGAGCACTCACAGGAATAACACTCTGCTGGCCAAAATTCCAAAAGCTCGGATTGAAGAAATTGAACCCGTTGGCCAAACTCGGACGAGGCGCTGTGCGTGCGATATATGGACGGGGCGCAAAGAGGATGGATTAGTCAACAATGGTCATACTGGTGTTCTGCTCCAAATCACAACCATTGCAAGACAACTAAAGCGCAGTTCCCGCCACCCAGTCAGCCCAGTCATAAAACAAGTGTTTTTGTTGGCGCTGAAGCGAAAAGTGTAATCCCCTCCCTCCCCTTCCCACAGTAAGCAGCCGAACACCCAACCCCCTTCACCCATCCATAGTGTTGCCTGTTGCCAATAGTTGTAGATTTTAAATGGCCATTCACTCTTTCTGCTGGCCTACTTAGACTAACTAACAATGGCTACAATGAGTGCTTCGTTTCAAATTAATCAGCACATGCAACATGCCACATGCAACATGCAACACTTGTGCTTGGTTACAGGAATATTGGAATGTAAGCCTGTTCAAGATTCACACGGATACAAACTTTTCTTCCCAGAAAGTACCTTTTCATATGTTCTAATGTTTATATAGAATTTTAGAAATAAATGAAAATAGTTTTAAATAAAATCCCACAGTAGACAAGTGCTCAACATTTATAAACATTTTTTACTTACTACAAGATGTTTTTAATGACATAAGCTATGGGTGATGATTTTAGGTGAGCTTTGTGGGCATTCATTTGTGTACTGCACGGAGAGAAATTACGACAAACTAATTTCTCACTTGGCTAAAAAGCATTTGCATGTTTTAAATTTGTCTTCAAATGATGTCAGCAGATTGATGAAGTTCATTACAATATCTACTACTTTGATACAAAAAAAAATATAAAGCTTAAAGTATTTTTCATTTATGTACATATTAATGCTTGATATGCATATTATTCATATCAAAATGTGTACCAAAAATAGATTTAAGTGTTTGAATGGAGGCCACATAAATCTGGGCTTAGTTCAGATGGCACCTATTTATTGCTCAGCATTCGGTAGTTATAATGAGTAGGTAGCCTAGCGTGAAAACGAAATAATTGCAATTACAACAGTTGGGGGATTTAGTTACATTAGTAACACAATGGATGCCTCTGCTGTGAAAACTGTCGAGTGACTGGCAAACGACCCAAATGTCTCGATGAGCGTCATCTTCAAGCGTCAATGACAAATGCAAAACACACAAAAATACCTAAAAATATCGCGTGTCATAAAACACGCGCTAATTGTTAGTCAAGTTCAAGGTAGTTAATTAAAAAGGTGTATGCTACTTTATATAAGAAAATAGGTGACCGAAATCAATATCCTTGATAAGTGCGAATCATGCAAAAAAATAAATTGTGCCAAATGAATGAGCCTTGAATGTGTGCAGATCATTACAATTTACAAGAGCGAGTCCAAGCATCTAGTCAAGGTCTCTCTCTCTCTCTCTCTCTCTCTCTCTCTCTCTCTCTCCCTCGCTGCATCTACAAACAAGACAACAAAATATATTTGAAAGCTTTGCTCGCTGCTGATGCTGCTCCAGTTATCGGCCGCATAATTATCGAAGTATGGTTGCTTTTTTTTTCGCGTTCAGACTGCTTCTGTTGTTGCCTTTACCAATCTTAACAACTGAAAGCTAGGTCAGTGCCAGCACTTGTCGCTTGCTTGCCTTACCAGCGGTCATATGCACCTGTGTGCTAAAGTCTAGTTAATGCAACTCACTTGTTGTTGTTGTCGTCGTCGTCGTTGTTGTTGTCGTCGTAGATGTTGTTGTTGTTGTGGTAGGCCTGCGTCGCTTAACCACTTGGCTACGCCTGCGCCCGGACTGCAGTCGAGTGCTGCTGGTATCGCTGCCGTCCAGCGCAACATCTAGCGGCAATTTGTATTGTGCAACAGCGCGCGATTTGCTGTGGCCGCGGGAACTGTTGCCGAAACGGCTGTGACTACGATTTTGGACAAAGGCCTCCTCTGTTGTTGATGTGTTCGTCTCTGTTGCATTTCTGTGACGTCGTGTTGCTACAGCTGCCGCTGTTGCATCATTTGTTGTGGACACAATGTACAAGCTGTTTAGCAGTGGCAATAGCAATAAAAAATACACTGACAATTCCATTTCTTGTTTAAATTGATTTCTTTTAGATTATCCTTATATTTATTCAAATGTTAATCAATTATGAAAAACTTCACATTTTCACACCAAAAACAATTTCAAGCTGAATCCGCACACGCGACGCGCTGTTGTTGATACCTCAAACAGCCGAACGCAACTCATCGAGGCGAGTGTGCAAAATTGTGGCTTTTGGCAAAAAAAAATACAACAAACCAAAGCAGCAGCAGCAGCAACGTTAACCGAGAGCAGCGTAGGCGCCAAGTAACAAGAGAGCGCCAAGCTCAGCCGTCTTTGCTCTTGTACCCAGTTGGGCCACTAAGCAGCAGCAAACTGGTTTCCGTTGGTTTGTTTATTTTTTGCGTACTGATGGCTCCGGCACAAAAAAGCGCAACTTGAGTGCAGCGCGCCCAGTGGATACCACTACTAACCCAATATTATTTAGAAATGAGGAAGTTGTAACAAACATTTAGCTTCCGTCATTTCAAGTGATATGAAGTGTTGGACACATGCTGCATTAAGGATGCAAACTAACAATGCAAAAAGGAGAAAACAATTGTGGTTTACGTTACTTGTTATGTATTTAATCAGACGGAGATTTAAACAGAGAACCTTCGTAGAAGGCAGGAGGAATTACGCTATTGTGTTAGAAGACACGCTGATTTGTGAGTTGGAACTCTGTTTCTATTGCGTGAAAAACGTCGGATTTGTTGCGTGAGATGATTTTGAGATTTCTACCTCAGTGGCCAGCAGCTTCTTTAGCGCATGTGTTCCTGGTTCTTGTTTCCCCGCTGCGTGGGATGCCTTTGGTGTCATTTAAATCTCCAAATGATTAGAATTGTTGTTGTTGTTGTCAGCATATTAATGTATGCAGTCCCCGCCAGAAATTGACATCCTTTAGCGACTGCTTATATTAATATGCTTAAGTGGTGTGACGAGCGTCACAAATTGAAGAGGACATTTAATCCAGCTGCAAGAGAATAGCATTAAAACCACAGCGCAAATTTGCCACTTATTTTTTTGTAGCTTACCTTCTTGAAGCCAATATCATTGGCGTATTCCCTGAAGCACTGACGGCAGATGTTCAGTCCGTATTTGCGAATCAGACCATGTCGGTTTGAGCAGGCACGGCTGAAATTTTAACAAACGCTGCTTATTATTAATAGCACGGGGAGCACGAGGAATTTTAATTCATTCAACAACAGCTTCTAAATCGAATTTAATTGCATAGCTGTCGCTGCCGCTGGCTGTGCGTCATTTAATTAATAAATGACAAAGGCTCGCCAGCTGGCAACATTTGCTTTGGCCACCCTTTATTAAGGAAATTGTTAAAGAAATCTTACACATATTTCCGTACTCAACCGGGGGCAAAAATAACATTAAAGCGGGGAGCGGACACACACAGCATGCGTGCATAAAAAAATCATTTGTACTGGAAAAGTTGGCACCATGCGAAACTAGGCGTGTTTAACCTCAAATTACTCAAAGCAATCAACTATGCAACAAAATACGAAATCGAAAAGCAGGCAATCATGCAAATTATACATTTTACGATGTACATTTTTATGGGCTACACAAATCTTACCAGCAACGGGAGCCTTGGCCATATTTGCGGGGATGCGAGTACCAGAGAGTAGCGAAACCCATGTTGGCGTCTACGATGGAAAAATCGAAAAGAAAGGAGATGGCAAAATATGGCAGCTTGACAATTGGACTGTCATTTGCAAGTACTGCCACTTGGCGCAATATTCGAAGGCGCTTTTCAACACTTTCAGCGATTTACGATATCCGATGTTATCGATTATAGCCGCGCAGTGCCACAGTACTGAAAACAACGTTTTAAATTCAAATTTAAAATTGATTTACTAACATTTAGAATTAACATAGCATTAGAAAAATGGGTGAACACGTTATTAGAAATAGAATGGCTGCAAAGAATTATTTTCAACCACGACAACTTTGACGTTTCCATTATTTTCCAGCTTGAACGGTGGTGGTTCGATTGATTCTACTCCCTCAAATTCCATATACGACATTATATCTGTCTCCTCATTTTTAATTGGCATTGATACAAATTCAGTTTCTTCGGGGTATTCACTATAATCGATATTTGGCTCAAGTGATGACGGAGATGCTACCGAATGAATAGACGTCGCATCCCCCGACTCTACCAAATATTCAATTCCCACTTCATGCAACTGCTTCGCCTTCAGCGCAGCCGCCTTCTCCAGTTCAAACTTCTGCATTCGCATCATTAGGCGAGCATTCTCATCCAAGTGGGAGTGACGCGCCCGCACATGCTTATCCCGATCGCCACGCTGCCGGAACGTTTTCGTGCAGAATGGACAATCGTAAGGCTTCTCGCCCGTATGAATGCGCTGATGGTTTTTCAAAGCGTCGGCGCGATAGAAACGCTTGCCGCACTCTTCACACTCGTATCGCCGCTCGCCACGATGGATGAGTCGATGCTGGTAGAACACGGAGCCGGTGAGAAATCGCTTGCCACAAACCAAACAATGATACGGCCGTTCCCCAGTGTGACACTTTCGTATGTGATCATTGAGATCCGGACGTATGGTGAATTTGCGACCGCAGTTCGCTTCCGGGCAAACAAATGGCTTCACACCTGTGAGCAATTTTTATTTTTATTTTTATCAGCAATAATAAAAAGAATGAAAGAAAGAAAAAGAAGTATTAGCAAGAAGTACAAGAAATTCTGGTAAACAATGCTCAATATATAATTCTGATAAAGTGATTTATTATTTCACAGAATTAGACAACATAATAAACACTCCGTAAAAAGCGCATGAAATGAATGCTTCATGTTTGACAATATACAATTAAATTGTAGACTCCTTAAGTATACTATATATATTATAATATTTCACGATCAAATTATAATAGCCTCGACTAAGATACGTAACGAAAGATTAAACTCACCCTGATGAAAGCGGAGGTGTTGCCATAAATGACTGGACTGTGTGTAGGATTTGCCACAGATGTCGCATAGATATTGACGCAGTCGGACCTTGGACGAAGCTGCACTGCTGATGTTGCGCAGCTGTTCCTTCTCCCGCTTCTTCCGATTGAGATGCTTCTCCTCGTAGTGGGCCTGTATCTCGGTGGCACACTGAAAATTTGTGGCACAGAACTCACAGGGCAACATCAGCCGTGTGCCGGTCTCGCTGAGCCGCGGAAAGAAGTGAAGGCAACTGTAGCTTCGGGACGCAATAGAATGGAATAGCCAGAGGTGCAACTGAAACCAAATTTGATGGAAATAAGGTAAGATTTTCGATCACTTACCGATGCTCCTGAAGCAGCTCCACGTTGGCATACTTCAGCTTACACACATTGCACACAAATAGACGATTTAGCGCAACTTGCAGTTCCTTGAGTTCCTCGCGCATATAGACACAGTCGGTCTGGTAGTGAACACTGGCCTCCTTGGCGGTGGTCAGGCGCAGATCACAGGCGGTGCACTCGAACCGCTGCTCCGGCTTATGGGTGGCCGAGTGGCGCAGCAGCGCGGCAACATCGGCAAAGATATAGTCACAAAACTCGCACTGGAGGACATTAGCCACAACATGGTTATTGAACATTTCTTCCTGCCGATCCAGCGGTATCTTCGCCAGCTTGGTGATCAATTGCAGTTGCTTGACTTCCATCAGTAGCAATTCGAGATGATGCTTTAATTTCACTTTATCCACATTTGTGGATTGGACTACGTCGCTAGACGAGCGATGCACATGGATGTGTTTCAGCGCCAGCTTGACGTTGAAGAAAATGCGTCCACAGTGATTGCATTTGAGGACAACAAGAACGCCAAGCCTTGTTGCGTGATGCTGTTGCTGCGTTGCCTGTGCGGGGATTTGGTCCAGAGCATGCTTCTCCAAGTGACGCGCCAAGCCGGAGGAGTGAACAAACTTGCGCTCACAGATGCTGCACTCGTTGGTGCCCTTGACCGTCGACTCCTTCATCTTGGAACTATCGTAACCCGTCTCCAGATCATACTTGAGCTCATCCTTTATATAGCGACGCATGCGCACTTGGTTCTCAACGATGATGCGCTCGCTGCTCGTTATCCTTGGTGACAAAGTTGCCTTCTCCGGCTGTGGTGGTAATTGCTGAGCTACGATTTGTTTCTGGTTCGCATCGTATTCACAGATGTGATTTTGGAATGCGGGCGTATCGAAGATTCCGCTACAATTGGAGCACAGGATGAAACGGAGGGCTGGACTTTTATTCTCTTCGACCACCACACCTGGCAACGCATTCAGTTCCATGCAATTGTTAACGCCCGATAAGAACTCGCGTAATTTGAGTTGCTCTGCTTCCGGATCAAAATCGATCTGTCCGTTGGCGTCATGTAGGATTCCCATTAGCGCCGGATCTGTCAACGTGCGTTCCACAACCTCCTCGGCGGGTATCTGAAAGCCGCCCTGCAGCTCAAAGAACTTGGCCAAATCCTCGTGACCGAGGAGACCATTGCTCTCATTGGACACCAGTAGAGTGGAACCTGACTGCATGCCATTACTGTCCACTATCAAATCGTCATCGAGCTCGAACTCGGCCATCACGAATTCACCATCATCGTAAAGCTCTGATCTTGAATCCATTTTGTCAACACAAAAAAAAAGTTAAAAAACAAAAACAAAATTACACAAATGCTAGTTTTCTGATTTTCTCAAGATGATTTTCGTTTGGAGGCTCACAAGCAACTGAGGAACCAGGCATGTTTTTTGTAAATATTTCTCACAGAGAGTTATGTCAGTGGAAATGGAAAAAAAGGGTTGCTCCACACCTAGTAGGCTTGCCAGGCATTGGCATTTTGCATAAAATTCTCTTTTCTTAACCATTATTTTAATTTCACAATCTTCCCAATCATCTCACAACTAAGTAATGCTGCTGATATAAACACTAAGCAGATTATATAACGAATTAATAAGTCAAAACAATGAATGGCTTTAACAAACATAAGAAATTATTGAACAACCCAAGAGTCCTGCACCCTTTAAAACATTTCTTACAAATTCATAAAAGTTGAGGTAGGTAAAGCAATTCAAATTCAACAGTAACTAATACAAAAACCACACAAACATTTAGAGACAGAAACACATATACAAAAAAAATACAAATATTTTCTTCATTAAACTGGCCAAATTATTATGTTTTTAGTAATTATCGCATATTTAAGGAATGTGTATGAATCAGTGTGTTAATTGTAGCAACTACGATGCCACATCAATAAACATTCCATGTTATCTTCCGGAAACTCTTCAGCTGTATTTGATGATGGAAACTATGTAATTAGATGTGTAGTAGTACGTAATTATATTTGGAGAAACACAACTTCCTTAGAATAAGGGAGTTAAGTTACAAAAAACACTTAAAATAGAATTTAATAAATGTTATCAGCGAAGCACAGTTAGTCATTTTATTTACACAGTTAAAAACAGTTTGTACATTTTAAAAAGGTATCATGTTGTACTATCTAAGTTAACTAGTATAACAATAATATTTATAAAAATAAAAATATACTATACATAACCAAAATATAATTTACTGTTATATACAATCAATTGGCCAAATTGTTGGCCAACTCACAGAGGCTTTCAAAAATACAGGTGATGCCAATTGTTTTTATTTTCTTTTGGGCTCAGGTTGTCGAAAGCTAAACACCGCCCACAGGTAAAGGCGATTACTTAGTTATGGTTATCAGTGTCTGCGTACCCAGATAACGATGCCTGGCAGCAAATGAGTAAACAGGCTGACATACCAGCTTCGTTAATCAGTTTGATACCTTGGGTTGAACTGAACGGACACGCAATAACATCGATATATACATATATGTGTATATATATTACAAATATATGCCCAGAGCATTAAAGACTTAAACTTAACATTAAACTGCTTCAAGCTGTATCGTGTCAACTCCAGACGCTCCTCTTTAAACGGTAAATGAATAGTTTGTAGATGTGAAGGTTGCCCTCTTGCGTGCCTTTGTCTTTGCCACTCTATATGATTCACCCGCCAAGCTGAAAAACCAATAGAAATCCGTAAAAATTAAATTGATAACAAAAAAAAATAACAATGCATACTTCTTATCTGCAAAAATAAAAATTGGCTCGCAGATAATGCACGAAAAAAAAAAGAAAAAAAAACGGATACGTAGCTCTCTAATAGCAGCTCTATGACGTATCGCTTTTCAGGATAATGGATATGGATAGTGCGACATATGCCTACATCTCCGAGCCCGTCGAGTTTCGGCATCTGAAGGGCAAGCCCATCGATTTCCGTAAGACGTTCGATGTGCGCGGCTTGGGCACAGATGAGATGCTCCAATTGTATTTGCGCAGGGCAAACTTATCCGACGATGTGGAACACATGCCGGCGATGCAGCGACGCACCTATGTTTATGACATAATTAGAAGCCATAAGAGCCCCGGTTATTGGGTGGTAATTGCCAATTCTTGAACAAGACAACACCCTCATCAGTCACCATACTTATATAAATCAGTTGCAATTTGTAATCGCTGCTGAAATTTTCTTTTTGTTTTTATTTACTGGTCTTTTTTAGCCACCCTGCATGCAGGTGAGCAGCGACGTCTTCGCCCAGCCCCCACCCGCCGTTCTTCCTCCGCCCACAATTAAAGCCTCGCCGGGTAGCGAAAGACGCTTTTTTGCCGACGCCGCCAGCCTGAATATGAGTCAATCCTCGTCGTCGAATAGCCTAAGTAGCTTTGGTGGTGGAGGTGGAGCCGTGCCGGGTCCCAGTTTTGCCACCAGCGTTGTCGTCAGCAACAAGGGGTCCAAGTACGAGATTAGCGGACCAGTCGGCTTTCAACATGTGTCCGGTGATGTGACACGGGATCGCACGCGAAATGCCTTCGATTTGAATGCCGGAGCCAATGATAATGTGCTGAAGAAGTACATGATGGAGCATGGCATTGCCGAGGAGGATGTGGCCGGCATACGACGCCAGGAGCTCATCAAAAAGATAGTCCACTCCAATTTCACGTGGATGGTATGATTCACAAAAATAATTCGAAAACCTTTATTATAATTGCTTTTTGCTTTGACAGCCCAACAAGCAGGATATGCAAAATGCGGAGCCTAAACTGGTTTATGCCACCATATCCACAAACAATCAGATTACACCACCACCCTCACCACCACCACCACCACCAGCTGTGGCCAAGCAGTCACCTCCAAGCACCTCTTACTCCAACTATGCATCGCTTACATCGCGCTTTGTGGACATCTCTGACATGGACATGCCCAACAGTCAGCAGCAGCAGCAGCCGCAGCATCAGCAACCTAGGCAGGAGATTGGCACCGTTATACCAGTTCAGGTGCAGCCAAACAGACAAAAGATTCCGCCACCGCCGTCAGCAGTGACGGCAGCCAATACACACTCTGCGTATCCAGCGGCCATTGAAGTGCGTGCCACGCGCAGCACAAAGCCACCGAATGAAACATATGCCACAATTGCGCCACAAACGCAACGCAAGGCGGGCACAATGCGAGTTGCGCCACCAGCACCGCCAAAGCCAATAATTGTGCCCAGCGAGAATCGCACCACGGTGCAATATGCACCCGTTAAACAGCCAACTCAGCAAACTCCTGTAAGGGCATCACCTATGATGCCACGGCCTGCACCTCTACAAGTTGCACCTACTCCTGTTAAGGCATCACCCATGCCGTCACGAGTGGCACCTTTACAAGCTGCCCCTACTCCTGTAAGGGCAACAGCCAACCAGCCACGAGTGGCACCTGTAAAGGCATCAGCTGTTCCACAGCCGCCGCCGCCACCTCCGCCAGTTATGGGAGGAGGAGGACCACCGCCACCACCACCGCCACCACCAGCAGCTATAGGTGGTGCACCAATGCCACCACCAGCAGCTATAGGTGGTGCACCAATGCCACCACCACCGCCACCAATGGGTGGACCTACTCCGCCGTTGGTAATTAAAAAGGCTGACCACCCAAAGGTGCCCGCAGACACAGGCGATAATCGCGATGCTTTCCTGGAAAGCATTCGCAATGGCGTCTCATTAAAGGTAATATATTAATTGGAGTAACTTGCTCGTTATTAAACTTGATCTACTTGCAGAAAGTCGATAAGAAGGCAGCTACAATAAGTGGCATTAAACCGCGAGCTGAAAGGAAGCCAGTGCCAATGGATTTCATGAGCGAGCTAAAATTGGGCATTACACTCAGGCGTGTGAAAAATCCGGCAGATAATCCGTATTCAGATGCGAACGCACCGACGGAAGAATCAAACGTGTAGCAAAAAAAAACAAAATGCGCGCGCAACTTTTGAAATTGTTTGTTGATTTGGCAACGCTTGACTTGGTGGCTTAGCTAGTATTAATTTGGTTTTTTTCCATAACAACACTTGCAGTCTGCAATCGCAATTTAAAGTCAATGTTTATTAAAGAAATTATTTATTTTAATTTTATTTATCTATGCAATCATGTGTTATCTACAATGAGCTGCAATTATTGTGCACATTTTTTGAGATATTTCCCATATGACAAAACATTCAAAAAATAGCAAAAATATCTACACATGTATAAAAAAATGCTATCGCTACTCAATTACTTTTAAACTGTTAATCACAATTTACATTTGGCAGTGAAATGTGTAAATAAATTTGTTTGTGTAGAGGCAACATGATAACTTATCTCGATGGTAATTATTTATAAGGTTTTGAAAGCCAACGGCATTTATGAACACTTCTACTTCGATTCTGCTTTTCTCTGGTGTCTGTGTGCGTTGTTCGCTTGTCAAGTGTCATAATCAGCTGGATGTCTCAGGTGAGCACAGTCGGCCGTATAACTACAGCAATCATTTGATATTTTGTGATTAGTTCTCGACCAGTCTGGAGCTAGCTGCTAAGGTGACATTACTTTTTTGTATTCAAAGACTGGCTATTTAGTGAACAAATAAGATTATGCAACGGATTGCGGTTATTGGTGGAACCGGCATGACCGGTCAATGTGTGGTTGACTACGCATTGGAGAAGGGTAAAGTACAGCAACAAACTATTTTCTTTCTTTCAAATTGTGCTAACACATTATTACTTGCAGGTCTCAAAGTGCGTTTACTTTACCGCACTGAAGCCACAGTTCCGGATCGTTTCAAAAGCAAAGTTCAATTGGTGCAGGGCGATGCAACTAAATTGGACGACGTGAAACGTCTAATTGAGGGCGATGGAGGAGTGGATGGCGTTTGCGTCATCTTGGGCACACGCAACAAACTGGAGCCCACCACTGAATTGTCCCGTGGCACCGAGAACGTCATTAACGCCATGAAAGAGGCAAAGCTCACGAAATTCTCCGTTGTCCTGTCATCGTTTCTATTACGTCCTCTTAGCGAGGTACCCGCTGTATTCCACAAGCTAAACGAGGAGCACAAGCGCATGCTGGATCTGACCAAAGCATCTGGATTGGACTACATAGCAATATTGCCACCGCACATTGCCGATGAGCCGGCCAGCGGTTACAAAGTGGTGCACGATGAAGCACCTGGACGCCTCGTCTCCAAAGATGACTTGGGCAAATTCATTGTGGACAGCTTGGATCAGCCCGAGCATTATGGCAAAGTGTGCGGCATTGCAAAGAGTGCTTAAGCCCATTATAAATTAATTCAGTAGCCCATCGTCTATTTTGCATACAAATAGTAATAAAATAGATTCAAACGTACAAATAATAATGATTCTAACAAAGCCTTTTAAAGACTATCTACTCAATTGTATGTACATACAAAAGAGCGTGTGTGTTATTTTATGCGCACTATAAACTTTCCATTTTAATACACAGAATAAACAAATTTTAATTGCAATTACGTGTCATGGTATCAATTGGCAAACGTCGGATATGCGGCGGTCAGACACCAAACATTCAAAGCCATTAGCAGCTGTCGCTTTTGACGTCATGCAGGTATTTCGAAAATGTGCACCTGTAGAAAATGCACAGACAATCTATGAGAAGCCGAAAATGAGCAGCTTCCGCTTTGAGGTCCAATGCCAAACATGTCGTTGACAAAGAACAGAATACAGAAAATTATTACATGTGCACATGAACTTTGGGGTACAGTGAACTTTCTATATGGCATATCTATCTTATTATTATTTGACAGCTTTCACAAATATTTGAGACTTCTTTCTTCTTGATTGATTCATATATATTTAGTTAAAATGTATATGCTTAAAAAGTAGAGAAAAGTAGAGAGAACAGTTCACTTTCTATATGGCAAACCAATCATATTATTATTTGCTATAATCAAGTCCTCAGCTTTCAATAAATTATTTTTGACAAGTATCTTAGGTTTCTTGTTGATAAAAAGGACATACGCGATTCTCATTATATTGACAGTTCACTATAAATATTTATTTAAAATGCAGACGCACACACAAACCGATGATAAACAAATGCGTAGCCGATGCCTGCAGAGACTCTGGTTTATTTTTGAACAAAATAAACTTTCCGAAGCTTTCCGTTTATGTCGTGTCGCTGGGCATGCAGGCAGGCGGACCCGAAGTCCCCGCACCGACTATATCTGATGCAGCTGTAATAAAAATAACATTACCGGGGCACACATCAATTTTTGTCTTGAAGCAGAACACCGTGAACTTGAACTTGTCATAGATTTTGTTTAGACAGATTGCAGACGAATGTTTCCGTTTTGTTTTCCGTACGTTAAATAATGACAACAAAGCGATTAAAATATCTACATCTTTAATATAATTTATTGCCTTTCGTTGATTGCTTAATGCCACTACATTTCCATTTCGATATGTATATCTATGCTATGTTTTATTTGGAAGATAATTGAGTTAGATATTGTCTAGCAAGCACTTGAGCAAACCCTCACAAAAAATCATAAGGATATGAGTTATAAATAAATAATTATACATAATTAAATTAACTTGTATATATTATGAGCAATATACATATTAACACGGCCAATAACGTGCCAGGTGCATCTCAAGCTTTTTTTTACGAAAAGGTAACAAAAAATACATGCGGAAAGTAATATTTAAAAATCAACACGAGCGTAATATGAATGTTTTGTTTTTTTGTTTTTTTTTTTTTTTTTTTTGTTTTGTTTTATGTAATCGTAATGGAATTAGAAGCAAACGCTCTAGGAGATATTACAGGCTGTTACAGCTCTACCGCTGGGCAGTATTTGATATATATATATATTTATATGTATATATGTATAAAGCCAAAGAGCGTTTACCCAATTTGACTAGTTAAACTGGCAAACTCCGTTCTTAAAGCTGGAAGCTTTGGCAGCTTGGTTAAGCCAACACTACTACTACGGGTGCTGACATCTATAAGACCTTCTTCATGTATTTCTTTTTAAGAATTTGTAAGCTAGGCAACTCGCAGTGACGCGGTCCGTAAATGGAAATTGGCGCACAATATTCATACCCAATGCGCTCGTAGAAGCCATCCTGATCGATGGTGGACAGATAGATGGTGTTCAATTGCAGTACGACACGACAATAGTCCTCGGCAAACTTCATAATTAGCTTGCCAAAGCCCTGGCCGCGATACGACTTGTCCACAACAACAGACTCCACGAAGCATGCTTTCTTCTTGGACGTTATGGGGCTGAGCTTCAGGTGCGCTATCACACGGCACATGCTTTCCGTGGTTAGGACCAGGCTGCAGGGCAGCGTGTCGCATGATGCCTCCAGGGAGCGCATGCGCGCAGTTTCAGAACGCGGCCATTCCGAATTAATGAGCGCGCATGTATCCTTCATTAGCTCCGGAAAATTGTGTATGGGCACCACATCAAAGGGACTGCCAGACACATTGAACGGTGGAAGCCCCTGTAAGCAAACAACACACATTAGTGCAAACCAATTCAAATGGCGCTGGATCTGTTCAACAATTGTGCTTGTGTGCCACCAATCCAGCTACTACCTCAAAGTACGGCTCCAGTTTAATATAGCGCATATCGCTTTAACTGACAAACTAACTGGGCTGACTGTCGTCGTTGTGCCAGCATCAGGCTACGAAAGTATCTCAATATCTAAAAGAGAACAAATTTAGTTCTATTCGTTTCTACGCAACAACTTCTTAAAATATTTGTGATTTATTTACACAGGAGGAATCGAAATACATATAATATGTACACATACATATATTATTTACACTTTGGTCATGAAGGGAATATTCATTAAAACATTTTACATATTGGACAACAATCTAAGAGCGAAATATTTTTAAAGCAAGGATGAGTTTTTGTGTTCCTGTTGTGTTAAATTATAAAACTGAAAGTTTTGTTCAAAGTAAAAAAAATATTTATCTACAGGGGTTACTCGAAAAGTGAAACTATTCGGATTCTCATGTTGTTCTATCTTTCAAATAAATTGATTCTTCTAAACGATGTAGGCAAAAACAAGGCGTTTAGCATATTATTGAAATTGTCGATTTAAATTTGAATATTCAAAAGTTTTGGATGCTTAACTTAAAATATATTTTCATTCTTTAAGCAATAGATTTGAGCCTAATTTCCTGGGCAAGAGTAAATTATCAGCCTTGGTTTAAGGTTAATAGAGAGAGAATTTTCATCTGTCTACAAAACTAATACATTACTCGCATACATTTTTATTTATTTATTTAGTTTTTGTGATCGAGACGGTGTAGGCGTTAACTCATATATATCCAAACATCGGAACGTATGTATAGATGTAAATAAAAATGTACACAAATATGTTTAGTTTGTATGAATGATTGTGTGCGTATAATTTTGTCCGCGAAAATCAAGGTGAGGCATAAAAAAAGAAAATTTTTTTCTAAATGCTAACGACACTTGTCCGACCTTGACTGGCCAATCCCAGCAGCAGAAACAATCGCACACATTTATGAGGATTACTTAGTAATGATTTACTTGTGCGACACACACAGTTTATAACCGACATATGTATATATCTATATGTATGTACAAATGCAGTGCTAAATAATTGTAATGCTCTTGTGGAAAACCGCAGACGCACAGACTTTAACTCAATTCAAATGAATTGTTCAAGAATGCGTAATAATTATTGATTTTGTCGGATGTTTACCATTGCGAGCACTCGTTGCTCTGTGCGTTGATTTTCGTCACGAGCGCCACGGCGAAATATACAAAGCGAACTGATATAGTTTCCAATTCTGGCGATCCAAGAAATGGGCCAAGTTCCGCTGGCCGAGCAAAATGTTTAATATACAATCGATGTTGATGATAATTTTCTGTGTTTGTATTTGTGTTTGTGGCGGCAGTGACGACGTTGACGGCAACAGCGACGCACGCTTCGTTGATTTTATACAAAAGAATTGGCTTGATATGTAAATGTGTTAGTCTCCTGCTTATATGCTTTTATTTTTAATATATATGTTTAGTTTGAACAACAGCCGTTACGTTTTGTTTTATTTTTAAACATTTTGCTTAATATTTTCATGTGTGGAGCGATGCAGGTGTGTGTTGCCACCTTACTTATAAATTGCCCGTTCTGCCAACTTTGAGCTAAAATGTATCGGCCGACCTCCACGACCTATCGGGCATTTATAAATATATCGGAAATTGTAAACAGAATATAAAAAACAACAAAAACGTGGATTACTTGCACTGCTCGCATGTAGTTAATGAAGTAAATGACAAATTTACAAATAATATAATTAACGGTTTAACGGTAAACTTACAGTTAATTGTAAAAGCAGCAGCTGTTGAATTTTCCTCTTCGCGACACTGAAATATTTATTACACAACAAATAAATCAAATAAAGACATGTCGACAATGTGAAACATTTTAAAATTGGCACCGTGCAGTCTATAAATAATTTGTAAACAAATCGCCAAAGAGGAAAGACGCCAAAGCACTTCAATAGCGTGCCAGGCATTGACACTGACCCATTGCTGATTACCAATACTTTTCTGCCGTCGGCAGACGCCAATAAATCAGCGCATCGCATAGCAAGCAGATTCACGTGCAACAGCTGCCGCAGTAACAATGGCGAATCGACAAATGGCACAACCGCCAGAGAATCATTTACGTCTCTCTTGGCACGATACCCAGATGATAGCCACACTGAGTCCCCAGACCGTTATGGACTACTTTTGCCGCAAAAGCAATCCGTTCTATGACCACATGTGCAACAACGAGACCATCCGCATGCAACGTCTGGGAGTTGAGCATTTGCAGTAAGCATCTGCTGCTATCGAAAATTATGCCTTGCGAATTTATCTGTTTTCTTGCAGCAACATGTTGGGATTGGAGTACATCTTACTGCACGTCGCCGAACCGATTCTCTATGTGATACGCAAGCAGCATCGCCACAATCCAGCAGAGGCAACCCCAATTGCCGATTACTACATCATTGGAGGCACCATATACAAAGCACCCGATCTGGCGAATGTGATAAACGCACGCGTCGTAAGTGTTAATGAGTGATAAGGTGGCGAAATGAAGAAGACATTATCAAGCTCAATAAGACCCTGTGATCAGCATCAGTAGCCAAGTCGATTTTGTCTATGATAAAATTTGGCATTCATCCATCCATTTCCTCAATAATGTACATATATCGGCGTGAACTTAGACGGTCGACTATATGATAACTACAGCTCTAAAAAAATGTTGGATAAAAACTTAGCTATTTTATGTATACTTTAGATTTATTATTTGTAAAGCCTTTTTTTTATTTTCTATGATATCTTCTCCCATTGCATGTAATATTATATTACAAATACTTTACCAAATATCGTGCAATATTAGTCTATTATTCAGCACTATTCTCATGTGAAACACTTTCTTTCAGCTCAACACCGTTGTTAATTTGCAGTCTGCATTCGAGGAAGCCAGCAGCTATGCGCGCTATCATCCCAACAAAGGATACACTTGGGATTTTTCATCCAACAAAATTTGTATGTAAAGGATCCTTAAACAAAGATATCTCTTTCATCATTATAATGGACTTTTGCAGTGTCAGACAAGTCCAAGGCGGACAAGAAGGATTCGAGTGCCACCAAGGATGACAGCAGTGGCACGCTGTTTCAGAAGCAACGCGTAGACATGTTACTTGCGGAGCTGTTGCGTAAATTTCCACCGCCAATACCGCCAATGCTACAGAATTTGCAGCCGGCTGGACAGCTGCCAAATGCAGCGGGTGCGGATGGAGGCACTGCGACCAATTCAACCGAGAATCATGCAAATGGACCATTGGATATCGCTACAGAAAGCATAGATATGAAACCGCCGCCAGAAAAGAAATCCAAATGAAAAACTACATTGCAGTTAAATCGTATATTTGATATAAACTGTATATAAGTATTAAAGTAAACACAACTTAAGCTAAAGGGTATTTGATTTAAGCCTGATCTGGAGCATTCAGTTGTAAGTTGTTGGTGTCCTGCTTCTGGTTTTTCGAGTGGACTGTCAGACTGTGTGTAGTGTAGTCAAGGACGCTCTTAAACGACTGCTTGCAGATGTGACACGGCACCATTTTGGTCGGCGTACGATAGACGCCCGAATGGGCCACTTTCTTGGTCAACTTTTTCATTGATGGCGGCGGCATTGGTTCGCTTTTCGTCATTGGGATTGTGGTGGCGCCTTCATTGCAAGTTACTAACGAGGCTGCAGAGGTCTCTCTCGCTTGAAACTTACCCATGGACATAGTCGGTTCTTTTTCAATCGCAGGCATTATGCTCACACGCGGCTTGGAGCTGTCGCTGCCAGATACCATCAGCTTCGGCAGCTTTGCCTTCTCCACGTGATTCAGCTCAGTAAATTGAAGCTTACGCTTCTCGCTCGGCGGAATCTTTGTACAATTCTGCATTAGATGTATGTGAAGCGCACGCTCCAGCACAAATTTCTTGTCACAATACTTGCAGCACGACTCCGACTCTTTGTTCCTTGCTGGCCGGCATTTCCAGTGCGACTCAATGTGTGTATCGAGCAATTTCTTCAAGCGAAAGCTGGCGCTGCACAATTTGCATTTGAACTGCGCCGCTGGAGCCTGAGTAACCAACTGGGATTTAGCAGTGGAATCAGGAGCTGCCGCAGCAGTTTTCACAGAGCGTGAAGTGCTCGTGGATGAGCTACTGGCGCTTATGGAGCGTATCATTGTCGACTTGCGGTAGCCAGTGCCACCGCCAATGCTTAGTCTTGGGGCGGGCAGACAGCTGCGACGAGCAAGCGTATTGCTTGTTGCCAGCTTCCGTGCGGGGCTGTTCAAGGTGGTCTTAACCACGATGGACATGCGTTGCTTAAAAGTTGTCCCAGTAACTGTGGGCAGAAAGGAGCGACGTGGTCGGGGCAAGGCCATTGTAGGCACTTTCTGCGAGGGCTTCGCTTGTCTTTTGGAGTTCTCGCTGAATTTCATAGCCTTGGCAATAAGCTCGGAGACCTCGTTTACCATTTCAGCAACGCCAGTGTCTGCTGCTTCCACCTTGCCCTCTGATAGTGTTGGCATAGTCAGCGGTTTCTTCTCCTTTACGATATCAGCAACTACAGCATCTGCTTTCATCTTGTCTACAATCGCCAAGACAGCATCTCCAGTGTCAACGACGGGTGATGGCATCATCATCGATGGCTCCTCATTCGAAACTGAAGAATCCCAATCGAATAAAAATAAAACCAAAACATTATATTTAATTACCAACCTTCAGTGATATTTTCCAGCACAACATCGGCGCTCAAGGGGTATACATTGTTAGTCTTGTTGTGCTCCTTAACTGAAATTTCATCAAGTGTCGCATTTGCTTCATTGAACATTGTGTTGGTCTTCACTGTGGATGCAGTGGCGTCTATGCTCGATGACAGTGTGGAGTTCTGCTCATCCGGCTGCGAGTTCTCCTTGTTATCGCCATCAATAACAGCAAAAGCCGGGCGTACATTCTTCGTAGGCGTCGAGCACAATGCGTTGTGTTTGCTTAGAATGCTTTTGTCAAAGGGACGCAAAGGGGATACATGATCCTTGCCCATATCATTTTTGATTAGTAACTCAAGCATGTTTTTCTTCGTTTTGTTCTTCTGCTCGAGGGTGTCATTGTGTTGCATGTCCTCGATGCTCTGCATCTCCAAATACTGAGTGGTTTGGGTAGCCATCACTGATTGCCATTTGCTAGCGAGCGTCTCATCGGCATCGGTGTCGAAGGACAAATACATACTGATGCTGTCCTCGCTGGGCGCAATCGAGCGACGTGAATTATCCATAATTACACTTTTGTTCTTTTGTTCGTGCACGCAATGCAATACCTTATTGTTCAAATTTGAATTGAAATTGAATTTTCACTATTACTACTGAATTCGCGCTGAAGATCGCCGAAGACGCCTGGCTGTACCAACAACTAATCGTTAATATTTCAAATGAACTTTTGAACACTGAACACGATCTGCACTTGTAAACGGCGTTGTAAATAAATATCGGCTTCGTACTGCGAGTCAAAGCGAATTTAGATAATTTAACTTCATATAAGCGAGCTGTTTTGCTCTTTTTAAGATATTCGAATATATTCCTATTCGTGTCGAATAATCTTCAATTGTAAAGGCATACTATGAAATCCGTTTACTAGCACTGATATCTTTGACAGCCCTGGCTTATCGTTTATCGGTCTCGTGTATATATATGCAAATTCGATAGTTCTTGTATATACACAATTCGTACTTGCATAAAAAGATTTGCCAAAATATTGTACAAATTTAAGAAACTTTCGATTTACTGATTTAAATTCAAGTTCCTGTTTTACAAACAAAAAAAAAAAACGAAGAGCTTAAATAACGCTAGATAATATTAATCAACATAGAGAGGTGGCATCAGCATCGTGTGTGAGTCACTGGCACAAATTTTCCCAGGCTTACTCAAAAAGTTCACAACCACTTGCTAACTCATCAATTAAACGTCATCAGTTAGACGTAAACAGCTCATCTCATCTCATCTCATTAGAGTCACGCAATGGCCGGTATGGAAAACGAGCCGCGTACGGAGCTGCAGGAGCTGCAGTTGAAATCTGCTCAAGTTGCCGATGAGTCGTTGGAGAGCACGCGTCGCATGCTCGGCTTGATGGATGAGTCCAAGGAGGCTGGCATACGGACACTGGTTGCATTGGACGATCAGGGCGAGCAGCTGGATCGCATCGAGGAGGGCATGGATCGCATCAATGCGGATATGCGTGAAGCTGAAAAGAATCTCAGCGGCATGGAGAAATGCTGCGGCGTCTGTGTGCTGCCCTGGAAGAAGGTGAACATCAAGGATGACGGCGACAATGCCTGGAAGGCCAACGACGATGGCAAAGTGGTGGCCAGCCAACCGCAACGAGTCGTCGATGAGCGCGAACGTGGCGGCATGGGAGCACCACCACAATCCGGCTATGTGGCACGCATCACTAACGATGCGCGCGAGGATGAGATGGACGAGAACTTGGGACAGGTCAACTCAATGCTGGGCAATTTGCGCAACATGGCGCTGGACATGGGCTCCGAGTTGGAGAACCAAAATAAGCAAGTCGATCGCATTAATGCCAAAGGCGATGCCAACAACACTCGCATGGATGGTGTTAATAAGCGAGCAAACCATCTGCTCAAGAGTTAAACGGCATAGTTATTATCAAAATACTCAAAATGATAATGATGATAACCCTAATCATAAAGCTTCTCCTCCTACTCCCCATTCTCCACCTCTTCACCCACTCGAACCAATTTACTATCTCACATTAACTTTCACCACCAACAACAACAACAGGGAACAAAATGTTGTGGGCACAAAAATTTACTATAAACCAGTAGCGGCAATATTAGTTGATATATTTGTTTTTGTTGCTGTTGCTGCGCGATATCAAAACTTTATTTATTACACGTTTACAAAAAAAAAAGAAAAAAAAAACCGACGCGGAAAAAAAGAAAAAACAACTATTGCAACTAACCCATCAATATTATATGTATACCTATATCGTCTATACAACAACTAACTGAGTAACTTTCTAACAAACTTTACACAAAAGCATCAAAAGAAACAAAACACAAATTTTATGAGATTTTTCGTATGTATTTGAAAAAAAAATTGTACTCATGTTTTTTGGTACAAACTTTTTGAGGCAATTTACGACCTTTATGAAATTACAAAACTAAGCAAACTTTGTATGTAGTCTTTATGATACAAATATTTACAACTTGTACAACCCCGAAGTGTGGCATTTAAAAGAAAGAAGAAAGACGGAGGCAAATGGGACGAACGATCGATGGCTGAGAGCAATTAATTATTTAAGGGTAGTGTCATATTCTTAGCCAATTTATGTGCATTCTTTGTGTACGCGAGTTTGTTAATACTTTACAAGTTACTTATATATATATATATACTATGTGTGCTACCCCCCCCCAAATTTATATTTATAGCATACACATAATATTATTAATTATAACTCAACAAAATTAGAAAGCCCAGTTTTCCCTTAGATATAGTAAATGCAGCGTGTTGTGTTGTTTGCAATAATCCGAAGAAAAAAGAAATGTTTGTACACAAAAAATACAGTTCACTTGAATGTTTATTGTATATTGCATAATGATGTATATTAATTAGATATATATATATATACATATATAAACTGGCGCGTTGAATGCTTAAAATGATTATTATTGCAAGTTTAGTTTATATTATAGCTTTACATAGATTGCAACAATTTAAAATATAACCTATTCGCAACCATGAAAAAGGATGCTCGTTTTATTTTTATTTATAAATACACTAAACACATTTCCCCATTCTTCTTTCTAAGCCTTTCTAAAATAATTAAAGGTTGCAATGTAAGCGGAGAAATCCTCGTTACAATCTTCGGCATGTTCAAATTCAATCTCTGGCGCTGCCTCGACTGGAATGTACACAATGCTGCCGCGTGTCAAAGTTATCTGCTTGCGACCCTCTTTGGTATTTAGCTTCAGGTTGCGCACACCCGTCAACGTCAGCAGTATGGAGCCAAAGGGCTGGATCTGCAGTTTATATGTGTCGACGATGTACTTGATGGAAACATGTATCACGGCGAAGTCGTCAACGGGTGGCACAAACACCTGTACGGTATCATCGATGCGATACGGCATGAACACCTTGCACTGCGCCGATTTGCCTTCAAATATCACCGACGAGATGAGCTGGTTCACATCTTTGTATTTGGGTGTGAGTCCCGCACGGATCACATTGTCGGAACAGGCCATGCACTCCACACAGTCACCGGAAAGATAGGCATGTATCTCGTTGGCGCCCAAGTAGATGGCCTGCCCGGGCCTTAGTCGCACCAGATTCATAAAGAATAGAGACAGCACACCCACATCGCCGGGAAAGTCCGCACTGATCGTGTTAAATACATCCAACAATTCATTGCGCTTCAGCTCTAAAGTAAAAATAATTAATTAAATTGAGAATCAATATTAAGTTAATCGACACCTGCCTTCTTTGTTTTTTTTGGCAATCCCTTGGATGCATTTGGAAATGGCCGATTCATCGGATTTCATTAAGATCGCATAGCATTCCTTCAGACCCTCTGCGTTTCGCGTTTGGTGCAGTGCATCTACGGCCTCCTTGCCGATTAGTTTTGACAGTGGCTGGAACTCATCAATATAATCGATTATATCTTCGACTGGCTGGAATCCAACCAACGCTACGAATGGTGTCAGAGCGATGGCCAGCTCCGGCTTGTGATTATCATCTTTGTAGATTTCTGGGCGCTCCTTGTGTAGACGCTCCGCTTCGCATTTGTTTGGATGCACCTGTATGCTGAGTGCTTTATTGATGCTCAGCACCTTGAACAGGTACGGCAGATCCTTCTTCAGCACACGGTCCAGAGTCTCACCCGTCTCCTTGACAATGGAGACGCCACAGAAATGTGTACCCATCCACATCTCGGCATACGTTTCATTCTCGTTCAGGACAAAGTCCGGATCGTTGGCCATTGCCATTTGGGCAACGGCAGAGCTAATGCCCACTTTTCCCCATTCATACGGTTTTACCCAGCCAGTCAGCTCCATTTTTGCTTAATACCTGTGGAAAAATACTTTTCGCACAACGGGGGTCAACTTGAAGGTGATAAGAAACAAAACACGTATGATTCTAACAGCTGTGTGGGAGTGGATGGGGGTGTGCGATTGCGCGGCAATTCGATAACAATTATAAATGGTAAATAATTCTCTTCGTATGAATACTTATCTGTCAACCTACCTACACCTATACCACAGCTCAATATGGGACGTACGAATTTTAATTAACTGTTTACAACCAAAGTTTCAGCAAAATATTTTTCAAATGTCAAACAGTGTGACCACACCAGACTTCGTGCCAATCAGAGTACAGTTCACTGTATCGATATATCGGACTGAAGAAAATATCGTCCATCTCTAATGACAACTTGCACTTTGTCGGCGTTTTGACTTTTCTTGCATTGCATTTCTAATTATTATTCGTAAGGTATGTAACAGCTTAAATTAATGTGTGTGCTACAAGTTTTTGTTGCCAGTTTGTTTATTGTTTTGCTATGCCCAAGAAATCAAGAACAATCACGGCCACTAGGAGAGAACCTAGAGCTTTCCACATATATACGTGCTTCTTCTTACATGCAAACATATGCGTATATGTACATGTATATGTGTGCGTGTGTTTGTGTTCTTGTAACAGTTTCATTAAATCACATTTCGACGTTTGCATTTTTTAGACAATTACCAAAATTAAAGCATTTTACATTTTACAGTTATGCGGCGGTAAATCGTTTCGTTCGTTTCGTTTCGGCATTCATCATATTTCTTAAATTTATTGTATAATAGTTTAGTTAAAATTCTCAATCATGTTGCTAGTTCAGAAAATTCGTAGTTGCCGTCAACTGGGCCGCATTTGTCAGTTCAGTTTACGTATGAGACAGGCCAGCAATTACTCAGTAGCAGCGCATCAGTTGCAGTTGCACAAGCAGCCAGTGCGCCTTCTAAATTCCAATCAGCTAAGCAAAATTGCAGCATTTTCAGCCGTAAATTACAGGTATTAGTTTGATTGTATTATCAGCCTTTATCTGATTTCTCTCTTTATTTGCAGCTCGTCCATTAATTTGCCCCAACCGAGCGCAATGGCCAGCAAAACTTCCCATTTCGTATTGCCAAACACGCAGCCGATTGCCGATTTGGATTGCAAGAGCGCCTTTGAGAACTTGACCGATAAGGAGAAGCTTTACGCTCATTATTTTAGCAAGGCATCCTGGGATGGTGGCCTAGTTGCCCTCATACAATCCAGTCCCGAGGCGCCACTCATCTTTTCGCTGTTACATCGCATTTTCGTTGCCGAAAGCATTGCCGAGCTGAAAACCAAAGCATTGAGCGCAGGAGCAACTGAAGATGATTTTACGGTGAGATTGGGTCGCTGAAATGCTTATATCTTCTTGATACTTATCAGCTGGCAAGATATGACTATCACAATTAGATTAATAAAGATATCTTGTTAATAATATTTTATTTGTTGTACATATATAGGCGTTCCTTGTGTATGCATGTGGCGTTTTCGCCAACGCTGGCAACTACAAGGGCATGGGTGACAGCAAAATCTTACCAAATTTGGGAGAGGACAAATTCGGGACAATTGTGCGATCTTCGAGCGCCTTTGCGGCTGAGCCGCGTGTCTCGAAGATCTATGAGAAAGTGAAGGATCTGATTTATGCACTGGAAGCGCGTAATGAGGTGCTCGGCTTTGCACCAAATGGTATTACCACCTACTGGTCGGATAACTGCACAAAGGAGGATTCGGAAGTGGTCAATGCATGGCTGACATCGAAGCGCATCGAGCCGTATATGTGTCGCACCTTCAAGGTGACGGAGGGCGGGAAGACAATCTACGACATTAAACTCGGATCTGTTGAGGAGAGCAGCAAGGAGGGCATCACGCTTGCCTTGGAAGAATATCAGGGCAACAGCTTTCGTGTTACCCGCGGCGACTATCAGCCGCTGTTGAGGCGTGTAAACGATAATTTAATCCAGGCAAAGAAATATGCTGCAAATACTAATGAGGAGAAAATGATTGGGCATTATGTTAATTCATTTGAGCAAGGCTCATTGGACGAGCATAAAGATGGCTCCAGATGGTGGATCAAGGACAAGGGACCAGTTATTGAGACTTACATTGGCTTCATTGAAACGTATCGCGATCCGGCTGGCGGACGCGCTGAATTCGAGGGATTTGTGGCCATGGTTAACAAGGAGAGTTCGGCCAAATTTTCTGAGCTGGTCAATCGTGCCGAGAAACTGCTGGAGTACTTGCCCTGGACAGAGCCCTACGAGAAGGACTCGTATCTCAAGCCAGACTTTACATCGCTGGATGTTCTAACTTTCGCTGGAAGCGGTGTTCCCGCTGGCATTAATATACCCAACTGTTAGTATTTACTTTCTTTACCAATGTCAAATCTATTTACAATGAATAATTTATGTGACAGATGACGAGATCCGTCAGGATGAAGGATTTAAGAACGTTTCGCTGGGTAATGTGCTGGCCAACATCAATCGCAAGGATCCCATACCTTTTCTATCAGACGCCGATCAGGTACTAATGAAAGAGTACAAAGTGAAGGCATTCGAGGTGCAAGTCGGTTTACACGAACTGCTGGGCCATGGCAGTGGTAAACTGTTCCGCATCGATGAGAACGGAACGCACAACTTTGATGTGCAAACTGTGAAGAACCTCATCACTGGCGACCCCATCACCAAGTGGTATTTGCCCGGAGAAACGTACGACACAAAATTCGGAGCTATTGGCTCATCGTACGAGGAGTGCCGCGCAGAGGCGGTCGGTCTTTATCTATCCCTGCATCAGGATATACTCGAGATATTTGGTTTCAAGGATGCCGCCGAACAGGATGATATCATCTACATCAACTGGCTGAGTCTCATTTGGAACGGCATGGGCGTTGCCCTCGAAATGTACAATCCCAAATCGAAACTATGGTTGCAGGCACATTCCCGTGCCCGCTTTGTTATCATGAAAGTATTGCTGGAGGCGGGTGAGGGATTCGTTACCATTGAGGAGACCGAGAACGGCAAGAATCTCTTGTTAACCGTGGACCGTAGTAAAATCCAAACAGTTGGCAAGAAAGCGTTGGGCGAGTTCCTAACCAAACTGCAGGTTTACAAATCGACAGCGGACATTGCAGCCGCTTCCAAAATGTACGAACACTACTCGGAGGTGAACGAGACCGGATCGCATCCTTGGGCCAAGTGGCGTGATATATGCTTGGCACACAAGAAGCCACGCATTATCCTGGTCCAGGCGAACACGATCATTAATGGCAGCACCGTCGATTTGAAGACATACGATGCGACCCATGAGGGCTACATTCAATCGTGGGTGGAGCGTTATCCGACCACTGAAATTGATGATTTGCTGGAGCAGATTGTTGAGAAAGACAAGAAATACTTTCCGATTGCATATTCAAAGTAAAACAGCTGTAAATTTTCTACATTCATGTTGATTCTGAAAATATATATATTAAAGATCATTAAATATTTTTACTGCCAAATATTTGAGTTTTTTGTTAAAGTTTTACTATGCTGCACATATCCAGTCAAATTATGGTGAAGCCTTCTCTTGTTTATCGATAACAAAATGAATATCGATATAAATATTAAACTACGCTCGCGCAGCGTCAGAAAATAGAATCTCGAAGTATGTTCAAATAGTAATTTGTTCCTTTTGTATTTAAACATTTAATTTTTATATTTTACATTATTGTATCTTACATTGTTTTACATTGTTTATTGTATCTACGTGATTTTGCTACCATGACAGCGGTAATAAGGAGATATATGGAGGCGAGGGATGCAACCCCCGCAATTCATATCACAGGCAGGCCCAAATTTAATGTGGAGGTCGACGAGAAATTTATGTACCAAAGAGCCAAATACTATTGTGCTACCACAAACGAAATGGATCTCCGCAGCACCGAGATGTCCAAGGATAATAGTCTGCGGCAGCGTGCCGCCTTCGTCGAGGAAACAATGTCTGATGAGCTGAAGAAACTGAAACACAAAGAGTTCATCGATCGAAAGCGGCGTCAACAGTTGCGCAACGATTGCGAGGAGCTGCGGGAAATTGCGGAGCAATTGCGATTGGCAGCTATAACAAAGGACCTCGACGATAGCATTGTGGAAATGAATAAACACCGACAGTTGGCAAAAAATGCCCAAATGCTGGAATTTCAACGTGTCGAGGCCGAGAGGCAACAGCAGTTGGCCAGCCAAGTTGAGCAGGAGTTGCACAAGAAGGAGCAGCAAAAAGAGCTGCTTGCGTCGCTCTCAACGCAAATTGAAGAGACGCGTAATCGTCGCCAGCAACAATATGTGCAATCGCTGACGGAACGCGAGGAACTTATAGCCATGCAGCGACAAATCGAGGAGGAGGACAGATTGCAGCAACTGGAGCTCGAGCGGCAGAAGCAGAAGAAACGCAACGATATGATCAAGCTCATTGAACAGCAGCGGGAATACAAGGAGCTGCAAAGGGCGCAGTCCAACGAGGACATTGCAAAGGTGTTGCAGAATCAATCGGAGATGCTTGAGCAACAGGACAGAATAGATCAGGCCAGGCTTGCAGCTCAGCGTAAGCAGGAGCAGATTAGTTTGCGCATTGGTCAACAGGTCTTTGAAATTGAGGTGAGTTGAGGTTTGTCCAATAGCACCACCGACATTTTAAAGCATTTCTTCTTCAGGATCGGAAACGGCAACGTGACAATTTGTTGCTGGATCTGCTGCAGGCAGAGTACAAAGCCAAGGACGATGAACGCTATCGGCAGCAGCTCGAGCAGGAGCAATTGGAGCGTCGTCGTGCCCGTGAGGAATTGGAACGGTATCGCGCTGAGGTCGCTGAGCGGGATATGGAGCAAGCGCGCCTCAAGCTGGCAAATGCAGTGCACCAAAACGTCGACTGCACCACAATGCAAGAGATTAAGGAGCGGGAACTGCAGGAGCGTTTGCGACGGAAAGAGCATGGTGCCCTACTGCTCTCTATGATTGAAGAGAACCATCGCAAACGTGCCGATGCAGCGGCGGAAAATATGAAATTCTTCGAAACGAAAGCCAAATCAGAGGCTGAGCTGCAGCAGCGCATTCGCGAGGAGCGTCTCGAGATGCTGGGCTCCGTGCCACCGTCGGTGCTGAAATATCTACCAAAGCACGTGCTTTCCGAGTCGGATCGCAAGTATTTCAATATAGACAACAAAACAGTTAGCGCGACTGCAAAAGGGCAGCAAAGATTCAAGTAATTTAAGACCAAGGCTATTGTAAATTTAAAATTATGCTTCAACTTGTTCGTGTATATTTAGTTTGTTCTGGCAAAATCCTTAGTTGACATTTCAAATACAGGCGCCAAACCCACCCATCTTGTCTACGTGACGTGTAGCATTCGCTACTTCAGAGTTGCCATACTTTTTTTCCATTAGTAAACAACAATTGAGCCTAGTATGCTGTTCAAATGTACATGCACATCTTATTGTGCCGCCGTTCACGTCAAAACTATTTTTGTTTCTCATTAATATTGTGTTAATATAAATCTAGAAAGGGTGTGACAACAAATGTTGGTCTTTCTATTCACTGTAAATGAAACGAAACAACAAAATTAGTTGCGTACTCAATATACAATTTTAAATATACTAAACGTTTAATTGACAAAATAACAAACATAAACAAAAACTTTACATCTTCAATTTCGCTCTCTTTGCGAATATATGACAACTCTGTTAAATATGCCTACGCAACAGAGCGTATGGCAACACCAGCATATTTACTTCGTATTTGGTTCAGTTCAATGGCGGACGGTAATGAAAAAAGTGGGAGTGATCGTTGTTATGCTTTTTAATTAAATGATTCAGACAAATTAAAATTGAAAGAAAACCAAAAAATAATTCAGGCAAATGCCAAGTTGCAGTGATTGATAAAATGCCCAAGCGTGCGCGTTAATCGGTAATCTTGGTGCAAGCAAATAAAGTGCACAAAACGAAAACAAAAAAAGAGGAAAAATTCCACAGAATACTACGAATGGGAATATAAGCAGACAATACGCGGAAGCAGTGTAAAATAGAAAGACAAAAAGAAATACGAACTTTGTACGCTGCACATCACAACAAAATTAAAAAGAATACCCAAATAAAAACAAAAAAGAACAAATATGTCTGCGCAACGTTTAAATGCGGCAGAAAAAGACTTGGAGAAGTTTATTAAATTCCTGGCACTGAAATCCACCCAAGTTGTGGTGCAGTCGCGTCTGGGTGAAAAGGTGCAGACACAATGCAATCCACTTGCGGGCAACGATTGGTTCAACATTGTCGTCCAGGATCATCCCGATGTGCTCGATGAGACAAAGCGGGCGCTGGCCCTTAAGCCAGGCGAGAGCATTTTGAAGCGTCTGCCGCTGTGCGTCGAGATTTCGCTGAAGACCAGCGAAGGCGATCAAATGATACTCGAAGTGTGGTCATTGGATCTGCTTCCAGTTGATAACAATAAAACAGCAGCAGCAGCTGCTGGTGGCGGAGGAGGAGGGGGAGGCGGAGGTGTGGCTGGAGAAGATTGCAAGGATAACGAGAGTCAAACGTTGAAAGCCTCGCACGCCATCTACAATCGCATGGGCATCATGCTCAAGTCCCTCATCTCCCTCACACGAACGACACCCGCTTATAAGTTGTCGCGTCGCCAGTGTCCCGATTCGTATGTCATCTTCTATCGTATCTATGTGGATCGACCGCAGGTGCACACACTGGGCGAGGGCCACAAACATGTCAAGATCGGTCAGCTGAACACAATTGTGGGCTCCCTGATCATGTCCGTTGCTTATCGCACCAAGTTGACCATTTCACCAACGGCTGGCAAACAAACTGCTGCAACGGCTGCTGCTCATCAGGCGGCGGCGGAACAACATAATACCATAATGCTCAAATCGGATCACTTTCGACCAGCCAGCGATGCCAATTCACCAACGTTTCAGCAGCAGCAATCTACAGTTAAGTTTACTACTGGGGGAGTTGTCTCTAATGGACAGGCGTCCGATAAACGCTACATTGATATTGAGAAGCCATTGCGTCCGGGCGCCTTTACGGATCTCGGCAAATTGCGTCAGTTTACGGAACATGATTTTGTGCTGCCAGAGACGCCCCCATTCGAGTGGCTGTTGCGGCGTCAGCGGAACGAGAGCAATGGCAGTGGTTCCATTGAGTCGCTGAATCGGAAATGTGAATCGCCCGTCAACAACAACAACAACAATTCAACTAATTTTAATGGCAGCAATAATAACATTAACATCAACATTAACAACAATTGCAACAACAACAACTCGACGGCATTTAAGAGCTTTGAGAAGCCAGGTGTTGCCACATCACCCATCAAGAGTCTACTTATCCCCGCCAGCAGTCACAATTCGGCGCCTATGTTGCAGGCACAGCTGCAGCAGCCGCAGCCAGCTCCGCCAGATGATGACAGTCTGCTGAAGGAGCTGCATTTTCCATTCGCTTCGCCCACATCGCATGTCAACGATCTGGCCAAATTCTATCGGGAATGCTACAATGCGCCACCGCTGCGTGGCCTCAGCGAGCTGCAGGTGCCTAATGTGGCTAGTTGTGGAGCAGCTGCCTCGGCAGCAGCAGCTTCAGCGTCGGCAACAGCAGCTGCTGCCGCTGCCTTGGCGAGCAGTGCAGCAGCTGCATCGGCTGGTGGCGGTGGTGGCAGCATGGATGATTTGTCGCGACAGCTGGAACAGTTTGAGACATCGCTCGAGGATTACGATAAGCTCGTCTCACAATTCGGTCTCAGTGGCTCCTCGTCGACGGGCAGTCGGAGCAGCGGTGGCCTCCAGATGAGCAACTGAAAACACAAAAAATACGCCCAACTTTCTGAACTAAAGTGGATTTAAGTTACTATGATATTACTATTACTATTATTATTAATATTCTCATCTGTCTGTAGGTTTGCATTGCATTTCAGAAATATGTAGGTATTTAGTTATCAAGTATCACGTTTCACGTTTTCAGTGCAACAGTTAAGATTGGTTGTTTATTCCCCTCTTTGTTAATGTGCCTTCGGTTTGCTTTCGTATCAATTCGCATACGTATACAAAAAAATATGTCCAGGGTCACTCGCTAATTAAAACTTATTGATTTCGTCTGAAAATTGGGATTTTATTTGTAATTGATAATGAGTATATATGCAATTTTATAATGTCCATGGGTCAATTTCAATCCAATGAAAATCCACACATACGAGTGATCACTGTACAAGCACACATACACACATATGTACATAAAACACGTGCTTACACTTTTTTTTATGAGCTCATTTTGCAGCCGTTATAGTAAAAATCTAAATGGAATATTGAACTAATTGTAAGAGTTAGTTTTAAGTTAATGATTAAGAAGCAACAGTTGCCTTTGTTTCAAAATTATACGAAAGTGTTTTGTAATTTGTTGAGAGATAGATAAAACCGACTATAAGTATAATTAACAAAATATATAAATATATGTATGTCTGTGTCAAACGAAAGACTTAATTAGTTTAACAAAATATCGTACGGTTAATATATATATATATATATATGTGTGTGTAAATAGCGAGGGAGAGAGAACAAAGAAAGCAGCTGCAAAATTGTAAAATATTCTACATATATCTTCTATTCTATAAAATTGTATTTGTCGCGCTTCGTTATTTATTGGTTCCAAAAACTGCAATGTTTTGCATCTTAATCAAATTTAAACAAATAGTATATACTTAATCATCATAATCGGTAAATACTATTAAGCCAAATGCATAAAGGAATAATGTAAAATTATATTAAATTGTTAATCAAAACATAAATTGCTTATATTTTTATTGGTGTTAATGATCACGAGACTTTTTTGCTAAAGCTTAGAAACATTGCCCTATTACGATCACGATTACGATTATATATGCACATGTATATAATTATTTAAATAGTAACAGGAGTTTATGTTTATGAAATCTGTCCTACGATTGACCTTGAAACTTGTTTGGCATTGAGAATGAATTGTATATATATATATGTATATTGATATTAGTCGGGGAAGCTGTCAAATTCATACTATATGCAATTCATACTGGCGAAAAACACTATTCAAAAACCTTGTACAATCGAGCATGAATTCTGGAATCAACTACAAAGTACTAATTACAAGCTGTTTAAATGTTTCAATACTTAATTTAGGAACCAAATTCGTGTGCCAAGCAGATTTAATGACTTGAGTACTTGGAATAATTACTAAACGATTTCGAATAATTAAGTTCTTGGAAATGTGTCTTCAAAATACTCACTTTGTTTGTGAGTGTACTCATTTAGTGCTGAGTAAACAAGATTTATATATATGTACATATATAAAGCTGAGTATTATATTGACCTATCCTCTCAGATTTGAAAAACGTTGGCCAAAATTGACCAACAGCCGAGTTGATAATTCCTTTTTCACTTCATCATTAACTCAGGCTCAGCCTCACTTTGTTCTTATTTCTAAGCTCCGGGGTGCATGGCAAAAAAGCTTTTATTTTTGTCTCTACGTCAAACGAACGTCACTATGGCAACGCACTTCGCTAAGGTTAAATAGTTTTATTTTTAAATAAATAAATACGCACACATACATGCATGCATTTGTGTGCACAGTTGTTTGAGTGCACATACTGAGTGTATGTCTCTGTGTGTGTTGTGTGTTTGTGTGTGTATGTGTGTGTATGTGTATGGGCTTGCCATATTTGTTTTGCTACATTCGTATGTACATCTTATCTGCTGTTTTGGTAATTTGCTACTTTTTTTCGAGTGCTAATGACACTGCCTTTACACTTGCAAACATACACACATACTCACTCATGTAAGTAAGTACATGTGCATATTTATCTGTGCATATGAATTGAAGTGCGCGGGTGGTCACGAAAGTATACCCAGCTGCTGCTGTTTGGTGTTGGCGAACTTTAGGCGTGACCGTCTGGCCCAACAGGTCGTTGGTAGTCAACACTCACACGCACACACACTCACACCTGTCACCTGCACAAAATATATATATATATATATATAAATATATATATTGGTTTTGCTTTTTGGCCTTTGTTTAAAACTGTTGCCAAGCAAAAAGTGTTTGGATTGAGCTCAAACGTAGACTTTGACTGTCTGTAAAGCCTTACTCAATGTACATATATATGTATGTAGGTTTGCATGCTTGTAGAAATGGTAACTGCCCAGTCAAAGCAACCATTGAACGCCCCTGCTCCCCATAAAGGTTGTACACACACATACACTTTGTCGACGTTGCCACATCAGTTTCAGCACGCATCCGGCGGCTTTTGCTAGTTTTTGATATGCATTTCTCTGTCTGCTGGTGGTGGTGAGTTGACTCTCACTTTTACGCCCACGTCAGTCAAATTCAATTAATATTAATTCAACCAGGGCCAGGCTAGCTGCGAGTATTCTGCGAAGATCATCTATGGCATGGTTTGCATATGATTTCCTTGACAGGCGTTTTAAAAGACCACAGGTAGTTTAAAATTAAATTTGAATGCTTATTTTTGCTACTCGCTATAAATACGCTTTAAAGATTAGATTTGTCATAACAAAAAAATGGTCATAAAATACACACATTTTTGTACGTAATCTGAAAATGTCAACTATGTTGGTTTGCTCATAAAATGTTTCCAGATTAAATACTACACAATGGGATTGTTAAAATTTCTTCCGTACAAAATATTAGTTTTCCATATTTATTAGTAAATTTGAATTTTCAGCGAGCTATTTTTTTTTTACAAATTATGTCACTTTGTAATATGCAATAATTATAATTAAGCTGACCCCTTTTTACCACGACACAGTTCCACAGTTATTGCATTTTGACGATATTAACGTGCCGTTAAGTAATTTTTGGCATTCGAAATGCACATTAAAAATATCACCAAAACAAAAACAAAAAGCACTATAAATGTATATATAGTAAATACATTTGTTTGTATGTAAGTACATTTTGTATGATAAGTAAATGCCTAAAATGGGCAGTCAGGGTAAGAAGAAGTAGATAAGCACCATAAAAGTACAGAAGAATTGCGCCGATTATTTCTGTATTCGTATTCGCATTCGTATTCGTATTTTTATTTGTATTTGTGCTCCAAACCAACCCACATTGTTTGCATTTTTTGTGTACAAAAAAAACCATAGTAAAACAGTCAATGGCTGCAGAACAGTTTGCAAGCAACTGGTTTGTCAAGTTACAAAATGCACACACATACTACACATTCGTATGGGTGTGTGTATGCGCTGGGGGCGAGTTTGTTGTTTGTCTGGTTTGCCGGTTTTCCGAGCGACCAGCTGCAATAATAAATAGCATAATTGAAGTTATATTTAGACACCCACCGTATCCGCTCTCAGCAGACAGTATTTTCTAATGCATTTGAAATACTTGCAAGTAATTTGAATTTCAACAGATTTAAGTTGAGCTGTTTTACACAATTTTAAATGCTTTGAAAATCGATTAAGTTTTGACGATGGAAAGTTGGAAAGCGAATAAATTTTTGAGGCGTCTAGATATTTACATAGAGACACACGCACAAAAATGTACATACATGTATGCTAAGAATATTCTAGTAAACAAGCGCATAAAAACAAATTATGTGTAATTTAATTATAGCGTCTCAATTGTTGCTACGTGCCATTTGTCGCGCCGCAACATTCACCGTTGTAAGTTGATGTAGACGTTTTTGTTGTTATCGGTTCTCATTTTTTTTTTGGTGACCTCGCCGGCGCTTTGTTTGTTTTCATTATGAGCAAACAAAGCCATTGATCGAATAACGCCTGCCCCCGCCCCCATTGGATAAGGTATATGGTTAATGTATATATACAATGTGTATTTGCAATCGCAACTAAAGACAGTTGATGTGCAATTAAAATTGCAATGCGGAAGCTGCTGCTAAACTGAAATTGCCAGCTGCCACACACACAATGCGAGGCGGAAGTGAAATGCACAAACATGTCAGCAAATACATATATTAGAAATCAAGATATAGTATTGATTTACATTGATAAATAACAAAAGTATCAGATATGATTTAATGGGGTTTTCTCAATTTTAATGAATGATTCTTTAGAAACTGGATTTATAACATTGTGAATTGCATCAGTAATTTAAATTTGAGGAATATGTTTTAAATCAAATATAATTCAAAGCGCCAAAATTGTGCGCATTTGAGTTGATCGATAGCTATTTCTATCAACTCTATCGGGCTGCCAACTTAACTTTATAGAAAACGCAATACACAACATCCACATTCCTTTCCCCATGCTAAGTACCTATGGATATTTACCACAAATACTGGTTTGGCAAGGCGGCATCTTGAAACCTATTGTTGGATACAATAAGCTAATTTACAAGAGAGCGCCAGACTATACCGATAACCTGAGAGGCGGAGTAATCGATAGAAACCAATGCAATTTGCAATACACAATATCCACACATTGTGGTGGCTCGTCGATAAAGTACGATTTCGCTGCTGCTGCTGGTGCTGAGCTAACTTCGACTTCTTGTGTGACTCGGGCATTGAATAAATATATTTACATATATTTATGTGACAAGCATTTCAGCCAGCCGACAACGCTGGCCAATCACCGAAAAATTCTCACCGGCGACAAGCCGTACACGTGCTCCTACTGCCACATGCAATTCAGGCAGCAGGGCACACTCATCAATCACATGAAGACGCACACACATCTCGTCAACCAGCCGCCCGTGCGAGTTGACCACTCCATGATGCAGGCGCATCTTGCATCTGGGGCACAGCAGCTGACCAACGGTCTGTTGCCTAACAATCTGCATGGCAGCACTCCCAACTTTCTCCAGCTGGACCATCATCCGCTGCTGCATTTCCTCGAAGGCAATGCAACAGTCAGCTCCCTGGTTGCCAGCAATGCAGCGGCTCAAGCGGCATCATCGGCAACCGCAGCGCAAGCGGCGATAGTCAGCCCTAAAACGGAGCCCAGCCAGACGGAGCAGAGTCCTCGTTTGAATGTGGGCAACATCAATATGCTGAGAAGCGATAATCCGGATCGGCCGTTTGGTTGCAGCGTCTGTCGGCGCTTCTTCTCGCAGCAGAGCACCCTGGTCAACCACATTAAGACGCACACCGGCGAGAAGCCCTACAAGTGCAAGATCTGTGATGCTAGCTTCCGCCAGGTGGCCACGCTCAACAACCACATGAAGATCCACACCGGAGAGAAGCCCTACAACTGTTCCTACTGCCCCAAACAGTTCCGGCAAAAGAGCACTCTACAAAATCATCTCCGGATCCACAAGTGCTAGTGGAGTAGGCACATACAGTTAGACTATATACAGATACAGATACAAATGCAGTTGCAAGTTGCGTTACATACACACATACATGCATAATACATATATATTATATATACTCAAGCGTATTATTTACCTGCCATGCAGACCGTAATTACATTCACGTACACATAGCTCACTCATTTGTAAGATTAAGTCCGAACGTACAGTTGAGAGTGTTCAAGCCGATGCCTAATCTCAATCAAGCTCGAATCTTGCTTATAAATCTACTCACCTTTCTCCACATTTTTTTTACAGATTCAGATTCATTTTCGATAATAGCGAATAAATAATTCTACTTTCTTTAAGTCACATACTAGCTATGATTGTAATATAAAACTTAATTGTAATGCAATGATTTCCAATGTATTTGAAAATGTTTCAACAAGATAAGGAGCGACTGCTGTATAAAGAAAATTATAGTTATTGCTACCAATCTGTATAATCCCTGCTTGCATGCGATTGTTTCGCTAAATATAAACACGAATTTAAAAATGTATTCTAGCGCAGTATCTTTTAATCGCATAATTAAACCGAACCATTGATCAACACATATAGTAGTTAAGATTGATTGCCTGTAAAACAAACAGTAAAACTTGTAGTTACATTACACAAATAATTCCAAAGTATGAGAATTGAACTTGGACAGTGGAATAAACTCGCTCTGTTAATAACATTTCAGCAGAATGTTAAGTTTGCAGGTGCCACAAGAGACAAGAGCGATAACAGCTAGCACGGGATGAACTAGATTCGTTCAGTTGAGCGAATCGTTCGATCGAACTCATTCCGAACTCTATCAACTATTGCTTCTTGAGTGAGAATCTTGATTAAAAAAGCGAATATTTTGTAGAGGCATTTGTAAAACTGTTTTAATAGGTAAATAGAATGCACAACTGCATATAACAGTGAAAATTCACTTGTTCACACGCCAAATGTAAACTAAATAAATGCAAGATTCGCGTGTACGCCCAATTTGGCAAGACCTGTGTTGTTGTTGTTCTTGTTGATGTTGTTCTTGTTGCTCTCAAACACAATTTCAGTCAGAGGTGGCCATTTTAGCGTGAAATGAGAGAAACTGCAGTGTTAACAAACCGGATTTAGCCTAAAAATGGCTGAATTGCCAGCATTACTGATCTCAACCGAAGAGACAATTTTTCTCATATTTTGTTTGCTGTTTTTTCAGTCAGCTAAAAACGTTGAGCGACAAACAATTTGATTGACGCGAGCTGTAAAGTGCAACAAGTGAAAGCCAATTACCTATTATTACCAAGAAAAATGCCGCCCGTTGTTCAGTAAGCAGAATGCTTTCAATATATCGAATATTACCGAAATTACATCATCATCATCATCAGTGCTAAATGTGACCCAAATATTAATAATCGCTGCTTGCTTCATTCATTTACTTATTCAATCAATTGGTCAAGGTGCAAACTGACCGAAAACACTTCGTAAACCATACTTTAAACTGCAATTATGCAAATCATTAATGTTTTTTTGTGCACACTGCTCTTCATTAAAACAAACGCTGGACGTTTTCTGCCCGCATAAGTTGCATATTTCTTGGTGTTAATGCGCCAGATGTTTACTACACCGATGACGTCATGGGCAACATTCAAATTTATATTTAGACGCCGCAGCCAACGCGCTATTGCCTATGTATGTGTGTGTGTTGGTGTGTTGTTTACCTACTGTTTCATGTGTGTGTGAGTGTGAGTCTGTTGCTTTGGCGGTTCATTTAAATTGTAATGATTTATTCTTAAGTCAGCCTGCTGCACACATCTGCACTGCTTAACGATTGCACTTCAACTGTTGTCCGCACACCGGCCAAAAACTCTCAATCCATAAGGAATGCGACGAAGCTTTTTGTGCACTCGTCAGAAATATGATTCAGCCGTCAGTCAACATTGCCTGGCTCGCTTGATAAGCAAAGCACGCAAAAAAAAAAAACAAAAAAAAATTAAATAAATGTTTGTGCCCTCAGCTTTCTCAGCGTCTCCGTCTCCATTTCCAGTTGCTTTTGCCATACGCTGCGCTGCAGTTGTGCGCTTAAGCCTTCATCGTCATCATGATGTACTCCAAAGCTGAAGTGTAACTGCTAACTAATCTCATTTTTTGCTTTATTACATAATTATATATATTACATAATTATATATTTTGTGCTTTTACAGAGTCCAGGCTAACAATATGTCGCTGAGTGCAATGCATTGCACGAGATGCGCCGACGGTTTCGAGCCCACCGAAAAGATCGTCAACTCCAACGGCGAACTGTGGCACACGCAGTGTTTTGTGTAAGTCGATGGACTCCAAGCGAGAAAGTACATTCCAGTGATTTGTCATCACAGTGGTCAATTCGCTGGAAAATATAAAGTATAGAATCTAAATTTAATTCACGTGAATTTAAAATTAATTTTGTTGTCTTCTGTATTACATTTTTCAGAGAGAATTAGAGAGTATTCATATTCCGTATTTCCAGTCTCTGAGAGAGTGACAGATCGTGCTGATCAAGAATATATACCTTATTGCTCTTGGAGATACTTCCGTTTGCCTGTTGCTTTAATTTACCCAATCTACACGTTTACATTTTCTGAGAAATGAGATATGCTTTAAGATAACAAATGGAAATCTGTCAACGATTCAGCTTAATATTTTGTTTCATAAAGTATTATCAGCAAGCATACAATATGAATTTTGTCGTATGCTTTGCGGGCAAGGCTCATAGATTTTGAATGCAATCAATTTTTAGCTTATATTGTATGCTTAGTAGTAATTTTTTATGTTTTATCACTGTATTATTTTGCATTTAAATAATTTATCTCTAATTGGATTTACTTTGTTGGGCCTTTCAGATGTGCGCAATGCTTCCGTCCGTTCCAGGATGGCATTTTTTACGAGTTCGAGGGTCGCAAGTACTGTGAACGGGATTTTCATGTGCTCTTTGCACCATGCTGTAACAAGTGTGGCGAGTTCGTAATTGGACGCGTCATCAAAGCAATGTCTGCCAGCTGGCATCCGCAGTGCTTCCGTTGTCAGCTGTGCGCCAAAGAATTGGCCGACAGCGGCTTCATACGCAATCAAAATCGTGCGCTTTGCCATGAGTGCAATGCCAAGGTGAAGGCAGAGATAACTGGTCGATATGTGTGCCAAAAGTGTCAGTAAGTAGTCGTGGAATATAATATGTATTGAGATCTCCACACTAATCCATAATCTTTGCAGCGGTCTGATTGACGATGAACCGTTGCGTTTCCGTGGCGAAGTGTATCATGGCTATCACTTTAATTGCTCCGCCTGTGGCACAGAGTTGGATGCCACAGCACGCGAAGTGAAGAGTCGTCCAGGTTTGGCTGCAAACGATATGGTGGGTAAAAGTTGAGATTTGCTTTTGAACACTATTGTTAATAATAATAACATAACAATTTACACAGAACGAGTTGTATTGTCTACGCTGTCATGACAAGATGGGCATTCCCATTTGCGGCGCCTGCCGTCGACCGATTGAGGAGCGTGTGGTCACAGCCCTCGGCAAGCATTGGCACGTTGAGCATTTCGTGTGTGCCAAGTGCGAGAAACCTTTCCTGGGCCATCGTCACTACGAGAAACGCGGTCTGGCCTACTGCGAGACGCATTATCATCAGCTATTTGGCAATTTGTGCTTTGTGTGCAACCAGGTCATTGGTGGCGATGGTACGTTAGACTATTCCTCCCAAATTGTTCATGTTTATAACTTTGTTAATTTCTTTGCCTTCTACAGTGTTTACCGCTTTGAATAAGGCGTGGTGCGTGCATCATTTCGCCTGCTCCGTGTGCGATACGAAAATGACGCAGAAATCAAAATTCTACGAGTACGATGAGAAGCCGGTGTGCAAGAAATGCTACGAAAGGTTCCCCAACGAGCTGCGTCGTCGGCTACGAAACGCCCACGAGATGACCATGAAGAAGAATGTGTAGTGTATCATTGGAGACAGGCAGACAGCCAAACTGTCCGCAACTTTCCAAAACCACAAAGTCAAAGTGCCTTTTGCCGTTCAGCACAAACGATCCGCTTAGTTCTCTGTTTGTAGTTGTCCACTTCTAACATTCAATGTTATTAATCCTCGAAAACTAAAAAAAAAAGCTTGTGCCTTTTTCACATTTCTGTAACTTTATTGTACTGTGTCATTTCAAAAGTAACAAAAGCGTCAACTATTTTGTTATCGCCTATCTTTAATCTTTAGCTGTTGTAGCATTGGCAAACGTAACAATCAAATCATGTATAGACAGCTGTTATTTAATTGAATTTATATTTATATACAAATAATCGTACATAAATGTTTTTAATATACATATAAAAGAAATTTGCAAACATTTTTTTAATTTTGGGATAAACTAAATACATTTAGCAAAGACAAAAACCAACACTGTTATTGCACAAGACCGCTGTCTGTTAACGCAATGTTAAGCTCCTGTTAAGCTTTGTTAACCATCGATATGTAATTTTGCCTGTTAACCTGGCTGATTAATGGGGATTTTTGCGTATTCCATGAGTTTTAGCTTGATTTTGCCGCTTGTATTTCAAAAAAAGAGGAATTCGACATGACTGTTAATCAAATTAAAACAAAAGAAAATCTTGAAATTCTTAAAAAAAGGAGCGTTGCCAAAGGTATACCATAAACTAAATAACTACATTAATATATATTTCTCTTAATTGAAATTCATATACATTTATTTAAACGTAATAATTATTATTATTGAAATTTACAAATATGTAGTCTTAAGTAATGGATTTTTGTTGTCAGAATGAGAAATGTTGCTGTTATTATCGAAGTAGAAGTTATCTCCAGCAATTGATTATTATGCGATGCTGCTTTTATCTACCCTCTTTCAATGACTGATGGCATTATTTGTCTTCTTCTCTCTGACCTTGGTGCACAGTTAATAATCTGTTATTGATAATTGGTGGCGATAGTCTCGCCGATGTCTTTATTTCGTTCTAGGCTGCGAAATGCAGTTGTAAATTTATCGCTTGCATTACGGTCGACAGTTTAATTGGCAATCGACGTTTATTAATTTGTCCTGGGCCCAAAACACAAGTTGGCCACTTTTGCAGCGTGCCCTGTAATTTGGCCAGTCCAAAAAGACGAAAATCCTTTTGGGGCCCCATTGCTTTTCAACACGTTTGGCAATTTCAGCTCCATTTCGAGTGCGCCTGCGCAAAGGAACATGTTGCTACGGACAACAAACTCACATTAATTAGGCCCCTTCATTAGACACATGCCCATCAAGCAGGGCAGGCTTGGAAGCAACACAATGACGACTGCGCCGGCGGCCATGTCCATATACAGTGAAGCCTCGTATATTGAATCACTCTTATAAAATATTTTTTTAAATATTGCTAAGCTTTAAATATTGCCAACTTTTGTTGGATGAATAATTAGCTTTATGTTTGCTGTGCGCCCAAGTCTGTTTTCACTGTATGGCCAAGTTTTACGTAATTAAGCCAGACGCGCTCACAATTTAAATTGCCGTCCGTTCTTCATACGTGTTGCTCCCCGCACCTCCCTCCCCCTCCCTGTCGCCCCTCTAGCTGTGTATCTGTATCACGAATTGGCAATTGAGCTCAGGCAGAGCTTGCGCAATTTGCACAGAGCCCAGTTGAGTCTTCAGTCCTCAGCTCATCAAGATCCAGATCCTCAGGAGAAACAGCAGCAGCAGCAGCCGCAGCAGCAGCATCGTCTGGCTTCGTTGCGACGTTCGCTCGTCAGCGTTTGAGCCAATAATTATGGTTATTAATCGGCTGGAGAATTGGCTGCTAATTTGCAGTTTAGTTGCAAATTCTGGCCGCCAGCGTGCAATTACTCTCTTAAATTATAGCTTCAAAATCAACAAAACGCCGCAACGCCAGAAACGCATCGTCTAAGGATTCGCTGTTGCCAAGGGGGGATTAGGGCGGTGGAGGGTTTGGGGCAAAGGTCATGATGCCTGTCTGATTGGCAAACGCACATTGCATTTTATGTGTTTGCTTATCCAACTCTCATCAGAGGCCATGCTGCTCATCAGCTAATGATGCCTGCGATTCCTGTTTCTGCTCACAGTCGCTGTTGTTGTTGGCAAGCACTGTACTCATAATTAGACGCCCCAGTGCCAGGTCCAGGGCGTTACTCAATCATGGCCTGATGGTACAACCCCCAATACGGCGACGAATCTATCGCCAGTGCCCTGCGCACGATCAGCACAGCTACAACATAATTTTACCCAAGTGCCGAGTTCCAGTCAACTCTCATCTCGTCTCATCTTGTCTTGTCAAGCGTTTGCTTTTGCTTGATTCCTTGTACAATTTTCAAGGCGCTTGCATTTCGCGGCCAGGCCAACACTTTTGCTTTGGCCAAATCAAATCGTGTGCTGTTTATTTAAATAACCATAATTTAGCCAGCACTTCTCGTCGCGGTTCATTGGGCGCTGGGGTGGAGGGGAAACCCCATTTATTAACCCACACACTGCAACAGCAGCCAGTCCCTGACCATGGTTTTATGGTTGATCCGTTCCCAGTGCAGCATTTTCCATGCTCTTGTGAGAACATAAAAATTCAATTTAATACGATATGCTCTCCAGTTCGACTTTGAGTTCGAGTTTGGTTTTGGAGTGGGTTTTTAGCAGGAAAACGTTTTGTCTACGGGCATGCGGCAGTTAATGAAAATTTAGTTCAATCAATGTGGATAACCATGTTCGTGTTCACCTCGACAATGTGGCGAAATACTTTACAATCCTCATAGTTTATATAGCAATGCGTAGCATTATGTTGTAGGTGTTGATTGGCTGTTGGAATAACAGATTCAATGATCTTTGTTGATATTGTCAGTGTGATCGTTTTGTTCAAAATTATGACTGTGCTCTTGCTGATACCCATATTATGGTGTGGAAGACTGGCGTTATTTGTGTGTTGAGAAAATTGTATCATTATTGCTGCATTATATAAGCCCATATGTATATCAGATTTCCAATGTAGTAAAAAATAATATCAAATTATGGTTCAGATGTTTTTGCTCGAAAGTGATAATTAACACTTTTTACAACATTGATAAGTATCAAGATGAATAAATTTATGAATTCGAAGAGCAAGAGGCAATTTTCTGTTAGCAGCTGTTTATTTCATTAATTGAGATACAAGAGAGATAAATAATTATAAAAATAATGGAATGCAAAATTATGTAGAGGCAAAATAAAGCAAAGTTTATACTTTTGATCAATAAGAACCGCCTAGTCGGTCTGGTGTGTCCATCATTATGAACAAGGCGATCTCAGAGACTGTAGAATCTAGCGACGAATTTTGATATATCGATATACCATTGTAAAGATATAGTCTTGCAATTGATCTATAAGGTACCCAGAAATATTATTGATCAACTTTAAAATTTGCACTAAGATCGGATAACAAATACATATTTTATTAAGGATTAGCAAGCCTACTCTGCATTTGACAGATGTGTTCAGGCTCCTAATCGAGTTCTCTCTCATCTAACTTGCGTTTATTTTTCTGATTCTATCTTTCTCCCATTGCTAGTTAACTAGGTGTCAAATTGTGATTGCTCTAGAATGAAAATTATATATTAAAATGCAGTTTATGACACCAAATAAGGCTAGGATTCCAAAGAATGGTGTTCGGTGCATATCACAATAATTGCTATTATTAACGATTTATGAACGGTCTAAGTGCAGCTAAAATTGGTCAATGGTTGCGGGGATTGGGGTTGGTCGATTCCTGCATTCGCTTTTGTTCACCCAGCACGTCAGGTTTAGAAAAATGAGCTTGTTAACGCTTCATGATGAGCGTAGTTAGTGTCCACTGCCATGATCTAAACCATATAACCCCAAGCATTGAATCGATCGCTGGATGGATGGTCAGATGGATGGGTACCTTGGATAGATGCACTACAGCGCTGCAGAGTCGTCATTAGAGATGTATGCAAAATTACAAACACGATAACACGTAATCATTAACGTTGTGCTCTCGGATGCCCAAGAGACGGTGTGAGCAAACAGTTTGAGAGCCAAAAGCAACAGCAAGAGCAACAACAATAGCAAACAACAACAATAACAGCAACAACTTCAATTTGCTGTTTCATTATCAAACGAGGCAAAGAACATAATTTGACTAAGGCCAAAACATTTGGTAACGTCAGCGTCTATGGCTAAAAGAGACCAATTTGCAGTTGCTGTTGGTATTGTTGTTGATGCTGTTGCTGTTGTTGTTGTTTTTTTGGCTTCGCTAGTAGTCAGTCTATCGATCACGTTTCAAACTGAAAGGCACGACCATGACGACGATGTGGCTCCGATTATGGCCACGCTTGTTGTGGTTGTTGTTGTTGCCGTTGCATAGTTTGCACAAGACGCCATTGTCCTATGGTGGAAAAGGTGGGCAAGAATCGAGGGAAGTCGGGAAATGCTGACGGTTTAGAACTTTTATGCAATTAATTGCAACAGTTTTGTGGCTGGAATGCGCTTTGTCTGTTTTGCCTGACTCTCCGTTCCGTCCGTCTATCCATCCATTCGTCTGTCCGTCCATTTCTAGCTGCTGCTGTTCTAACCACTTGCCGTTAATTTAAAAATTGTGCTCACGTTCTGGTAATTTGTTGACCACCCACATACAGAAATGCAAATGCAAAAAGTGAGCCCCGTCCACCTGAATTCGATTCGTGGAAAATTAGACGCCAGGTTTTTCACTGCCCGGCAGCGAACATTTCATTTGCCCGTTGCCCGTTCCAAGTTGCAAGTTGTAAGTTTGTATTGAGTCTGTGCCTGCTCTTTGTCTAATTTGACACTTGGGGCAGTTTGGGGCACCAATGACTTGCAGGCGGACAGGTAGTGGAGTACACGAGGCGCCTCTTTTTATATATATATATAAAAAAAATACTTTTTTTTTTTTGTTGCGCCTCTGAATTGCATACAAAGTAGTTGGTTGTGGCGCAGTTCTCAACTGTTTGGCTTGCCGAAATGAATAATTGCATGTGGAATGGGTGTTAGTGCGAGTGGGTGGATTGAATGATTTTGTATTGGTGAGAATTGAGCATTTAGCTCGGGGCCAATAACTGTTGGTCATTTTTCACAGCAGTTGAAATTTGAATCTCATTTAATCATTTGATATGGTTAGTTCACGGCTCATAAGGTTTCTTAGCTGCTCATTTAAAATTTGCATTTTACAATTTAATCAAATTCTTTT